GGGGGACTAACAGATATTTTCTATCCATTATGGGCTGTACAGACCATGTCATCTAATAATGATCTGCACTGTGAAGCGTTGCTATTCTGTCAATAGAATAACTTGAAACTATTGTCCCGAAAAGCGATGAGGAATCGCCCATCTTAGTGATTAGGGCATCTATAGGGTGCGAGGAACATTGGCTAAAGAGGAATTCAATTGGCTTATATTTTGCATCCATTATTTATCTGAAAAACTGTGTTTGGTATAATCCAATTACTGTCTTCCATGTTGGTCTGCATAGCATATTGAAGTAGTCCATATTTCACAAAAATCAATTTTGATTGAGAATTTGTTGAATTATTTGTGTTCTTTGAGAATTGCCAGACTGGTACCAAATAGAAGAGGAAATTTGAAATAGTGGAAAATATATAGCTTTGATTTTCATACAGTTGCATATATATTATTCTGTGGCAACTTGACTTCTTATATTTTGCTGATATTTTCTGTTCAATAAAATTCATTGAAATTGGAAATGTTTTAAGAATTTAGATTTTACATGTTGATTTTGATGAAAAGGGAACATTTTTAACAAAACTGGCAGGTGAATCTATGTCTTGAAGATAAGCATGATAATACTTCGCCCTTTTGTCTATGTTTTAGTTTTCTTCTCGTCAATGAAAAAGAAACACCACAGCAGCCAACTGTCTTCGGCAGGTCATTTGAGAGAAAGAATGTATGTAGGTAACTGTGAGTTTAGAGAGGAAGAGTGTGAGGAATGATGTTGGCCAAGTGAGAAAAATGATCCATATTGTTACCAGGTTAAGGTGTAGATAGTATGGGTGCAGGTTCGCTCGTAGAATTTCCGTTTATGACAGATGGAAGACATAAGGTAATGTGATAATAATTTATGTAATGTCCTCATAACCTGACAATATCAAGAAACAGAAATACAGTTTGGTGCTGAATAGAATTTACGTGTTTTCTGAGAAAGTTATAGCTTTTGAAATATGTCTGGTTTCTTTGTGTGCATCCTAATGTAAAGTATCAATCAGTTCATTTAATACTCTGGTCTGTTTGTTAAGCCGCTCACTAGGGAGAGTAAGTGAGATTTTGTAGTCCAAGCAGGTTTAGATTCCTGTGGGATCGAGGGTGATTGACCTCCACAATTGATGTTCGTAATGGTCCATTTTTGTTTTCTTCATTCAGAATAAATGTTGGAGCCAGAAGGTGGGCACGTGGGGCAGAAGAAGATAGGCTAATCACTGGTTAGTTGTTGTAGAAATAATGATCTTTTACTGCAGGTGGGCGATATAGGGCCATTTATAATCTCCTTGTTTAAAATCTCTTTGAAAGCAGATTTTTATGAAAGCCCATTTAAAAAGAAAAAAGGAAAAAAAAATCATTGCAAAGTATTCCTTTAAAATTTGACATGTCTTTTCATTTTGCAGTACTGTATTTCTTTTGCAATTTACAGGAAAAAATGGTGTTCGAAAAAAGCTATAAATTATTATATTTTTGTAATTTCAAGGATAACTCAAGGATTTTATAGGTTAATATAAACTAAACAAGTGTTTGTCAGCTGGTAGATAGTTAAGACAGATATACACATACTCATGGAACCAGTCCAATTTCCATCTGGATGTGCTTTATACTTTCTTGAGATGAATATAATATGTTAAATGTTGTCTAAACTCTAATGCAAATTTTATTTGGAATTGTTCAATTTATTTTTAGTTATATTGTCTTCTAATAGTGCTTTTATGGGTAAGCTCACTTTAATGACTGTATGATAAAGCTTAACTAAGGATTTTCATAGGTTAGTTTACAGTGTTAATTACAGCTTATAAAATTTATGTCTTTAAAAAAAATGAGACATTCTAACTTCTTCTATTGAACTTTGTAGAACGTAATTATGTAGTGACCGATAGCCAGTCCACCTGTACTTAAATTGATTTTGAAAAAAAACCCATCTCCTTTGAAACAATTTCTGGGAATGCAATAAAGCTTTTTCTGGAATGTTCTAACCACAAGGCTTTACCAAATACTCAAATCAAATGCATCCAGTCAGTTGCATTTTTAGGGTACATGGAAACTTAAAAAGGCTCACTGCCATTATTACCCCAGGCTTAAAATTTGCCATACCTCATTTGTTTTGAAATGCTTTAGAAATCTTCTCTTAGAAGCCTTTTTACATGTGACAGTGTAACATAATGTACTGTTTAAGAATAGGGAGAGCTATTGTTCTCACCCAGGCTTCCTTGTCACACTTTGGCCAAAGTTTTTGTGTGTAAGTTGGTATCTCAAAACTACTGAAGTGAATGGGTTGAAACTTCACAAACTTATTTGATAGCATAATAGGAAATGACTGTCCTATGCCCATAACACTAACATGGATTTTGACAGATTGAACTTAAAAAATTCTACATTAATATCCAGGCTCTTGTTTTACTATCAAGCACTGAGAATAGTCAAGCATGCTGTCCTTGATATTTTATAAAATGAAGCATTCTTCCTTATTTTGAAAGACTGTTTGGAAATAGATAATTTCTTTATAATACTTTTCAAAGATTTATTTTATGTTGATATCATATCAGATGAGATACATCAGTAACACAAGTTTGTAGGGGCCTCCATGGCCTAGTGATTTGTCACCGATTCAAATCATTTGCCTTTCACTGCTTCCCTGGACTTAGATGCCTTTATGTGAGAAGTTTGTTTATTATAAACAGTTGTTTTACTCGGATGCCTGCTACTGCATGAAATAGTTCACAGACAAACACCTGAACTAGTAAAGCTAGAAAAGTCATGACCTTAAATATTGACCTTGTTGATGGAACAAACACACACACACACACAAATTTGAAACACAATATATGCTTAAATACAGTTGACCTTCTCTTTGATTAAAAAGAAATGTCAAAAAGGGAAAAATGCAGAAAACAAAACCATGTCATTCAGTGATTTTCCCCGTTATATAACATATTCCGAGAAAAGGCCTCTTCCAGATTGAAATTTCCTTTAAAATCATGCAGTTTTCCCAATAATCTGAACTTAAACCTGCTTTTTTACTTCCCAAATTAGCAATTTTAGCGATAATTTTTCCCAAAATCTTAGGCTAAGGGCCCTCTTCCCAATTAAGTGAGAAAAATCACTGTCATTATTCTGTGGTTAAAAAAATCCATTCAATTTTCTATGCTTGGAAAAAGTACATCCTGTTTTCATTGCTTAGAAAAAGAACATCACGTTTTTCTGTGCTTGTTGTAATGCAAATACTTATCATTCTTCAAAAGAAACATGATAATTTGGGAGAAATGAGCCAAAAGTTGGAGGTCAGTGCCTGGAATATAATTTTTTTTTAATGTCTGAAAATCATTTTGCAGTGTTTGTTGTTGGGCGGGAAATATTATTTTGGGAACGCATTTTATACTATAATATTATAAGCTGTTATATGTAAAGTTAGGTAGTTTGGAAGTTACACACTGGCATCGTTATATCAACAGCAGTGTATATATAAGTCTACACACTGCCTTTCTGTGCACTATATATAAAGGTCACACAGAGATTTTGATGAAAGTTAAATTCTCGGAAAAGAAAAAGATTGTGATTAGATAAAGTGATGTTGTGTGTACTTTTAACCGGCATATTCGTTGATGCAGCTGGATAACAAATTTATTTCAGAAATGATATATATTACCTCTGAAGGTTTGTACATAATAAGTTTATGACGCAATTATGTGAAGCATATGAAAATGATGCCGTTAGATTGTTGGTCGTAGCTGATTTGCTTGTTTCAAATTGCGCTTGTAATAGAAACTGTATTGTGAATAAAGTAGTTCTGTTTTATTAGAAAAGGATAATTATTTTGTGAACAAGTCTCTACCAAAGGTTTGTTTAAGGCTTTGATATTCTTTGTTTTGTTTTTATTCATGTATAGTGTACACTTATTCAAAGCTGCATGCCTCCAGATTAGCAAAAATATTTCAAGAAAAACCAAACTTGAGAAAAAATGAACTAAGATTTTAAGAAAAGTAAAAGATTTGAGATTCAAGTAATAATTTACATGTTTGTAGTATTTATCATGTGTGACTAAGGCAGTGACTAACACAGTAAGGGATATTGTTGCAAATTTTGACCTCTAATAGTCTTGTTGGTAATTTTAATTATTTACATGAATTGTAAGTGACATTTACAATATGTAAACTACTTTTTGCCTTTAATTCACAATGTTTTAATCAAGTATACATTACAGTTTTAAATACATTTGCAAAAAATTTTCATGAAAATTAGCTTGAATCTGGTGGCATGCTGCTTCAATGAGTACAACCAAAGCAAAGAATGTTTCATAATAACCCTCCAAACTGATAAAAAGAAATTAAAACTAGCCAAAAAAATATTCAAATTATAGGTTTTAATGCTACTTTAATTTTGTTAAAACAGTACAATTAATTACTTCATTTATCCGACTGGTAGCTCTTTTTAGAACAAAAGTGCCAGTGTGATGAATAAGTAGGATTGGTCAGTAAGTTGCTCATTCTTTGAATTGGATTTAGTCATTTTATTAAGGTATCTTAGACAATTTATATTTTTTGGTAGCTGGGAAACTGGCTTGTTTTTAGCAACTGTCTGGATGCGGGGGTTGATGCTTTTTTCTCATGATAGAGCATAAGACTAAAAATATAGGTGGATCTCTTAGAGGAGAAGCACAATTGCAAAGATGGGTTACTTATTATTTTATAGTGTTGGAGTTATTGCCCCTTGTAATGTGTTATATTTCAGCATGATTTAAGGATGGTATTGGAAGAATCAGCAAGAAACAGCATAGGCGGATAGTTCTCATTGAGCAAAAATGCATTGCATTCTATTAAGTTAGAATGATTTGTAATGGGTTTTTAAAAAAATTTGTCCAGACCACATGTGCAGATTGAATTGAAGCATGATTCTGCATTTGTTGATAAATCTCATTTAGAAGAAACATATTTAATGTAATTTATTAATTAATTAAATAATTGTATTTTCAGAATTACCATTTGGTTGGGAAAAGGTTGAAGATCCACATTTTGGAGTATACTATATTGAGTAAGTTTAATGTACATTTAGTTAATTGATGATTTTGATTTTTCAAAGTAAGCATTATTGTTATTGTACATGCAATCTCATTAAAATCATATCTTAACTGTCGCTCCACTACACATTATGGTGAAGAGTAACGGAGCAAAATAATGATTTGATTTTAATGAGATTGTTGTAAGTGTATCTGATTAGAAATTTATACTCACCTGACTGTAAAATGAAGATGTGTGTACAGCCTTTGCCTGTATTAAAAAATTAACCTCTATCCATCATTAGAATTTTGGATTAGAGAAGATTTTCTTAAAATCTGCCAGCCAACCAAGCTTTTACAAAAATGATTTAAAGAATCCAATACTGATATATTATTGTTTTCTTATTATATTATTGATAATCATTATTAATGGCAGTGTGGCTGAATGGTTCACACATCAGACAAGTAATGTAAGAATTGCTGACCACTTCAGTTAAAATCAATGACAGGGGCAAGCCATTGTTTCCTTGTGCAAGAATTTTAACACACAGTGCTTTGTACGGATGGGTTTGAGATTGTGTCTAATAATTTTCCCCACATGATCAACTCAAATCAATTCTGTATAAAGTAACTATATTATTATCTATTGTAGATGAATTGAAAAATAAGCATTTTGTGTATCAGTAATTTTTGAGACAAGAAGGAATAACAGTTGTACAGATTATTTCTTTAATAATGTATGAAGATAGAATTTGATTTGATATACTATTTTACTGCTAAGTAAAATTATAACTATGGTTGCCAATCAGAATTGAGAGTGATTAAACTTCAAAAATATACTAAACACAGATAGACCTAGAATAATAATATCTGTCATATGTAAAATAATGTTGCAGTTCAGATCCTTTCATCCGGCATGCCTCATTACCAACCAATGTGTGGGTCCCCCAGGCACGGATATTTCCAAAATAATTTGGTACTTTTGTAAAAAGGGAAGAAAAAAACTAGATGTCAATTCAATTTTTTGGGAAGCCACTGCTAGCCTGTAGAAGGAAAAAAAACTGATTGATATAATGAGCTGTATCAAGATTGTTGAAAAGTTCCCACTATTGCTCTTCTGATGCATATATTTTATCTTTTTTCAGCCATGTAAATAGAAAAACACAGTATGAGCACCCAGGTGTTTCATTGAAGAAAAGCTCTACAGCAGGTAAGACAAATACAAAAATAAATAAAAAAAAACAATCAATCATCACAACTTACACATAAACAAATTGGAGTGCAAAAGACAAAGTCCTGTTAATAATACTCTTGTCAGTTTGTGAGTCCGCCAGCTTAGCCCAGTAGGGAGAGCATTAGATTTGTTATCCAGGACTTGTGGTTCGATCTTAAAAGTATTGTAGAATTTTCCTAATGGTCATTTTCTCTTAATTTGCACAAATTTTAAAGAATAGACAATTCAGCATTATGTGGAAATATTTAAGACCTACCTGTTCTAAAGATTGTTCAGATTTGGAAAAATAAAACTTTGTGTCAAATTTAACATAGCACTGGGATGACTTGGTGTAACATTGACTTAATATTAGAATTACTTGGCTTGTTACAAAGTTGTAGCAACATATTGTGTAGCATCGTCTCATGAACCTGTATATCATTGCTCTTACAAAGTGGGCCTTGCAAGACCATGTTGTTTTCTAAAAAAAAAATTTGTATCATTCATTCTGGTGCATACTGGTTATTGTGTCTGCCTCTGTTAGAGGGGAGCATTGGCGTAGTGGTCAAAGTGTCAGCCTCTCAATCCAGGGATCATGGGTTCGAGCCCTAATTGGGCAACAACCATGTTTCTTTATATGACACCAGTTATTGTTTGTTACAGGAAGCAGAATCGAATGTCATTAATATAAGTTCCAAGAACTTGTTTTGCAACCAAGCTTAAATAAATATGTTTAAACCATTAACTGACATAGATATTTGGTTTATGTGTACCCTATGTGATCCTCTGGTTTTTTCAAGATTTTCTGTTTAATGGTCCAAGGGATTCAAGTACACATTTTAATTTTTGTAAAGTCACGGACACCTGACCAATTAGGTGCATGTTTCATGATATTTATGAAAATATAATATAATGATAAAAAGAATATTTTATTTTTAACAGCTGTTTTTATGAGATCATTATATTTACATGCTGCAATGATTTCCTTTGCTTATAGCATACATGGTCTATAAAACCATGGGGGATATCTACAGCATTTGTTGCACATTTCTACAAGTTACAACATAGTTCTAGGGTGTCATTTGTATCAGCATGATCTTTTGAATTATGATATTGTCAGTAGCGTAGCCGGGCATACGCCAGTACGCCGTAGGCGTACTTAACGAAAACGAATTTTAAAAAATCAAAAAGTCTTAAATGTTGAAAACAGTTGTCCAAATCAGTACCCTAGCCCATGTTAGACATCGCCGTGAGTTTTGACGAAGAAAAAAAGGATTTGCTGACAAAAAATATTTTGTTATTAAGCGATTTAAATAGTGATTCGGTAACTTTTGTTGCAAATGTAGAACAGTTAGTACTATTTTAGGTAAAACAGTGTCATGCGTATTGACTTTTTAGTATCTTATCGTAGAATCCTATTATATTCCGAATGTTGTTTACATAAGAAGTTATACTAGCGGGAAAAATCAAATGGCGTCCCAATGTAAAACGTCCGAAGAACATGGGCCTCCATATGTTGATATTTTCAACTGCACCGTTTTAAACGATGAACAGAAAGTCACTAAATATTAAAGTCAGATTGGCCCGATGTCCATAAATATGAATTTAAATCGAGGTAAGTTTATGCAGATCAAGAAATTTAAAGTAGGTAAAATAATGCAATTTGTCATTAAATCATATTCAAATGTATTTTTACTATCAAATTACATCAAATACTATTCTATTTTGTTTTTAACTAAATCTATAATAATCTGAAATAAAGAGTCATTTTTAAACGTTGTCTAGAGCGTACGGACGAAGCTACCTTTACCAGGGAAGTGAGAAAATAGGTTTCATGTTGGACAAATGGAGCACTTGCGTCGGACTGTCCACACTCCTGATACACTCCTAGGAACATTGCCTCTGGCTAATGAGCATTACTATCCCAATGTCCATCGTTGTTTGTTAGTACTGCTCACTATGCCTGTGTCTACGGCTACAGCTGAACTATCTTTCAGCACCATGAAGAGATCTTCCATGACTACAGAAAGGCTGTCTTGGCTTGACCTAATGGATATTTACAGAGACATGAACATTTACTCCGAGTATATAGTTGATTAACTTGCTGCAAGAAAACAATGCCGCCTTGCCTTTGTCTTCAGAGAATAATCATCTTGGCATAGATACCATCATGAAATTAATCACATACCCGTGCCGATTCCGTAAAAATGGTACTGCACTGGCATATATTTTGACAAAACATCATTTGCGTTACATAAACATAACGCTAAGGAACGTGAAATGACACCACCGGTATTTCGTACTAAGACGCGCTAATTGTTAGAGTTATACTATAGGCGCTTTAATGAAAAATACTTCTTTATCACTTCAAACGGTTTTTGTTTTTGGTATGAAATAAATAGAATATTAAATGCGTGTAAGTTCATTACTAAATTTATTGAACGAGTTGAATAAAATAATATTATGCTCGCCATAGCTCACATAATATCATTTTATTCAGCTTGTTAAATAAATTCAATATTAAACTTATACACTCTTTCAATATCCTTTATTTATTAGATAAGAAGGAAATTATATATGTTGTCAAATGTCTCCAGATAGCGTTATTTTGCATCTATAAATCCAAATTTCCTCGGGGGAAGACCCCCGAACCCCCTTCCATTTACAAAGGGAGGAGGCCACGCCGTCACTTAACCCTCCAGAGGCTCACATAATATATAATTTTATTCAACTCATTAAACAAATTTAGTATCAAACTTACACTATTTCAATATCCTCTATTTATTAGATAAGAAGAGAATTAAATATGTTGTCAAATGTCTCCAGATTGCGTTATTTTGCATCTATAAATCCAAATTTTCTCGGGGGAAGACCCCCGAACCCCCTCCCTTAACCCTTCAGAGGCTCAAGTAATATATCATTTTATTCAACTCATTAAACAAATTTAGTATCAAACTTACACTATTTCAATATCCTCTATTTATTAGATAAGAAGAGAATTAAATATGTTGTCAAATGTCTCCAGATTGCGTTATTTTGCATTATAAATCCAAATTTTCTCGGGGGAAGACCCCCGAACCCCCTACCATTTACAAAGGGAGGGGGCCACCCCCTCCCTTAACCCACCACCAAGGCGTATAATTACTTTTGGCCGCGCTACGCCACTGATTGTTCAGCTTCATATGCACTGTTTTGAATTTTCAAATATCCAAAAGTTTCATTAAATGTGTTACAGTTCTGCTATAAATATTTTGCCATACATGTCTAAATTATCATACCAGTTTTCCATAAGCATTAGCAGTGTACATTTTGACTTAGAATCATTAACATTAGACAGTTGCATTTCATTGTGATAATAGCCATTAATTATTGAAAAGACAATAAACTACCACAAAGCAATAGAAATACATAAAAGAGAAAAATTGGGAAATGTGTCTCTCAGGACACAACATTTATAAAAAAAAAATTTGGGTCCCAGTCGATAAAATGGCAATGATACCTCTCATGTATTTTGTAACTGACATGTGTCAGGTCTCCATGATCCAGTGTATGATTCTAGACTTGTCTCTAGACCTTGTATTCTTGTATGAGTCTCTTGAGGTCAATATCTAGGTTACTGGCTTTAGATCAAAGGAAAATCTCTTTAATGCTCAAGAGTCCATATTTATAAGCCAGTTATGTTAAATTTTTAGTCTAAATATTTATTTCATGATTTGATGAAGTCAAGACTCACTGATTTGAAGTGTCTAGTCTATTAGCAAGTGGTTATTAAGAAGATTGTTTTGAATGAATAATTATACCCCCACAAACGAAGTTTAGGGGGGGTATATAGGAGTCAGCTTGTCGGTCGGTTGGTCGGTCGGTCGGTCGGTCGGTCGGTCCGTCGGTCGGTCCACATCATGGTTTCCGGACGATAACTAGAGTTATGAATGAGGTATTGTTATCAAACTTGGTATATAGCAACCTTATGTGGAAAGTCCGGTTGGTATTGCATTTGGACCCTCTGGGGTCAAGGTCAAGGTCACCGTTACTAAAAATAGAAAAATGGTTTCCGGACAATAACTAGAGTTAGGAATGAGATATTGTTATCAAACTTGGCGTATAGCAAGCTTATATGAAGACCTGGGTTGGTATTGCATTTGGGCCCCCTGGGGTCAAGGTCAAGGTCACCGTTACTAAAAATAGAAAAATGGTTTCCGGACAATAACTTGACTTAGGAATGAGATACTGTAATCAAACTCGGTGTGTATAGCAAGCTTATATGAAGAACTGGGTTGGTATTGCATTTGGACCCCTTTGGGTCAAGGTCAAGGTCACCGTTACTAAAAAATAGAAAAATGGTTTCCGGACAATAACTTGACTTAGGAATGAGATACTGTTATCAAACTTGGTGTATAGCAAGCTTATATGAAGACCTGGGTTGGTATTGCATTTGGACCCCTTGGGGTCAAGGTCACTGTTACTAAAAATATAAAAATGGTTTCCGGACAATAACTTGAGTTAGGAATGAGATATTGTTATCAAACTTGGCGTATAGCAAGCTTATATGAAGACCTGGGTTGGTATTGCATTTGGGCCCCCTGGGGTCAAGGTCAAAGTCACCGTTAGGAAAAATAGAAATATGGTTTTCGGACAATAACTAGAGTTAGGAATGAGATATTGTAATCTAATTTGGTGTAAAGGAAGCTTATATGAAGACTTGGGTTGGTATTGCATTTAGACCCCTTGGGGTCAAGGTCACCGTTACAGTGTTACTAAAAATAGAAAAATGGTTTCTGGACAATAACTAGAGTTAGGAATGAGATATTATTATCAAACTTGGGGTATAGCAAGCTTATATGAAGACCTTGGTTGGTATTGCATTTGGGCCCCCTGGGGTCAAGGTCAAGGTCACCGTTACTAAAAATAGAAAAATGGTTTCTGGACAATAACTAGAGTTAGGAATGAGATATTGTTATCAAACTTGGCGTATAGCAAGCTTATATGAAGACCTGGGTTGGTATTGCATTTGGGCCCCCTGGGGTCAAGGTCAAGGTCACCGTTACTAAAAATAGAAAAATGGTTTCCGGACAATAACTTGACTTAGGAATGAGATACTGTAATCAAACTTGGTGTATAGCAAGCTTATATGAAGAACTGGGTTGGTATTGCATTTGGACCCCTTTGGGTCAAGGTCAAGGTCACCGTTACTAAAAATAGAAAAATGGTTTCCGGACAATAACTTGACTTAGGAATGAGATACTGTTATCAAACTTGGTGTATAGCAAGCTTATATGAAGACCTGGGTTGGTATTGCATTTGGACCCCTTGGGGTTCAAGGTCACCGTTACTAAAAATATAAAAATGGTTTCCGGACAATAACTATAGTTAGGAATGAGATATTGTTATCAAACTTGGCGTATAGCAAGCTTATATGAAGACCTGGGTTGGTATTGCATTTGGGCCCCCTGGGGTCAAGGTCAAGGTCACCGTTAGGAAAAATAGAAATATGGTTTTCGGACAATAACTAGAGTTAGGAATGAGATATTGTAATCTAATTTGGTGTAAAGGAAGCTTATATGAAGACCTGGGTTGGTATTGCATTTAGACCCCTTGGGGTCAAGGTCACTGTTACAGTGTTACTAAAAATAGAAAAATGGTTTCTGGACAATAACTAGAGTTAGGAATGAGATATTATTATCAAACTTGGGGTATAGCAGGCTTATATGAAGACCTTGGTTTGTATTGCATTTGGGCCCCCTGGGGTCAAGGTCAAGGTCACCGTTACTAAAAATAGAAAAAATGGTTTTCGGACAATAAGTAGAGTTAGGAATGAGATATTGTAATCTAATTTGGTGTAAAGGAAGCTTATTTGAAGACCTGGGTTGGTATTGCATTTTGACCCCTAGGGTCAAGGTCACCGTTACAGTGTTACTTATAATAGAAAAATGGTTTCCGGACAATAAGTAGAGTTAGGAATGAGATATTGTAATCAAACTTGGTGTATAGCAAGCTTATTTCAAGACCCCAGTTGCGATTACAATTAATTGAAATATTTCTTTGTACACAGTTGATAGTTTGTGTTCAAATTTTTCTTCAGACTACTTTTTTTTCATAAAGTCAAAGTTGCAGGTGGGGGTATTAATCACCTTCAGTGATAGGTCTAGTTTTTATTTGTAACTGTTTAAAGCCAATAATTACATGTGACAAGTTTCGGTCCACTTTTCAAATAAAGTAAGCGCTTCCATTGTGATGACCCAGCATCAACCCTTTTTGTTAAAGAAAACTGAGGTGTTAAAAGACTGAAAACTTGAAATTTGAATTTTTTACATAGATTAAGAGATGCACTAAAAATGAAAAAATCGGCCAAAGGTAATAGAGAAATATACCCAGAATAAACTGAAAATTGTTGTATTTATGACTTCCAGTCTGGTTTAATGGAAATCGTTGCAATGAATGCTTTTTCATTTTTTGGTCATTATGCTCAATATGGATAATTATTCTGGGAAAATGGAGTGAGGGAATGATCTGAAATTTTTCACGCAAGTTATTAACACTGGCCTCTTACCTATATCAAATTGTTCACAAGTCTCGGTCCTTCCTTGTAGAAAAGAGGCAGTGGAGTCCCTTCAAAACCAGAAACTATCAAAGCTATTTACTTCAGACTTGGTATACATATTCATTATCAAAATGTAACACTATCTCATGTCTATGCATCATGAGTCAAGGGAAGATAAATATGCCAATAAATTGCTGAAATTATACCCCTTTTCTGCATAATGTTAATTATTCTGTACAACACTATGAAATGTAGAGCATGCTGTCTGCAGATTTAAGTTAATTTGATATAAACCTTTTGTTGCATACTTGAAAATGTTTACATTAAATACTTGACTTATAAGCATTAGTTACAGAACTTTTAAATGTATTGCAGATGAAATAAACAGCAGTAGTACATTACCAAGAAGAGATAAAAGAGAAGGGAGTGCACCACGGTCAGTCAGTGAGTCAGATATGAACGGAAAATCTACTCCACCAGGTATTGTATACAACTTTAGTAAATATACTGTCATAGTTATGTTGATGATGCTATTGATATTGTTAGTGGTAAAACTTAAATATCAAGCAAATATTACATTTATTTGTATATAATAATGATATGATTGGCTACATGCTTATGAAGTTGTGGCATTTTTTAAGGCCCGGGCTTGCATGATAACAGTTTTATTTTTGATTTGGTTTGAACTAAACTTGGAGAGAACTGGTATTATTAGTAAATATTGGTGCATAACAGAGTAGTCCTGTACAGAGATAGGGAAAAAAGGTGTTTGGCTTGATTTAATGTTAGCAATTACATTTTGAATTGGATTGGACCCAAACTTGCATTGAATTTGTGTGACCAGTAGGCTTTTGTTTCTTTTTTATATGGTCCTGTGCCACAGGGTTGCTGTGCCTAAAAAGAGTTGAAATTTATAAAATCTTAGAGAAACAAAACATTTCTCCCTAAGTCCAATGCCTATTTCAGTATTGAGCGTGTAGCATTATTTATTACTTGTTGAACATTTTGTCAGAACTCATTAGTCATAGAGGCTTGATAATTGATGAAGTAGCATAATCTACCATCATTTACACAATAGTGAAAATATAGTATGACCATAACAGAAGTCTCTCGGTTGTTATTTGGAAAAAATAAAATAGAGAGAAATAAAGAATTCTAAAGAAAGTCCAAACTGACAAAATTGTAAATGTTGCAGACTCATAATAACCAAATATATCCTGACATGAAAACTTAAGGTTCACTTTAAGACATATGCCTGAAGTAAACTTTTTGAGATACATTTGAGCTGCGTCACGACAAAACCAACATAATGGGTTTGCGACCAGCATGGATCCAGACCAGCCTGCGCATCCGCACAGTCTGATTAGGATCCATGCTGTTCGCTATCAGTTTCTCTACTTGTTATAGGGTTTGTAAGCGAACAGCATGGATCCTGATCAGACTGCGCAGATGCGCAGGCTGGTCTGGATCCATGCTGGTCGCAAACCCATTATGTTGGTTTTGTCATGACACGGCTCATTTTATTTTCTAATACGACTTATTGTCCAACTCAGATCAATTTGCAAATTGTGTATGTATGCTCCTTCATTCCACAAATTTGCTTTATGTTTTCCAGTGCTATTTCGATAGATTGATCACATCATGCTTCACATGTTAACTTAAAGAAATAGTGACTGTCCCTCTTTGTCTGAAATTGTTCTTGGTAAAACCCGTCAGCTATGTTTCTTGTGTAAAGCTGAACCCCCCATAAAATGGTTCCTTTGCTTATCTTGGTTACAGAAGCTGAAAATACATTTTGATAGTGATTTTTTTCTCAATATTGGCCTGTAGTCTAGATATTTAATATACATGTAGCATTGTTTAATGGAACTCTTATAGTTTGTTTAAGTCAAAATTTGCCTTTCCCTAGTCATCGTGAAAAGCTTTTAAAATCTACTTGTCTGAAATCTGAAGTCCTAAAGTTTACGGTGTTGATTAATTTCAACATTGCTTTTCCACATCAACACTGCAGGGTCAGAATTGTAAATTTTGACATTTTTGTTTGTTACTTTTTTGTTTGCAAGTTTTCAGGTACATAAACATATTGAAATTCAAACTATGTTGGCACAGGACTTAAATTTTGTAGATTCATTGCTTGACATTTTGCTGTGACATTTACAGGTCTACTTTGAAGGAAGTTGCACAAATTACAAATAAAATGTTTGAAACTTATCTCACACCAATTGTCACTCATATTACTTTCTAAATATATTTTTCTCAAATGTTGTTAACTCTTTTATTATACTGCATACAGTAGTTATGCAAAAATATGTAATGGAAATCAGGCTTTTCATAGGCAGAAATTGACCCATATGAGTGGAATTTAAAACATGTTTTTGAAATGACAATTTAAATTTCATCAAATTATTCATAAAAAAACACCTGTTTTTGACTATTTACAAAGTGAATAAGGAATAGTAGTCAAATGTCATTAATATTTAAAACACATATCGTAATAGCACTAGTTTTTATCTTGATTATTAAAAAAAAACAACATGGTTTTATGTAAAAATCCAAGACCATAACTCTAGTGTGAACGTAGAAAATTCCTTGTTAAAGTTTTGAGTGCAATATCAGTCTTGAACCCTGTTAAAATCATAATGCAATTGTAGGTTACCATAACAAAACTCAAAACTATAGCAAGTATTTTGACCTTTTGGAACTATTATAACTCTGTCATGGACTTTGTGAAGTCCTACAGAGTCTATGCTGTTACAAACAAGAAAGTTGTTCTTTTGGTAGCTCCTGTTGTGGTATACTTTAATCTACGGTCAGAGACATCAATGCTTGTCCAAGTTCTTTAACTGACGTTATCAATTAGTTGTCATTAGTAAAACTGGTATGTGCGCCAGTGCGGGTAACCTGTATGGAGTTCTTGCTCTTTGCCTGGAACTGTCTTATCTTAACAGATTTTATACGTAACAGTTTTAACAATTAACAGTTTTTATATTTAATTGTTTTTATCTTATTGACTGTTCTGTTAGTTTGCCTCAACTGTTCTAATGTTATCAGCATATAAGTTCTTGTGTGTCTTACTTATAATATATCTAAAAAGAAAACTCTAGAATATAAATAGAAACACACTAGAAAGTCACAAATTTGGCTCCATCTGAGATTATTTACTTTGCTATAATATAATATTTTGTCATTAAATGCAAAAGGCTGAGATATATTTAAATAGTTTCTATTTGTCCTCTTATTATCTTGGACAGTATAACTCTACAGGGGGGAGTTATCCTATACACTAGGGCATGGACATCAGTTTTAAATATTTTGTTCCACCCCTTTGTTTCATGAAAACATAAATCCATTAAGAAACTGCTTTGGAATTTATAACATTAAAAATTACTACATCACATTCACTTTTATACAAGACTGATTTTGATTAAAGACTGATCCTTTGTCAATGTTAAAAATTTGCTGATGTTTTTTACCACCTTACCTTTTCACTGAGTCTGTCATGGTATTAAACTAAAACGGGGGAAAAAAATTGACTATCTACTCTACTGTACTTGTAGATATTAGTATTTTATTCTGTCATGGATTTAAAAAAAAATTGAAGTTTCCCAATTTTCAACTATATTTTTTTCGTACAATCTTTCTTTCTCACTTAAAAATCTGACATAACAATGTCATTTTCTGATACATGTATTTTGAAAGACCTGTTCCTTTTCCGAGAATAGTCAAGACCACTGTGTGACAGCTTGAAATTGGTTATTTATTTATTGTAAAAAAAACTGCCCAGTTTAATTGAACGAATGATTGGGCGGCTGTATATTATACAATATGTCGAGGGATTGTAGAAAATCATTTAAGAAGAGATATGGTCTGTAAGAGAGTTCTCACAGTCTGATATTGAAAATATGTGAGTGAAAGTTAAATGATAAATGCTGGGGAATATTGTACACAGTGCATCTTCTAATAGTCAATAATAACTGCCTCTATATAACATAAATGAATCAGTGCAGTGTTGGATAATATTGTTTATGAAATGACAATTTTAATTTTTTTTCTAAATCTCAGGGATAGGATTTTTCTACCATTTATTAAGTAAGTAGTCCAGTTACATGTTAAAAAAATTAGAGAAATTTATTTTACTTTGAAATTTATATATGTGATCAAACATGGCAATTGCTGATTTTTTACTCGATAAAATTCTGGCTAAAGATGGAATTGATTTAATGATTATGTATCTTTCACATAAGGGATTTTAAGTGCATATTTCCATGCGTCTATAGCTTGACATTACAAAGTAAATAGAAAGCTATCCTACTTACATTGGCATCTGTGTTCAGATTTCAGGCTAAAGTTTTTGTGCAGCAAAATATTTTATAATGTATCTTTATTATTTAAGTTTATATTTCTAAACATTACCCACATATATTTGACAAGACACTTGAATTATCTCCCCTTTGGACTTTGCTTAAAAGTTATTTTTATGCTTCTGAAGGAAGGCAAATATTGAGTTCACTGCCCATCTGGTTGGCTGACATCTTGTTTTTGTCCAGGGCATAACTCTGAAAGTATTTGAGTTATTAACTTAATATGTCATAGATGGAAAGATCTATGTGAAAATATGAATTTTGTATAATTTTGAACATTTGTATTTTTTTTTCATAATTAATTTTTGTACAATAGAGTCATTTTACTGAAGAATTGCTGTGTAACTATACATTATGAACACATTACTTTTTTGAGTTATTGCTCTTTGTAATATTTAATTCATATTTTTTTAAGAGCATAACTTTTAATAACATGAAACTTAATACCCCACTGACAAAACAACATGCAGCAGGAAAGTGACCTTAGACAGAAGAAAATTCAATTACTATTGATTTGAGAACCCTAGTTTGTTTTCATTTATAGTTGTTGGAGAATTAATGTTTTGATTACTAAAATTAGGTACTATATATTTGGCAACAAATGTCCAAAAATATTCTAAACAACTGAAAAGTGTTTCTTGACAGATTTATTTTGAATACCATGATACTTATTGTTGGCGATGAACTTACTAGCTAATTTTTTAGTTAGCTTTATTAAGATGTGCCGCCTTTGCATGGCTATGTGATTTTTTAATTTCCTTGCATGTACATACCTCTGCTTTTCTTCAGCATACCGCCCCAGATCAAAGAAAAGCAAGACCCCACACAGTAAACGAGGTGCGTTTTTCTTTTATTTTGTTTGTCAAAATTGCTTTTTTGTATGCAGGAAATAAATTTTTATTTTCAAAATATATTTTATAATAAGCTAGCTGCCATAGTGAATGGTTGGTATATACCCTTGTAGTCAAAGTAACATGTGATAAAATTAAATATATTTATGTATATGTGATCTGTTGTCGTTACTAATTCTCTAGGGGCGTCCATGGCCAAGTGGTTTAGGTTGTTGATTGACTTTAAACCACTTGCCCCTCACCCCTGAGGGACTCACCAATGAAGCTGGAAAATTGCAATTAAAAAAATGAAGCTTAAAATAGAATTCTATCACAAATCTATGTGTTGAACTGATTGTCTATCAGATAAAATCAGCACAATAAATTGTCAATGCTCTTTTAGATAGCTCTTTGTTTTGAAGCTGAATGTAGCACTGATAAAAATATAATTCATGGGTCTGTGTTTAGATAGCTGATTGCCTCCTAGCCCATGTTTGAACATTAACGCTTTCAGTAATATTTTTGATAGCTGATTCTTTTCAAACTGACAATAGCATAAATATTTGTGATTAAATTGTGAGAAAAGTGGAGATTTCCATGAAACTTGATGAAAGTTTTGCTCTCATTAACCAGGGCATGTTTTCTGAGTGTGATAAGGACTGGATAAACTTTATGGTTTATAACTTCTTTATACATTATTAAAACTGACAATGGCCATGAAGATACATTACATTTGTTATTCAGAAAACATGATCTAGTTTTATAAGTATTTACTTCTGGTAAAGTTGATAATAAAGTTTATGGAATCCAAATTTGACCATGAACAAACTTAAGCATGGCAAACTTTACAGTGTCTAATATTATGGTTCTAAGGTGAGCTTATTATTTATGATGTGATCCAAATTATGTCATGTTAGTTATTAATAGATGTCAAAATTTCAAAACTTTGAAAATGTTACGAAATTAGTATTTTTATGTTGACATTGTGTCCATGTTAATGCTGTCTTTCTGTGACAAAATAACAAAATTTTGAGGGTATGAAACATTCTATATTATTTGCTTGAATGGTGAAACTGTGGTGTGTGGAATAGGAAATTATACTTTAAATTACTGTCTGGTTATTTACATAGTAATAGCTGGAGTCATAACTCATGTTTGTGTCAATATTATATTGATGAACTGTCCTATCTTGACCTAATACTGTCTTGGGAAATGAAGAGAGTATTTGCTGTTATTTAGGTGTTTTAGGCTGCATATATATCTATGTGTAAACAGGAAACCTATGTGGTCTATGTGGATTGACCACTATGGAGAACTTCAAGCACAGGGCAGTGCTTTTTTCACAGGTTGGGGAAGCAGCCCTGCCCTTAATTTTGTGGAAAAAATACACAATATTTTTGCAAAAGGGGGAGAAAAAACTTTGTAAATTTAATTTTTGGGGAAAACTGCATGATTTTAAAGAATTTTTCTTTGGGGAAGCCCCTGCTATGGAAAAAGAAAACCGCAGGGGGGACCAAACAATTACATTACTTTACATTTATGCTCATAATTTGTAAACAATTGATTTAGAATGAACAAACATCAACAAACTTTTGAACAGGGTAAAATCCACATGATATTCATGTAGCAGAATTGTTGTAAAGCCAGATTGAGGGATTATCAAATAACTTGGCACCTGTAGCCCCAAGATTAAACACTTCAGTGTTTGCCCGCTTAGCTTAATAAGGAGAGCATTGGATTAGTAATCTAAGGGTCACTGGTTTGTTTTCTTAGACGAAAATGAAGCTTGATCTTGAGTCAATGGTCATTTGTGTCTCATCACTTAATCAGAAAATCATGTGGAATTAGTAGTCTGTCACTTGCAGAGAAATTGGTAATGACTGATTAGTTATCCAGGAAAGCCAATTAGGTGGTTCAACCACTGAGATGTGACCAAAAATATGTGTTAACTTTAGGGTAAAAAACACACAGAAAAACATTGAAACTGAACTAAAGTCATAGGTCAATAATGCATGCACATTTGCTTGTTCTGCACTATGATTGATCCATAGATTAAGGGATTGATTCGTAAGTAACTTGACACAATGTCAACCTCGATTAGGTAGTGTCATATTCAATAATTAGAATCATAGCTCAAAGGTCAAGGTAAAAAATATGTGTGTTTTTTTGCTTATCCAGGCAGTGACTTTGTCATGAATTGATTGATTTTATAATAACTTTGCACAAATCACAAGAACCAAACTCTTTACTCTATGTATTGTGAAATGAAACATTATTGAAATTTTCCTCATTGTCTGATATTAATAAGGTATACAATGTACATCATACACAGTTCTTCGTCATGGAAATGTTGTAATTTTATAATAAGTATTGGGTTACAATTCTTGTTTTAGAGAAATTTAATAAGTGTCTTAAACATGACTGCATTGAACCATTTGTACTTTACAACATAAAGGATGACAAGTAAGACAAAGTCATCTGATGTCAATCATGATGCAATCAAACATTGAAGGAAATCATATGTGATATTAAGGGGATTTTTCAAAAAGGAAACTCTTTAATGGCTTTTTAAACTTCGCCTTTTACTTTATATGTAACTCTTCTCTCAAAAGAAACCTGAGGAAAAATGGACAATATTTTTCATGAAAATGAAATCAGGCATCAATGTGCATATGTCCTGATTGGGGGAGGGGGGGGGGACAGGGAACAAGGAACATTCTTGATGATTATATAATGTAAAAACAAATAATCAATATCAGACTTTTAGAACTCCAAGCATGTTTTATGGAAACTGGCTTTAAGCACCATTCTGTCAAATCAGAAAAAAACATTTGTAAAAGATCAGCATGTATGTATGGCAGGTCCAAAAATTGTATGAATCATAATCATCTTTTTGTCATGATGACCTTATCAGGATGTAATTTTTGTTGCTTACACTTATTATGCCCCCATTTCGAAGAAAAGGGGGTATATTGCTTTGCACTTGTCGGTCCGTCGGTCCGTTGGTCCGTCGGTCCGTCGGTCCGTAGACCAAATGGTTTCCGAGTGATAACTAAAGAACCCTTAGGCCTAGGAACTTCAAACTTGGTATGGTGATTTGGTCATGACCAGTAGATGACCCCTATTGATTTTGGGGTCAAGGGGTCAAAAGGTCAAGGTCACATGACCTTGTAAGCAAAAACGGTTTCCGAATCAATAACTAAAGAACCTTAAGGCCTAGGAACTTCAAACTTTAGGTATGGTGATTGTCCTGACCAGTAGATGACCCCTATTGATTTTGGGGTCAAAGGGTCAAAGGTCAAGGTCACATTGACCTTGTAAGCAAAAACGGTTTCCGATCAATAACTTAAGAACCTTAAGGCCTAGGAACTTCAAACTTGGTATGGTGATTGGTCATGATCAGTAGATGATTCCCTATTGATTTTGGGTCAAGGGTCAAAGGTCAAGGTCACATTGACCTTGTAAGCAAAAACGGTTTCCAAATCAATAACTAAAGAACTTTAAGGCCTAGGAACTTCAAACTTGGTATGGTGATTTGGTCATGATCAGTAGATGACCCCTATTGATTTTTGGGGTCAAGGGGTCAAAAGGTCAAGGTCACATTTGACCTTGTAAGGCAATAACGGTTTCTGATCAATAACTAAAGAACTTTAAGGCCTAGGACTTTCAAACTTGGTATGGTGATTGGTCATGATCAGCAGATGACCCCTATTGATTTTGGGGTCAAAAAGGGTCAAAGGTCAAGTCACATGGACCTCTTCGGTAAAAACGGTTTCTGATCATTAACAAAAGAACCCTCAGGCCTAGGAACTTCAAAACTTGGTATGGTGATTGGTCATGACCAGCAGATGACCCCTATTGATTTTGGGTTAAGGGGTCAAAGGTTCAAAGGTCACATTGACTTTGTAGTAAAAACGGTTTTTCCGATCAATAACGAAAGAACCCTTAGGCCTACGGACTTCAAATCTTGATATGGTGATTGGTCATTATCAGAAGATGACCCCTATTGATTTTGGGGTCAAGGGTTAAAGGTCAAGGTCACATTACCTCTTAGGTAAAAACGGTTTCCGATCAAATAACTAAAAGAACCCTTAGGCCTAGGAACTTCAAACATGGTATGGGTGATTGGTCATGACCAGCAGATGACCTATTGATTTTTGGGGTCAAGGGTCAAAGGTCAAGTCACATTGACCTTGTATGTTAAAACGGTTTTCCGATCAATTAACTAAAAACGCTTAGGCCTAAGGAACTTCAAACTTGTATGATGATTGGTCGTGACCAGCAGATGACCCTATTGAGTTTTGGGTCAAGGGGTCAAAGGTTAAGGTCATGACAAGTAGATACTTGATAACCCTTATTAATTGTTTGATCACTGGGTCAGAAGTCATGCATAATAACCTTATCACATGACTAATTGGCTGCTGATAGGGGGCATACATGTTTTACAAACATATCTTGTTGTAAACATGTTTAGCAAAATTCAAAATCTTGATGTACAGAATTAATGGTTAAGTTAAAGCTATACACATTTGACTGGAATATCTGGTACATTTTTATGTTCCCTTAGGTACTAGGGCACACAGATTTCCCCTTGTTCATCAGTCAATCACCCTGACTGTCTGCTCATAGACTGACAATACAGTGGAATGTTGGGGCAATTGTGTCCTTAGTTGTATGTGGAAATAAACTTAAACCTAGAGTAAATGTGATATGACTTAGTGATTTTCTTGGTTTTTTTAGCTAGAGCCTTGAGAATTAGATTTACCTCTGCATTGTTGAAATTATGACCATATCTAGGAATATTATTCCGGTGATTAATCAAGGACCACGATGTTTTTTCAACCCTTATGGGGTTGGCAAAGGGTTGTAGAAATACCCTAATGATATATAAAAGGCTAACCGATTTCATGTTTCCTACTCCTTTTGATATGTAAATATGTTTGCTGGTTTTTATGTAAACATTTGTGTTGAGATAATGTATTTGAATGTTTCAGCAATAGTCAAGCGGGTTTTTGTCAAGAATCCACAAGAACTTCAGGGAGAAGTATTTCATACACGGCTTCTTAAAGGTGAAAGGGGGCTTGGCTTTACAATTATAGGTGGCGATCATCCAAATGAAGAATTTCTTCAGATCAAAAATGTTGTAAGAAATGGACCAGCTTATGTGGATGGAAAACTGCAAACTGGTATATGTCTTCTTTTTTTTGAATAATGATTAAATTAGATTAAGTAAAATGACAAAGTAATAGTAATTCCAATTCATGTATTTCGGTTGTACAGGTCATCGGAGGAACTAAAACACATAAATATATAAAGTTTCATGAAATTTTGTGTTTGTGTTAATCTGTTACATGTTTAGTATTACCTCAGCATTTTAATTATTCTTTGATAAAGAAAACAGACTTGTATCTTTATGCCATCATCCATTGATCTTTCTGATTATTTGTTCATCTTTCTTTCACAAATATTGTGAGCTCAAAGACATAAGGTTCATGACCTCCTTGTTTTTTTTTTCAAAAAATTACAAGGTCAAATGCTTACAGCCACATGGGTTCAAACCCTGTCAGGGGCAAGTCGTTGTTTCCTTGAGCAAGAAACTTTACACTCGTTGCTCAGTACTGGTTGGAACAGACTCAAAAGTGTGTCTATAAGCTTATAGCTTCCTACACAATCAAACTAAAATAGATTCTGTATAAACCAAATGTTTACATACTATACATGTGTATTTAGCAGGACATTAAATAATGATGATTTACAAATCTCACTATTATGCCCCATTATAAATTTGATATACACAAGCAGCTCTCTCAGTGACTGCGTTAGTGTTGATTTAATTTGATTGATACAGAGTCTTTGCCAGTAAAAAATACATAGAGGGACATCTGAGGTCTTCCTTCATCAGTGAAAGTGATGGTCAACCCTGTGTATAAATATTTGTCTATATTATATATAAAACATGTCACTTTAATATTCAATTTACTGACTTACTTAATATATGGCTGATTGAATGTGATGACCAACCTGGAATAGACTTACTGAACTGTTAGCTGTTTGATGTGGCATATGTAAGTATTACCCTGACAGGGACAAGCCGTTGTTTCTTTGAGCAAGAAACTTTACATTGAAAAGAATGTATTTGACTTGTTTGTTGTTTTTTTATGTGTGTTTTTTTTATACGCCCGTTTGAAAAACGGGACGTATTATGGGAACGCCCCTGGCGGGCGGGCGGTCGGGCGTATGGGCGGGCGGCGTCCAATTTTGTTTGGAGCATATCTCCTACATGTATGGAGGGATTTTAATGAAACTTCATAGAAATGTTCACCACTATGAGGAGCAGTGTCGCGCACATGAACCAGGTCTCTAGGTCAAAGGTCAACGTCACACTTAGAGCTCATTGAAAAAATGCTTGTCCGGAGCAAAACTTCCACATGTATAGAGGGATTTCAATATTACTTGGCACAAATGTTCACCATTGTGAGGCGGAGTGTCGCGCGCAAGATTCAGGTCCTTGCAGTCAAGGTCAAGGTCACACATAGAGGTCAAAGTTCAGATAAAAATATGAAGATGTGTATATGGACCATTTAGTCATCATTTATTGAGGGATTGTAACACAAATGGTCATTATCAAGACTATGGCTGTGATACATATAATTTAGGTCAATATATTCAAGGTCAAGGTCACTAAAGATGATGAAATATCCAGATTTTGTCCGGAGCATATCTCCTACACGCATGGAGGGATTTTAATGAAATTTCATAGAAATGTTCACCATTATGAGAAGCCATGTCACGCACATGAACTAGGTCGCTAGGTCAAAGGTCAAGGTCACACTTAGAGCTCATTGAAAAACGCTTGTCCGGAGCAAAACTTCCACATGCCATAGAGGGATTTCAATATAACTTGGCACAAATGTTCACCATTGTGAGGCAGAGTGTCACGCACAAAATTCAGGTCCCTGCAGCCAAGGTCAAGGTCACACATAGAGGTCAAAGTTTAGATAAAAATATGAAGATGTGTATAGGGACGATTTAATCATCATTTATTGAGGGATTGTAACACAAATGGTCATTATCATGACTACGACTGTGACACATGTACTTTAGGTCAATATATGCAAGGTCAAGGTCACTAAAGATGGTGAAATATCCAGATTTTGTCTGGAGCATATCTCCTACATGTATGGAAGAATTTTTAGCTCGACTTTTCTATGAAAAGGGGAGCTATCCTACTCGCCCCGGCGTCGGCGTCGGCGTTAGCGTTGGCGTCACACCTTGGTTAAGTTTTTCGTACCACCCCACTTTATTTCAGAAGTATTACAAGTATGGCTTTGAAACTTACCATACTTGTTCACCATCATAACCTCCATCTACAGACAAGAGTACATAACTCTGTCAAGGTTTTTGACAGAATTATGGCCCTTTTTTGACTTAGAAAGTGTATTGAGCTTGGTTAAGTTTTTTGTACCACCTCACTTTATTTCAAAACCATTGGAGGTATTGCTTTGAAACTGACCATACTTGTTTACCATCATGACCTTCATCAACAGACAAGAGGACATAACTCTGTCAAGGTTTTTGACAGAATTATGCCCCTTTTTGACTTAGAAAATACATTGAATATGGGTAAAATCCACTTATTGCCTTAACCCTTTGAGATATTGCTTTGAAACTTTTAATGCTATTTCACATCATTACCCCCATCTGTACGCAAGAGAAGGATAACTCTGTCAAGGATTTGTTTTAAAAATTAAGGCCTTTTATCGACTTAGAATCTTGGTTAAGTTTTTTAGTACCAGTCCACTTTTTGACTGAACTGTTTGAGATATTAATTTGAAAGTTGGAATACTTGTTTACAATCATGATTCCCAAACATGTCCAGGAGAAGGTAATTCTGTCAAAGATTTTATTTGAATTATGGCCCTTAACTGTCAATGTTTTGTATTATAGGCAAGCACTAAAAAACTTAAAAAATCTAAAAAAATTCATTCCTATCCACTTGTTCACTTTACCATAAATTATGTCATATATTGCTGTAATTATTCAAGGTATCAAACAAAGTTCACTTTAAAAAAAAAATTCTTTAAAAATGGCAAGCTAAAAAAATTACGGACAGCTCTTGTTATAATACTTATGGAAATGTTCACCACCTATGTTCCATTGATCCTTGTTCACACTTAGAGCTCACTTTCCGGAGCAAAACTTCTTCATTTCACTTGGCACCAAATGTTCAAATTGTTATGTCGCACGCAAAATATCAGATCCCTGCGACCAAAAAGTCAAGGTTACACAAGAGGTCAAAGTTCAGATAAAAATTTGAAGATGGTGTATAGGGACCATTTAGTCATCATTTTATTGATGAATTGTAGCACAAATGGTAACTATCATAACTACAGGTGTGACACATTTAATTTAGGTTAATATTTGCAAGGTCAAGGTCACTGGAGATAATTAAATATCCAGATGTTGTCCGGAGCATTATTTTCTACATGCATGGAGGAATTTTAATGTTACTTTATAGAATTGTTCACTCACCATGAGACGTAGTGCCCCTGCACATGAACCAAGTCTCTAGGTCAAAGGTGAAGGTCACAGTTAGAGCTCATAGAAAAAAAACGCTTGTCTGGAGCAAAACTTCTACATGCATAGAGGGATTTCAATATAATTTGGCACAAATGTTCATCATTGTGAGGCTGAGTGCCGTGCATAAAATTCAGGTCCCTGCGACCAAGGTCAAGGTCACCACATCCTGTGCATATCTTCCCTACTGATTTGTTTTAAGGTTCATATTAACAACACAGTGCCAAGAATAAAAACTTGCTTGCTAGATAACACTTATCCATAATGCCCCCATCTCCATCTAAAGCTTTCGTAAACGGGCGTATTTTGTGACTATGGCACCCTTGTTCTATATTGTAAATTATGTGACCTAAAATGGATTTTCAACATTTTTGTTATAATGATATACCTGTATGCGTACAAGTTATGAAATAAACTCTGTTCTGTTGTGTATTTTAAAGGAGGTTTTAAACTATAGTGATTAACTACTTCAAACTATAGTGATTAACTTCTAGACTTTTTTTGTTAACAGGTGATGTATTAGTGCGTGTTAATGGAGAACTTGTTCTTGGCTACACTCATCAGGACGTTGTTCAGCTATTTCAAACACTTCAGCCAGGAGATTATGTGGAGCTTGAAATTTGCAGAGGTTACCCATTGCCATTTGACCCCGATGACCCCAACACTGAGATTATAACAACGATTGCCGTAGGGCATAACGATACACGTGGTTCAAATTCACCGGCCTCATACTCGTCACGTGAAAACATTGATTTCCGTAATGATATGTCTTCAAGAAGTTTAAAATCATTACCAGAGCTGGTGAAATCAGCAAATATGAACCCAGCAGTAGATTACCCTTATCATAAAGGTTCAGATACTAACACACCTGATGTGTTAGGTCAAACAACGCCAGAGATATTGACTATGGATATAGTACGAGGGGACATGGGTTTTGGTTTTACAATAGCAGATAGTTCATTTGGGCAAAAAGTAAAGCAGATATTAGATCGTGAAAGGTGTGGAACTTTACAGGAAGGAGATTTTATTCAGCAGATAAACAGTACTAATGTGGTAGATATGAATCATGCACAGGTTGTTCAAGTGTTAAAAGATTGTCCTATAGGGGAGGAAACACAGATTGTTGTACAAAGGGGAGGTAAGGCAATAAGATTGTAGAGATAAAAAGTCTGTAATATATCTAGTACATTAAGACATAAGGCAGACCTTAAAGCTGCATGCCACCAGATGAGTCAAAATATTTCAAGAAAATCAAACAAATGTACCAAGATTTTAAAACAGCAAAATGATTGAAGATTCAAGTAATAATTTAGATGTTCAGATAAATGGCTGTTTTTGCATATTTCGACCCCTTTTTTAGCTCACCTGAGCATGCTCAGGGTGAGCTTTTAGGATCGATGATTGTCTGTCGTCCGTCCGTCGTCCGTCCGTTCACATTTAGTTGTTAACACTCTAGCGGTCGCATTTTTGCCTCAATCATCATCAAACTTGGTCAGGATGCTTATCTAGTTGATAGCTCGGATGAGTTCGAACATGGGTCATCTCGGATGAGAAACTAGGTCACCAGAGCTAAAAAAATAGAAAAACCTTGTCAACACTCTAGAGGTCACATTTTTTGCCTCAATCATCATCAAACTTGGTTCAGGATGTTTGTCTAGGTGATAGCTTCAGATGAGTTCGAACATGGGTCATCTCGGATGAAAAAGTAGGTCACCGGAGCTAAAACTAGAAAAACCATGTTAACACTCTAGAGGTCACATATTTTGCCTCAATCATATCATCAAACTTGGTCAGAAGGCTCAGGGATTTTGTCATAGGTATAGGCTCGGATGAGTTTGAACATGGGTCATCTCGATGAAAAAAAGTAAGGGTCACAGGAGCTAAAAATAGAAAAACCTTGTTAACACTCTAGTGGGTCACAATTTGACTCAATTTCATCAAACTTGGCAGGAAACTTGTCTACAGGTCATTGATGGGAATAAATCGAACATGGGACATCTCGATGAAAAAATAGGTCACAGGAGCCTAAAAATCTTAGAAAAAATCTTATTAAAAACTTCTAGTGCTACGTTGCATCCAAATATTCTGTTAATTGGTCTGAAATTGTTTTTTGAATGATTTGCTAAGTCAAGATCGAACATGGGTCATCTTGGATGAAAAAACTAGGTTCACCGCCCATAATATGGAAAAAACCTTGTTAAGCATTCCTAGTGTTCACATTTCCGACTCAAATTATCATCAAACTTGGTCAGGATGCTTGCTAGGTAATTGCTTCGATGAGTTCGAATCGCATGTGAAAACTAGGTCAACCAGAGCTAAAAATAGCGAAAATCTTGTTAACACTCTAGTGCTACTGTTTTGATCCAAGATCCTGGAATAGGTCTGAAGTTTGTTTTTGATGATTTCTAGGTCAAGTTTGCAATATTGTGTCACCGGGTAAAAAGCTAGGTCGCATCCGCCTTCAAATTATGGATATCCTGTTAACACTGTAGTGGTCACATTTTTGGACTCACCTGTCATGAGACTTGGTCAGAATGCCTTGATCTAGTAATTGTTGGAGAGTGTGATAGAGTCAGGTGAGCGATCTAGTGGCCATCATGGCCCTCTTTGGTAATTGATGTATATCTGGAGATATGCTGCTCTAAATACTAGGTAATTCATTGAGATCAATGATTGTTGTATGCTTCCATTTTTCGTTTGTGAAAGAAAACGAAAATGTTAAACTATGCTTCCCAATACAGTTTTAGCATCACTATGATAAAGCGTCTTCCTACCAGACTTACATAAGTTCTCTTTATTGAGAAACACGTAATGTCTATTAGAGGTATCATTAATGTGTCTGGTCAATATCTGTCATAATTAATTCTAAATTATCCTTTGTTAAACGATTTTGAGATGAAATGATTATGCGAGAAACAATCAATTGTTATTTTTGGGATGATGGTTTTTAAACAAAATGGTACATGTATATAATATCTTTTGCAGGTATACCACTTAAAGGAAGACCAAATAAAACAGTAAGTAGTTTTGATATGGTAATTTATTTTTATTTTATTGTTATGCACCAAACAGTTGTTACATTGTTGGGTATTGCATGAGATATTTTGGAAAACAAGCAGAGGTTTTACCGTCTCCATATATCCACATGGGTGAAAGTTTCAGGATTATTCCATATATCCTCTGAAAAGCCTTCTAATTTCCTATGTAAAACTAAGAGAATCAGGATTTTCCAAGGAAAAATTTATTACATGTTTTGCACCAAAATATGTATTCTACATTAATTTGTAGTGATTTAGTCATTTTGTAAAGCTTTTAATTTCTAAACCTTGGAGGTGCTTTTACCAGAAGTTTGAAAATCCAACAGTTAGTTATCGCCTTGCATTCGGGAAGGTGTGATTGTAATTGATTGGTGCATTTATATGAGGCTGAGCAGTCTAACCAATACATCCAAGATTGTCATTCTTTAGCTTCTTGACTATTTGATAAGTAGTGGGGCTTTTCTTCTTACCTGCCCAACTGTGTTGTTGTTGTAACATTTTGGTAAATGTTTTGTATGCAACATTTTGTATAATTTGATATCTCTTCCATCACAAAATAGATATTTGTTTGAAACTACACAATCATATTTAGTGGCCTTTGTCCCAAGCTCAAAGATATACATAAAATTTTAGCAGGGGTTATCAGTTAATGTAAACATTGCCTTGTTGAATTTTTTTTGTTTACTTATAAAAATGGGAACTTTTAAAACTTTGTTACATAGTAATATGTTTATTTTTGTTCTCCTTTATTTAAGCCAGTAGGAGAGACAATATTGAGTTTTTTAGTTTTTAGTTTAAAATTGTCCATACATTTAAATCAATTGTGTATTGCAGAATGAAGATTTACTGGAATGGATATTGGAAAACCAACCAGGAGCATATTTCTTTAAATGGTAACTATAATTTGAAATATTATCATGTTCATCTTCTCTGTATGTAATACATGTACTTATCTTCAGTTTATTAGAACATTAAAGAGGTGAAAAATATTTTCATTAAATATCTTTCATTCAGTTTCACATTTTGTGAAGTATCTTAAGAGCGCAATGTTTGGTTAGATTAGGAGCTCAATTTATAGAAACAAAAGTTGTTGACACTGTAGGACATAAATTTCCTCCATTCAAGAGAAAATGATATCAGAATTTTTAACTTGGGCTTAGATTTTAAAACCTTTTCCTATCTTATGGATAGAGAATTTATTTTTTTCAAGATTACATGTCTTAGAGGTAGTCTAGTTATCCAGACAGGCATTCTATAGTGGCATCTCTTTAATGATTTTATGATACACCCACTTGGCTTAACAGTGAGAGCATGGAATTTGTAATATACGGCTTGCTGGACTGACCATGGAAATATGACCCCAAAAAAGAGTTGAAGTATGTGAAAAAATGAAGTAAATCTTGATAAAGATATTGAATCTCAGAAAGATCATGTAATTTGGTCTGTCTCTATATGTAAAAAAAAAAGTTAAATAAAGACAGATATTAAATAAGAATGCTCTATGTTCAGAAATTGTTGTTATACCAGTTTCCATTTTGCCCTCTTTTATTCACCTTATACTTCCTACAATATGGGTATGCAATAACTTTCAATATTAAAACTATTTAAGACCATAAAGCCTTTGGACTTTTTCTGCAGCTTTAACTATAAGCTAAAAGTGTCGTATCTTGGCATGCAGTTCTTCAAGCCTTCCACTCATCATGCGGTCCTACAAAGTACACAATAAACAACTTTTAAAATCATCAGAAATGATATTACATGTATGATGTACATATATTTCTCTTACATTTTAGAACACTCATACTATGAATGGCTAAATGTACTTCAAAGTTTTAAGGAAATATTTATAAAATGGGTCAGATCTAATTCTGTAGCAGGACAACACTTTTAAAAACAGCTTATTTTATATTGCTATAAGAGATAAAAAAAATTAATTCTGTTCTTATATCTTTCTCCAGAAAAAGGTGAAGGTCCACCTGGTTTGAACTCTGTTGATGGTTACATGAACATGTCAAAAGGTAAACCGTATTTGTACTTAAAAAAATTTAAAACCAAATTTTTCCACATTAATTTTACTAAAAGTCTGCATTGGAGAAATTTGGGTTACTGATGTGTATAAATTTTCTGTCAATATGTTGTAATTGTTTGCATTGTTATATAACTATTTAAGTTTAAAGCTTTGTATTAGATAGAAAAATACCTCATTTCACTTATATGTATTAATTGTAGAAAAGGATTTCTGTTTGAAAAGTGCATATTAATTGGCTGGTAGGGGTATAAAAAGATTATTGTATCAGTAATCATTTTAAATTTCTTGTAGGAGATAAACATTTTATACATGATTTTTGTTTACCTTCTAATTTTTTTATATTTGTAATATTTATAGTGCGTGATGAGTTAGATGGTTCAGGAGTACCTCCAGAAATTCCTCGTCGACCTCGCACACCTAATGATCCACAGCACCCTAAAACACCGTCCGAAACTCGTCCTAAGACCCCAACAAGGCTTCCTTTTCAAAGTGAAAATGCAAGAGCAAAACTGAATACACCTAATAGTGCTAATTTACCAAGAAAGGATTATTTTCAAACAGATAATTCAAAGGAAATAACTAATAATAGTAATGTTGAGCATTTAAACACAAACTCAAGGCCTCCACCAGGTCCTAGATTTGATCAGTTTAGGTCAGAAACAGGACCTAGGTCAGACTTTAAGGGCAGAACAAATTTTAATATGCACAATTCTTATGATAAAGACATTACTGGAAGAGGTGACAGTGTGAAACCAGGACAGTTCAGAAGCCGGACACCTGGACCGGAACTCATGCATCGAACTCAAATACCTGATTATCGACCAGAGCCAAATCGGCCAAAAACTCCTACAGCATCAGATATGAGAAGTAAAACTCCTATCCCTGGCTTATATGGGCAAGTTCCAGGAGGAAATTCTGAGTTTAGAAACAATCATTATCAAAATTCGTGGGTAAATCATAGTGGCTCGTATAAAACTTTTGACCCTAATTCAAGGACATGGGGTTCAAGTATTCCAGAAAATACTTACAGTCGTATGAATTCAAGTGTACCTATGGGCGCTGGTCGTCCATCTAAGCAAAGTACTTCTTTTGAAATAGAGGAACCATCATCTAATGATATGATGAGGATTCCAAAAGATACCCGTTTTTTTCCCTCATTCGGGTCCTCAGTCTCCAACCCTTTTCAGATACCAGGTAATAGGAGGACAATAAAAAATTTTTATAAAATAAAAGTAATTTATACAACGGGAAATGGTTTTGGGTTTCAAAATATAGGGGTACTGAGGGGGGTAAAGGGTTAGTTATTCACTTGTTTTAATTTTTACAAGTGATTTGATATGTTAATTGCAGCAAAATATCAATTACATTAGACTTTCTGAAATAGTTCACAAAGGGGCACCTGAGATCTTACTCCATGAGTAAGGCTGAAAAGTTGACATATGTCCTTTACAAAATAGGAGCAACCTAAATAAGCATTAAAGGGTATGAAACAATCTGTAATGAAATATATTTATAAGATGCATTTTGTTGACTCCTTAATCTGATAGTCGATTCTTGAAAGAAATGCAACATTAAATGTCTCTGTTATTTAAACACAATCAATATTGTATGTAAAAAGAACAAATTTGTTCAAGATACTATTTAGCATTCACCATTTGCTCTTAATGAAATTTAAAAACATATTTTTATCATACAGGTACATGTACTCTGGAATTATTCTTTTTCAACTACAAGCAGCAACAATATAGCCTTATACAGTTAATGTTGTTTGTTTCACTTACATAAAATTAAAGACAATATTGGCAGAATGAAATCTGCAAGATAGAAATCATTGAAAGTCTGCATTTTAAACAAAAAAAAAATCATTTAAAAAATATCACCAAGCTTGTTTTCAACTAAGTTGTCCTAAATTTATTGGTTTTTCGTTTTTTAAAGGGGAAAATAACCTTACATTATGCTTACGTCCCCAAAAAGTTTACCAGATTAAAAACTAAATTTTTTTTACTAAGTTAAGAAAAAAGGGGGCAAATATGACCCTTTTGTTAAAAAGGAAAAAAAACCCAAAAAATTTTTTGTTTGATGGGGAATATCTCTAAACCAAAATACCCCCCCTAATGTTATAGAAAAGCGGTAAATTTTATCTAGATGTTTAGCCTCTTGGACTTTAAACAGGGTGTTGGACAATTGCGGGTCTTTAAAATTTTTTTAAAGTGCTTTATTAACTAAACAGTAAAAAATTAAATAAAGATTGTCAGAGGTTATATTTTAAATTAAATTTTGGGGGTTGTTTCAGTTGCTGGGTCATTTGTACCAGGGGGTGCCGCAGACCAGGGGTCTGGTTACGAACTGGGGTGGGGATTCTTTTTTATGGGTCTGCGGAAATTTAATTTTTCGCACCACAAATTTTTCAGCTATGGGTAATGCTGGGTTTTAAAAGGTCAAGTGTCACTGGTTTCTAGACGAATTGTTCCTTGCAGGTATGTAACTTTTGCTTTTCAGCTATAAAGGTTTTTCTAATTCTTTGGGCTTTCTGGTGATTTTGTTGGGGTTTTTAAAAGTTTAAAAAAGTATGTTGTAAAAAAAGAAAAACAGACCTTAAAAGCGATATATTACAACAATTTCGTACAAAATACTGAAAATTGTTTCATTTTTATATATTTCAAAAATTTTTGGGAAAAAGACAGTATATAAGGTAAATTTCTTTTATACTCAGATTTAAAAATTTTAATGGGTATTAAAAATGAAAAAAGTTTAAAAGAAAAAAAAAAATTTTATTATTTTTAAAATACAAAGTTAAAAAAAGAGTTAAAGGAAAAAAATATGGACAATTTAAGAATTTTCTGATTGGTATAAAATAATTCTGTATGGTTGTCTCACAACTCAAATGAACAAAAGCAGTTAGCAATTAGCTTAAGAAACTAAAGGACAATGGAAGGTATAATAAAATAGTTATTATGTTTTGTATACATGGAAAGTACAACAGAAAGATGGCTTGTGCCCTTTGATTTTTAATCTCAAATTTCACAGGTTTCACATATCCATTTTCATGCGTGGCGGTTAGGATATTTCACTGAATTAGTTTAATTCATTAGTTATATTTATAGCTTTATTTCTATCAAAATTTCAGATGGTTATCCCTATGATGTCGTTGTTAGTCGAAGAGAAAATGAGGGCTTCGGTTTTGTTATAATATCGTCTGTTACGAAAGCTGGTTCGACGATAGGTGAGTTCATTGGTATGTGTCACCCATTTTCTTTTTCCTTTTTCCTTTGTGTATATTTTACCATTGTATACAAGTTTAAAAAATATAAGAACTATGGTAAGTAGTTCATTGCAGTTAGGGGGAAAATGTTGAATTCTATTAGAACAATTTTCGTAGGTGAAGTTTTGTAAGTCGCACTTTTGCTTTTAATGACATATTCTCATAAACCAGTTTTCCAATTGTATTGTAACATGATAGAGAAATAAATTTCGGATGGTTCTTTAAAAATATGGGCATGTTTTGATCAAAGGTCATATGATTTGAATTAATGAATTTTTAATTTTTTTGGGAAATTGGGTTGAAAACCTCTAATTTTAAAAAAAAAGTGATCCCTTTTTAAAAATAATAAAATTTTTTTTCTTTTTTATTACTAAAATTAAAAAAGAAAAATGACATTTTTTTGAAAATTTTTCTTGTTCGAAAAAGAATTCAAAAGGGAAAATCCAAAGGAAAAACTAAAAAGTTTTAAAAAATTTTCCCGGGTTTAAAAAGGACCCGGGTCGAAACTCGGGAAACTTTTATTTTACAGTTCCCTTTAAAAACCCGCTGGAAATTTAAAAATTTTTAAAAACTTTTAACCTTTCCATACCTGTTTAAAATGGTTGTTTAACCCGTACTAAAACAAAAAGTTTGGGCAGAAAATAAATTTCCAGACAAGGGGTTTTAAAATAGAAAAATTGTTTTTGGAAATTTAAATTGAACTTTTCCCCAAAAAAAAACATGAAAAAATGGGTAAAAAAAATTTTTTAAAAAGGTTTTTATGGTAATAAAAGGAAAAAAAACGGGCTTTATTTTTTAAAAGAAAAATGCTAAAATTACTTTTTAAAGTTTCTTAGTAAATATTTTTAAAATTTTAGGGGTTTTTTGGAAAAAAGTGGTTTTTGACTGAAATTAGAAAAAAAACATAAAAAAATTTTCTAAATTTTAAAAGGTTTTTAAAAAAATAGTAGGTTCCAAAAGGGGTTTTTCATAAGGTTTTCATTTTTTCCGTCGTTTTCCCGGGCGCTGAACTTTTGGGAACATCCTCTTAAACCGGAAAGCCGATTTTTTTTAAATAATGAACAACCCTATGTGTAGATGGTTATTTAAAAGGAAATTTTTGCTGCGACCAAATTTAAAAGAGAATTATAGCCCTTTGTTAAATTTTTTCAAAAACTATATACTATGTAGAAATTTTGTGAACGCAACTCCTCTTAAAAACCGGATGGCAGATTTTGCTTAAAACTTCCAGGGATGAACAACCTTAATGTGTAAATGGTAAGTAAAGGAAGGAATTTTTGCTGCGACCAAATTTAACAGAATTATGGACCTTTGTTGATTTTTAGTTTTCAACTTGTGGCACATGTAGTCCAAAAAAATATTTGACCTAGAGTCATAAGATTGACAGAACAGTGGCGTGTGGGGGCATCCGTGTCCTATGGACACATTTCTAGTTTTGTCTTCAGATATATTAAATTTTTTACAAGGGGACTAGTATTTGTGTATAAATATTTGTGGTGTCACTTAAGTAATACTCCTAAAATATATATTTGTTATAAAGTTACCATAAATTTTCAGATAATGTGTCATTATATCATGGTAGATTAACTGTAGATGATATCTTCAATAAGACAAAATTGTACCCATGGATTGGTGAGAATAAATTGCATGCTGGTACTGTCTTTGTGACTGCAGCTATATTCACATCTCACATGTAGTTCCCTTCTCTTTATATACAATACAATGCAATACAATATGTTTGTAAATTTTAATGATAGGTGCTCCTGTTGGACTAAAGGAGACAAAAATAGTGGTGCCTATATACAGATTGTATAAATTTAATTTGAAGTTGATACATGTAAGATGTGTAAATGATTGTAGAGCTGGGGTGTGCACTTGGATGACCAGCCTGTTGGAATGAATTACATACCTGAATGTGTTTCGAGTGGACATTGATCGTTAAGTTTTGACATTATTTGCTTCATTGTAACTTTTTTTCCTCAGCAATTTTCCCTCCTGCAAATATTTCTGTTTTAGAATCAATTTTTTATTGACAGTGTATTACATTGGTTAGCTCACCAGATCAGATGTTCAGGGGAAGCTATTATCATGGTACTGGGGATACACCACCATCAGCTGTGGTTTTCTCTAAAACTAAACTAAAAGGCAGATTAACTTCAGATTTTGCTTTGTAGCATACATACAGAATAGAGCCTGGTCAGACTGCACGGACTTGGGGGCTGGTCAGGCTCTATACTGGTGGCAAAGGCTTAACGCTTTCGGTTCCAGCACTTTAAGAATTAAATTTGCTCATGTTTGGGGTCGTCCGATCTAAAAATAGAATAAATCTTAAAACAACTTACGGTCAGATGATTTGATCATGTAATAACCTTATTTATTACATGCTTTTCGGTGGTTTATAGAAATATATCAGTGATATAAAATTGGTAATTTCACTGTTTGAAACTGTTTGAAACAGTGAAATTACCACTTTGATAATTTCACTGTTTTGAATTTAAGCCCCTTACGTTGTTTCAGTGAAATACCAGGGTGCACAGTACTGGGTACCAACTTAATGACGTGACGTTGTAAATGACGTCACGCTGTATTCATTTTTTGGCGCGCCTTTCATTTTTTGGGGGTTAATTTTTTAAATTTTCTGTAAAAGAAATTTTGGTAGATGGGGATTGGATTATTTACTTGGGGGAAAGGAAATCACATTTAAACAAATATCCTCTATATAGCCTTTTATCAAGTTAGATTAACCCCTTATACTGCTTCAGTTGTTAGCAAGTCTAATGTTTATTCTGGTGGGTGATAAAGGGCCATCATGGTCCTTTATTTTCATTGTTTTACACTTCAATGTGCTTACAGAGAGTGTGTGTAAAATGTTTTTTTAAAATGAGCTGCTGAATTTTTTGCCATGAAATATCTTCAGTCGACATTGTATTATGTTACTGATGATGTAATGCATGGTTTATGACTATCGAAAGCATGATGAATCAGTTGGAATTGAAATGAGTTATTGTTTGTCAATACTGTCCTGCATGCTGGAGATAATTGGCCGATACAATAATTATTTTATCTTCTGTATTATATACAGTTTTATTGTGATAGGGTAGACCGAGTAAGATTACAGAGTGTGTTACAAGTTTGTGTTTTCTGATGTTTGAAAATATTTTACATATTACCATATTTTCCCTCCGCAGCTGATTTGAATGTGAAGAAGAAGTTGACACATTTATTTACATTGTTTGAGAGTGCAGGAACATTCATATAATGACACTTTGCCTGTATATTACCCTGATAATGTTACAAATACAATTAAAGGTCAAATTTAACTATGTTAAATGGTAAAATGAATTGATCAGTCATAAATGACATAAGTTATAATGGTCCTTGGTATGTTAAGGTGTTATCCAACGGAGTTATGTGGTACTGTTACATCTTGTAGTAACAGTCCTTGGTAAGTTATGCAAGGATCTAACCTGAAACATACAGTGAACAAGGCTGTAACAATACCACAAGGGCACTGTTGCAGTCCAATTAGTGTATGATGTAGAAAGTATTTCAGGCGTAATTGTTGACGATCTATCCCCATTCATTTGCCGAAGAAAATGTGTCTTTTTAATTTGAAATAAAACATTTTTAATTGATATTGGTTTGCATTTTTAGAACCTAAAATAATTGTCTTGTCATCGCATTTAGTCTCTTCAAATGCTGTTGTACTTTAGTAAATAAAGGTTTTTGTAACAGAACCATACTTAAATAAATGGAGATGTATCGCCTTTTTCATTAGTACAAAATGTAAGCATTGCAGATAATATCAAATTCATTTTAAGCATCAAAGAGTTTGTTGAGTTAGTCACTCAAATTTTCTTGTTATTCAAGTGTGAAGGCATTGAAGACAACTATCATTAATATGAGTGCAAACCCATGCAAACAAGTGTTTCCACTCTGTATCAATCTGTTATCAAGTAAACAATAAATATATTGTATAGATGAGGTTGTACTGTTTCTTACATGTATGGTATTTGTTTATATACAATACAATATAAGAAGGCAAAAATACATGGCAATAAAATGAAAATAAGTGATTTATGTATTTTTTAATGGCACCCTTCAAACATTCACACTGTCAATTATACATATTTTGTGCTAGTTTGTATGTTAAGAATTACTTCCCTGATAAAAATCTCCATCATTATGCCTAGTATCATTGATGAAAGACTATCCTTTTTCGTAAATTATTTTTACGAACAGTAACAGGTTTCTTATCTATCAAAATAATATGGTTATAAATCAAAGGACAGTGAACTAACTCATTGATAGATGTTAATTTTGCAACATCTATAGAATCTATAAAGGCTTACGTAATATCTTTCAATAAGTAGTTCTACATCAATTTTTATCTCTACGTAACTATTGTGATTGATTAGTTATGGTATTAATACATTTTATATTGCGCCCCCCCCCCCCCCCCCTTCCAAAAAAAGAATTGCCTGGTTTTGTAGGATTACGATATTGCTGTTGCGACTGATTTTTTAACATCGATAAACTATGCAATAAAATTGAGAGATTATAATGCTTAAAATATGACCAATGTGATTGATTAAACGGGATATATAAAATATAATCAGCAATACCGTATAAGTGGTTTTTTCTGCGGGCTCCAAATTCTGCGGTTTTTCAAAATTTTGGCATGTTTTTATTTCTGCGGACTTAATTTCTGCGGCACATTCTTTGGACAAAATGTGATTAAATACTGCGGCTCATCTTATCAAAGTCTAAGTCACATTACTTTACCTATTTTATTTGCATGTACACATTCGCATTAAAATTTTGTTTACCGTCGTCACCGCAGAACTATATTATATAGTAATTACAAACAATTATATTATTTGCTTGCAAACAAATATAATGTGCATCAATAGACAGTTTGCATCTTTAAATCAGTGTGAAATGATGTGTGAAAAATATACCACGGTAGTATCTTTAATTTTATAAAATTGATAGAAGTTTATCGTAAATCAGACAACAATTAATGTATACGACGATTATTTAGCAGTATAAGGGTTTAAATGGTTTTAATGATTTAGTGGTAAACAAACCCTTTAGCGTACAGGCAAACACTATATATGATGTTTGAATTTCTTTGTTCATAAATTGGCATAATTAACAACAATTACATCCTTACATGCACATATTGCATATTTAGCCGAAATCAATTTTATATAACTCGATGACCCGCTAACCGTTATAATCCGTTAGTCTTTATTCCTTTAAAGGAAACAGGTCATAATGTAGGACTCATTTCTTTTAAAAAAAAAAACGTGGAGAAATATTCTGCGGTTTTTATTTCTGCGGTGCTGAAACTGACCGCAGAAAACGCAGAAATAAAGTCACCGCAGAAAAAACCACTTATACGGTAATTAGTAAAATATTTCCAATGTTTGAAAAGCGACTTGGATATTTGCTACAACTCTTAACAAGCAATCCAGAGATTAAGTTGTGAAGTAAATGGAAAAAAAATAAGATTCAAGAGTGTTTCAATAAGCTTCCAACACAATCAAACTAAAATAAATCTGTATAAAACTAATTGAAAATGATATGTGTTTTAGGTATACAGAACTTGACAACAAAGTCACTATTTTTACTTTATACATGTATAGTGTTAAGCTTTTGTAAATAGCATGATGCCCACTGTGTGTTCTTTTCCACATAGCCGTGATTTCTTTTTAAAAAGCCATCTCTTTATCTGCCTGGTAGATTTCAACCAAACTTCAGAGGATGATCTTTAGAATAACAAAGGTTACATAATCCTTCCAGTCTGATGTATAAGTAGGTCAAAAAAGCTAAAAATGGACTTAAGAGATGAAATATTTTCATGGCTAAAATTTGCCCCACCTGGGGGTCAATAAGTTTATATAGAAATAGGAAAATACATTTAAATTAACTTCTGAAACTACATTTCATGGAGCTTAGATTATTTGACTAGGGGACCTCTTTAAAGAGTTATACAGGAAATCAGATTTAGATCTTTCTATGTGAATTGCATGGCCAAGAGATAAGATATTTTGAAATGTCTAGAGGACCTCTTCAAAAGTTATAAGAATCATGACCCCTGGGTCAATAATGGCCCTGCTCTAATGTGACCTTATGTTTTCTGCATTTAAGAATCATAGTAATTACTGGCAATGGATCTCAAATGAATTATCTAGGGCCATAATGACCTTCTTGTTTTGTTGTGTGAGGGGGGGGGGGGGGGAGGGGGTAAGTGAATTCTTTGATAAAGCATTATTTATGACTTTTGTATTTTACATTTTGACTCTGTACATTAGCATAGTTGATAGGGCACCAAGTTTAACTCTTTGGATCTGAATAAACAATACTTTAAATACATGTATAGTTTATAGTGTGACAATTTGAACAGTTATTTTTGTGTATATACATGTACCTGTGTAATAAGCATTTGATGTCTATTCGTATTCAAACAAAGTCAGTGGATTGGAGTAACAGTGTTATTTAGCACCTTTCCCTTAGTTTCATTGATGCATCTGTTGTAGAAAGTGTCAATGCTCTTATATGATATCATTTAGGTAAAGCCTGGCATGAGGCACAGTTGTTTACACAGTTTTAGCACAGTCATGTCTAGTTAGTTGTTTATGAACTATTTGATATTCCCTAGACAAAATAAGCATACAACTTTTAAGATTTATTACAACTTTTAAAATTTATTACCGCCTCCGTGGTCGAGGGGTTAGAGTCGATGACTTCTAATCCAGTTACCTCTCTGGCATGGGTTCGATCCCCGGGAGATGCTTTGGTAGTTTAGTGCGGAGTAAGGTAGTCTAGTACTGGTGTAACTCTCCAGGACAATGGTTAGGAAACTACCCGCCTATATGACTGAAATACTGTTGGGAAAAGGCGTAAAATGAAACAAACAAACAAACAAATAAACATTTAAAATTTATTGATTTGGATTTACAATTATGTTGGTGGTATGGCCCAGTGATTAACTGGTCAGACTAGTAATGTAAGGATTGCTGGGTGTGTGGGTTCAAACCCTGTCAGCAGCAAGCAATAGTTTCTGTGAGGAAGAAACTTTACTCTCATTGCTTAGTACTGGTTGGTTCCAGGAACGGATTTGAGAGTGTTTCAATGAGCTTGTTTATAGCTTCCATCATAAGTTTGCATAAACTAAAATAATTATGTTGGGATTATCTCTGTTGATTTGACATATTCCAATCTTATTCTGTAAATGAAATGGCATTGAGCATTTATGCAATCTTTTGAAGAAACTGATTCTTGCAGGGCATGTTGCAAAATATATTGTAAATTGTATGTATTTTTTGGTCATTATTATGGTAATGTTGTAATGAATTTTGTTTTGCAGGTCGTATTTTAGATAACAGTCCAGCAGAGAGATGTGGTCAGTTACGTGTTGGTGATCGTATATTAGCTGTCAATGGTGTTGATATTTCACACCTACATCATGAGGATATTGTCAACATTATCAAGGAATCAGGATATTCTGTTACATTAACTGTTGGACCACCTCTTGGTTAGTATTTATTTCTAGCCCGTCACTAGTAACTTGGACATTATGTTAAGATTATACATGTGTATGTCCCAATGATTTAGTTCATTTAAGGATGAAGTGGATTTTGACACTCGGAAGCATGAAGTGTGACTTTTAGGTTTTTAGAGGTCACAGGTTTGATCTATATCAAACTTTGCTTGATAGAGTGTTTGTCTTACAGCTATTTCAGACAAGTCTGAACATTTTGTTATCATTTTTAGCTCACTGAAGCATAGAGTGCTCAGAGGAGATCAAACAGATGCTATTGCAGGCATAACCCCGAGTTGAATTTTGGCAGACAAAAAAATGATGTATTGTTTATTCCAAATGTTCACCCCTCTTAAAGCAACACTTATATAATGTATCAAAGTTCAAGTACATGTACTATGTAAAGAGCTTAAGTAAATAGGAACACCATTTAAAATGTAAAAAAACTTATTTGGTAAAGTTAAATTGCTGCGAACTGAAGAGTGGGAATATAAGTATCTTTTTTGCAAAATGACTCTATTCAAATATTCTTTGAATCATAGAAGAGTTGGCCTACAGAGTAAGGACTTATTGAATCTATAGTCATTTATGGTAGATTTGTTATAATTGACTTTTTTTTTACTTTTAGATGATTCATCAAGCAACACGTCACAGAGGGTAAGTTCTGATAAATATTTGCAAATAATTGTTAGAAAATTCTGTAAGTTATAGTATGTGATATGTCAGTGTGCAGTTGTATAGCTTTTGTATTGTAGAAGTTAAGAAAATTCATTATAGCTTATAAATGAAATACTGAGAAATATTGATGAAATGAAATGGGTATTTTCATTTTCCATATTTTTACTTTGAAAATTTATTTTTCACTGCAATGAAACATATTTCCATATTTTCACAGTTGTCTTGCCTGACTGCTTTCTTCTCAATTGAGCCGATACACAAAACTTTAGGGGAAGTTTTTCAAATTGTAATGTTAAAAATAAGAGAAAAATGTATATAATAAACAAAACAAAAACTACAAGTTTTTTTCTATAAATACAGGATTTATTTTTCATCTTGTGGTATGAAAATTAAATTTCACTCATGGCTACAGCCACCCGTGAAATAGTTTTCTTACCACTCAATGAAGAACATCCTGTTTTTTACAGAAAGAACTTGAATATCCTCTATTTATTGACTATGAGTTAATATCTTCAGACTCAATACAGATAAACTTTTTAATCAGCTTGTTGAAGGATATAAAGCATTAATTGATAACATATATTTCAGAGTACTGGAGGTTCAATGATGAATGCTATGGCAATGCCAACACTGAATGATACAGATAGCAAATTTAGATATGCATCTGTACCAGGACATAAAGACAGTCTGAGATCGAGGAGATACCATGCAAAGGTTTATTTTTGATATTATCACAAGTAAACATAGATTTACTGTCAAGTCTCTGTTGATTTTATTGCAGGTTTCCTTGAAAATTACCGCCCTAAGTTCTTCTGTACTTTTCATTATATTCCATACCAGTGACCACTACAACTCAAGCACTTACAATGTCAAAATTTAGCCTTTTTTAATTTTGATAAGGCCATTGTTGCCATGTTTTTTTGAGAAACTTTCTGGCACAGAAAAATCATCTCTAATCTGAAACTAAAACTCCTAAACTTTTGACAATGGACTTTCACCAAATTTCTCTGATTTTGTCCCATTATTAATTGTTTGATCCATGTATCTTTACAAACAAATTCCTGTTTACTTTATGAAGGATATCCAAGATGATCAGATATATGTGGTGGATTTGAATCGTGGTCACAGAGGCTTTGGTTTCTCTATTCGTGGTGGACAAGAGTTTAATAATATGCCATTGTTTGTTCTACGTATTGCCGAGGGAGGAGCCGCAGATATTGATAAAAGATTACGGGTAATTATTCACCATTTCATCACCAAAAAAAAATCTAGAAACTTCATATTATGCATGCAAGGTATTTAACTTATTGCACAGAAAGGTATTTTTGTCCTGAATTGAAATATTTGTTAATGGCATTTGTCTTATGGTTTGCTTTGTAACAAAGCTTCATATACCACAGAAGGTGATTCATACTCATTTTAGACTTTTGCTCAGGAAGAAATATTTTTGTTACCCACGAGCATTTCCCTTCCACTCAATACTTCTATCATACTCTTAGGAACCAACCTTATATGTACCACTGTACTGTATGTGCTTCCTGTAAAAACGTTTGTTGGTTTCCAGTAAAATATGTGAGAGTTCATGGATATTATTCTATGATTGAACAGTTTTACAATTTTGAATTATTTTGTTTAATATTGATTTTTGATAAAAATTTGAAATAGTACTGGACAGATCTATTTTTCCTATATACACTTTCAGAGAAATGTAGAATAGCATTGCCATTTAAAAGAAAGAAAAAAAAGAAAAGAAAGGAAGAAGTTCGCATGCAAAAAGAAAAATACTCCCAAAATGTAAAAGTCTAAATTTACTGATCAGTTACAGGAAAATGCTACAGGAAATGAGTATCTACTTAACACCGATATTTTTTTTCAAATTCTAACAAATGAAAATAGATGTATAGGGAAATAAGTACTTTTTATGGAACTGTTTAATTTAATTGTTGAATGTGTAATGTGAACTACGTCTATTTATGTTTTATAGGTTGGAGATCAATTGTTGGAAATCAATGATTATAGAACAGAGAATATGACACATTCAGAGGCAATAGATATTATACAGAATGGTGGACCAACGTTGAGACTGGTTGTTAGGAGAACCGGAAAACCTCCGCCTAGTTTCGGTAATTAAAAATGAATTACTAACTTACTATATACACTGAATGAAACTCATTTGCATGATTTACAAAATCTTGTTCTCAAGCACAAGAAAGGCAAAAGCTTTAATGTATCACTTGTAATATATATGTTATCTTTTAGATACTACCAAGATTGTTCAGATTTTAAGGCTGGGGAAACAAGTCCTTGTGAGCATTTGTTTCATTGATTTACAAAATCAAATTTTTGGTGGAAAAATTGGCCACAGGGTCACTTATTTTACATAAACTTATGTTAGAAAGCATTTTCAAATCTTGTGTGGAAGTACTAGACTTGGATATTTTGTGTTTAGCTATTCCTAGTCAACCTCTAGAAAATAAATAATATGAATCTTAGTCTTGGGGTCAAATTGGCCATAGCCTAATGTGATTCAATGACTAACTTCTTCATTGGAAAATTATGACTTTTTCTAGCGAGTGGTCTCTGATGGGCGATAGGCATACTTGTATTTGAAAAACTACAAAGATTGTTTAATAGTTGCCTACCTAAGGAGTCACTTTGGTATAATAATTTTACTTTATTTCGGGGTTATGATGCTGTGATGGAACTATAAGCTTATTTAAACAGTCATCGATTAAAGTTGACGAGGAAAAACTAGTTACTTTTAGACCCAATGAATGTTAAACGATTCTTGCCTCCGATGCAAGGCAACGGCTTGTCCCTAACAGTGTTTGAACCCACTGGGTCACGAATCCTTAGATTACTAGTCCGACGATGATTTCTAGTCATTACTAGTTAACCACTGGGCCACGCCACCACACTATAAAAAAAATCTACTTTATTTGTAGAGTTATGTTTATAAAAGTATGATATAAAAGTAGTGTTAGACTTGAATAAGGTGAGCTTTTAAAGGGCAGTCATGGCCCCATACAATTATGTGTGACGAGTTAAGAAATAAATATTTTAATTTTTTCAGAGCCATCACCATCTCCTGGGACACGATATCCTCCGAGTCCGATGTCAAATGGTCCAATCGGTCAGAGTTCACCTTACCTGGGGCGTAGAAATATTAACTTTGATCGAGAAGATCACACATACTATAATCAACCTGCCAGTAGGTCTTATATAAACAATTGACAGTGTTTCACATTGCAAAGGACAATTGGATATTTTGACGATATGAGATAAAACAGTATTTCCATACAAGTCAGGGAGATGAGTTATTTTACACATTGTTTTTAATGGATACTTCTAAGCAGTTGTAAAGTAATAACGGTGCTTGGGATATTGTTGATGACCAAGTTTAATTGATACGCTATCAGTGAGCCTGGTATCCTGTACAGGACAGCTTTCATTTTTTCTATACAAGCAGTCAGTGATTCTTGTGACCTATGTAGGACAGTGCATCTTATGGAATAAGCTGTCAATTTTCCTGGTACACTGTATCACAGAACATTATATGGAATAAGCTGTCAGTGTTCCCGGTACCTTGTATCGGACAAAGCATTATATGGCATAAGTTGTCAGTGATCCTGGTACCCTGTATAAGATAGAGCAAAAGCTGTGTTCCTGGTACCCTGTTTTGGACAGAGCATTATATGGAATAAGCTGTCGGTGTTCCCAGTACCCTGTATCGGACAGAGCATTACATGGAATTAGCTGTCACTATGCCTGGTACCCTGTATAAGATAGAGCAAAAGCTGTTCTCCTGGTACCCTGTTATGGAATAAGCTGTTGGTGTTCCTGGTCCCCTATATCGGACAGAGCATTACATAGAATAAGCTGTCAGTGTTCCTGGTACCCTGTATCAGATAGCGCTCCATGTGTTGTGAAATTAAGATAGCTTGCATACACCAGGGAATATTCTGATCAGTTGTATAAATTCATTTTGACATATATTGCATACAGAAAATGTTTGTGTGACATTTGTATTATGTGCAACTCCAGAGCAGTCATTAATTTTTGTGCGATTTTTTTTAGCAACAGTAAAAAAATGATATATTTGTGACTTAAAGAATTTGAATAACAATAGTAGATTGGAGGTGAAATTACAGTAAAACTTATTATGCAATTGAAACATTTGCAAGCAAAGTTTTGTGATAAACTTTATTTTTATACTTACTTTAAGATTGAGCATTTCTGTGTTACACACGTATGTGCCAGTAGAATATTGTAAGATCATCACTTACTTCAGTTTAATATTGAATCATCCTTTCACTGCTTGGTACTTTGTTTACTCTACTTCTAAAGTATATGTCCACCCTATTTTGTTTACTCTACTACTAAAATATATGTACACCCTACTTGCAGGCTATTTTTTCAGCTATAAGGTTTAACTAACTGCACACCTGTTTGATACTGCAAAATTTAATTTCTTTCAAAATGTTGAAATAGATTTATTAAGATAACATTTGAGTTAACTTTCTAACAGTATTATGACCTGGTAAATTGTTCAGAAAGATGCAGTTTTCTAGATTAATTATTTCAGAGCTAACTCTAAATAACTGCATGATGAGTAGCTGATAATTTCTATGAGAAGGCTGTATTTTACTACGCAACCTGCTGCAAATTCTACACATAAAAATATAAGAGGACAAGTGAAATTTTTTATCATTGTAAATCATTGACACGTGTATTTTAGTATTAAACATATATAAAAGAATGTGAATAGGTCATCAAGTATGTGACTTTTTGAAAATTAGATTTTCAAACAGAATTTTGTCCATCTTATATGATGGGTTTTTTGTAGATGAGTTAACATTACTATATAGCAGTGAAAGGGTTATCAATTTTTAAACTTTACAGAATACTATTATTTCCTTTCATTGATACTTTTTATTGTTATTTTTTAATTATTCTTTTAGAATGGTAAAGTGTTGTACAGTTCACAAACTTCTTTGGACATACTATTTGAAATATAATGTGAAAATGATGAGAAAATATGGGGGTAAAATCTAAAATGTTTTGCAATTAGTAATCCAACGTTATTATTGTTGCATTATGCCCATTCAAGTGTAAATTTTGAGAGTACAATTAAAAGTAAAAAGAAGTTGACATTTTGCCAAATTTTTTCGCGGTTTCATATTTTACCTTTAAGTGAAAATTCAATAACTCACATGGCACACAGAAATTTCTATAAATATCTTTCAGAATATATCGGTAACACTTGGTTGTAAAAAAAGAGAGGGGTATTTTTATATTTAAGGTAGTTTTTATACCTTATCCTTAACACATGTAATTATCAATTACTGGTCAATTACTATTTAAATAATCAATCTTTTGAAATATATATGTAATTCAACACAACAAAATGAGCATAATGTCACTCCTACATGACCCTATGGTCGAAATATTGCATTGTAGAATTGTGTCCTTTTCTAGCAAGTGTATAATCTAGGACCATCATGTTTTGTTATACATAGTCAATATAGGCTGCATTGCATATTGAGATACCTTCAAGTGAGGAAACTATCAAGCTAGCTGATGGAATGTCAGTGGTTCTACTCAGGTGCCGTCAGTACCTAAAGTAATGCACATAGGGGCACCTGAGGTCTGCCTCCAGCAGTTAAGCTGGAAAGTCGCCATATGACCAGAACAGTATTGGTTCAAAGTTAAAACCAACAACCACAAAAAAATCCTATGTATACTTCTTGAACAACATTTTTCTTTTCATTTTGATTCATGTGTGAAAAAGGAAGAAAAAAAGACACCCAGTACTGGTAAGTTCAGGGGAAAGAGACTTGAGAGTAGTTACATGTACAGTACAGCTTAAATAAATAATGTTTCAACACCACTTACCATTCTAACTGAATTTTATTATTTTCAAACTAAGTCTTTAATTGATATTATAATTGTTAGAATATAGAATAGTTATAATTGTACATATGAAGATAATGTTAAGGAAGTAAGAATGTGTGAACATTAGAAGTGGGGTCATTATTATACCCAGGACTAGCCCATTCTGTATCACTAATATGACATTCAAATACAAACTTAACCACTTATATTTTTGACATGGAACATTGACTGTAATGCTCATTTGTCTCTCACCGCTGATCTAGAAATCAAATAGCCCTAGTAGCTTGTTCACTTGCTGAAAAATTGTTATTATTGGTTAAGACAGTTGGACATCTAGGATAGAAATTAGACTGAAAATGTGTTAAAATTGTCATTTATAAAAAAAAACACACACATACACACAAAGATTATCACATATATTTTGACAACATCAAAAATTCAAAATACACCCTTGCCAAAAGTCTTTACTAAAAAAATTCTTATGTTGCAAAATAATTCAATTCTTCGATAAAAGTAATAAATAATATAGAGAATAATAGGTTGGTGCCGGGGATGGAGAAAGTTTATCTGGCGAGGCGGAGGAATTTATTGGGTGAGCCGAAGGCGAACCCAATAAATTCCGGAGCAGAGCCAGATAAACTTTCTCCATCCACGGCACCAATCTATTATTCTATTTATCCTGTCACCGTTTTTTTAAAAGAATTTTATTAGGCAAACTACCTTTTAATCACACTATCGGAAATGTTTCTATATAAACAAAGAAGGCCCGATGCGTGCATTATTCTACAACAATGCACCTGTGAATTTTCACATTGAGGGCGCCATTTTGTTTGAAAAATGTGATAAATAAAAACAATTTTTTGTCGAATTTTGTTGTGAAAACTATCTAGAATGAAAGAAAATGGTCTAACTAAGAAAATGAATTCGAACACCAATATCTTTTATTCAGTCGTTAACGCTGTACAGACGTTTAAAGTATTGTTTACGTGACGTCACAATGTAGCGCCAAACAGCACGTGCAAAACAATCAAATCAAGTACGCTAGTTTAATGTCGCAAACGAGTTAAGTTTTACATTTATTTCACTTTTAAACGGCCTGTAAAGAACGTTTCTATTGGAAACTCTGAGGCGAAAACAAATTTAACCACCAAACATAAAGTCCAACTTTATAATAATAATTATATTTTTTCTTGAAAAGTAGTCCGGCAAACATGCATACCACGTGATCAAGTGCCGTAGATCAGTAAAAATATACGGCACCTTGTTATTGGGCCGAAATTGATACAAGTGACAGGATAAAAGTTTATAATTTGTCACAGCCTTTTGTACTATCTTTATATACTATGTACATACACAAATATGTAAATGTCGTAATTGACAAACATGCAGTATTGTCTATGAGTAAGCTGATAAAAGATAAACAAATTTTAACTTTTAGGAGTTCTCTTTTCATCCATTTTCATGTAATGTTCAGTATTCAAAACTTGGATCTGCATTATTATACTGTCTCCAAAAGATTCAATATTGATAACCTTACTAATGCTAGATCAGTAGAAGGTTAGAGAAGGAATAATAGTGTATCTTTTACAAGCACTTGTGACAGTAATTTTTACAACCACTTCTGTCAAATTTTAATTTTGTTTTTGTCTGAGTTTCTGGTGAGTTATTTGTAATGTAGTAATAATTTCAACAGTTGTCAGAATTTCTTTAAATCAATGCCTGTCTTGTTTTTCTGATATTTTTTGTATGAATTCCAACTTTTTTTGAAAAATTTGTAAAACTGTATGGTCCATTTTTGACTTTTATTCGGGGCCCAAATAAAATAAAAATACTTTTTAGTACCCTTTTTATGAACAATAAAAACTTACCCCAGAGCACCTAATTTTCTTATTTCAAGCCTATGAAAATTTTATTAATTTTACCCCGTTTTAGGGGCTGCTAGATTTTTAAGCTGAAAACATTTTTATGTGATGATTAATGGGTGTATTGTCACCAAATAAGGACTGTAGAATTAGTATAGACCATCTTAGCCAAAAATTGGAAATGTTTAAAGGGACTCCACTGAGGTTTTTTGACATGATTGGACTGAAAATATTTTTTCCAGATAAATGTACCATTTGATGTAGGTTTAGACCACTAATCTTTGTGCAAAATTTCAAATCACTTTTTTGTTCCAGAATGATTATTTAATTTGTAAAAAAATGACCCAAAATGAAAAGCGTTTAAACACTTTTCACTCAAATCAGGTTAAGAAAAGCATAAAAATACGATTTTCAATTTATTTCAAAGTATATTTCTTAACTATCTTTGCATATATTTCTGTTTTAAGTGCCCCAGCTCATTTATGTAAGAAATTCAAATGTTATGTTTGTAGGCTTTTAAACCTCAGTGGAGTCCCTTTAAACAGCCTTACGTTATGAACACGTCTAACATTAATTTTATTGCAAGGCCAGCGTGGCCAACTCGTTATTTTATTTTTTAAATGGTTGTAAATAGGATAATTGTGTTATATTTTAGGAATTTTTCATTATATTTCATGTAACTAGTGCAATTTTCAGTTCTATTATTTATATTCTTCTCTTTTTTATCACAGTTTGCATTATGTAATGATTGCATGTCATAGTCAACTTAACATTATTAGAAAGTTTACAGTTATCAGCTAACTCATGAGTCACATCTTAGCCAAATATCATACAATTTATTAGGTTTTTGTTTTCTTAAATAACAGTTAGTGTTGTGAGCCGTCTCTAGGTTGTATGCCCTTTTTTATTTTGTATTTATATTTACAACTGGCACAAATGTATGATTTTTTTGTGCATTCAGCTATAAAGATGTCTGTTGTGAGGGTATTTTATCACAAGACTGTAGATGGTAAAACTCATTTATTTTACAAAGTGGACAAATAGAAAAGTTGTGTTTTCATTATAGATAACATAACAAGTTTAGTAAGTAAGTAAGTAACGACTTTATTTAATGAGGCAACACAGTTGGGCAAGCCAAGTCTTCCCTGTGAGCCTCAAAGTTTTACTGGTCATGTGACATTTCAATCTGGAAATTATTTTTATCCAAGGTTTGTTTTACATACATGTATTGAGTACAGATAATGAAGGCAAAGTGAAGACATACCTCTTGTAAAATTGTCTTTTTCTGATTTATCAAATAACATAATTTCCATTTTATATATAAAAGTAGATGCTAAAAGGTAAATGCTATTATTTCTATTTTGCAAAAACATTTTACAGTAATCTTAGGACATGACTTTTTATAGGAGAAATATTATATTTTATTAGGAGTAATTGTATCTATTTCTTAGGCATAATAGCCTTGATGATCAGAATAAAAATGAGTACATAATATCTTTGATTAATATAAAATACTTCAATCTTATTTGTCAAGGTAAACCTAGAACAAGATAATTATTAAAAAGCATGGCCAATGTGAAGATTATCATTATTTTTGTATTGTAAAGATAAGATTCAAGTTTGTTGTTTGTAAAATTGCATATCATCATAATTATAAATGTTATCTGTATCTTTGTTAGGCAGCTCCCACCTTGTGCAATTGTTTGATCTTACAGAGCTACATATATACTGTATACAAACATGTAAATCATATGAACAGTTCTTGTTAACTTTGATAATATTGTCACCTTTATGCAGTTACAGGTTAACTTCTATTACATTATATATGGAGTTTACCCATTACTGCACATGTGCATACTGACAAAAATCGTCTTTTTGTATACTGTATTGTCCTATTTCCATTAAAGTCCTCTGAATTTATTTATACTTTGAATTAGACCAAGGTCATCTTGATGAAATAAAATATCAATGATGCTTTTCCCTGATACCTGTATTTTTTCTCTACAGTCTAATTATACCACTTATTCTTCTAGATATGTAATAATTATAACACAGCTAAAAGAAAAGATTTTAAACCAGTGTAATATTAATCTTTTGTTAAAAACCATGAATGTAGAACTTAGACATTTTGCATGTTGACCTGCAGGAAGTGCTGGGTTTTTTAACAATTGTTTGAATGTAATTAATGCTCATTTTTACATCATTTTTTACATCATGTACAGACATGTATATCGTTAGAGTATCATTATACAATATGTACAGAGAATATTATATTAAATACACATCAACTGATGACGGCTTTTGTGTTTCTTTTAGCACCCCTCACAGATGAGGTTTTGCGTTGCTTGATTTCCATTGTGCTCCTCATCCATAATTTCTTTAAACAGCATCTCCTCCTAAACTACTTTGTAGACTTTCACCGAATGCTACAGAAATCATTTTATATTGATGGTCACAGTCTGATGCATATTTAAGTCACATGAACTAAAAGTCTGCTTACAAATGGAATTAGAATGCCTTAAAATGGAATTAGAATGCCGAAAGCATGGCCCCTACAAAATTCATATTAACCTTGGGCACAGAGTTTAATTTACATAGACTTATATAGGAAAATGCATTTTCACCTTTAAAACTGCATGTCATTGAGGTCGGATATTTGAAAAGAAGTACTGTAAATGAGACAGTAGGTTTTAGCACGTATATTTACGGCATCATAACGGTTCTTGAAATTTCCCTTATTTTCGTTTTTAGAGAAAAATCTACGAAAGCATTCAAAATGCGTAACAACTGATTAAATGCAGCAAATTCATATTTAACATCGAAGTGGTCTATGTCAGCCAACACCAAATTGTTCGTCTTGTTCTGTAGTTTCCTGAATAACTATTCATTTGACTCAAGTCCGATGCGAAGATTAGAAATCCAATATGGCGTCAAAGATGGCCACAAAATCCCTAAATATTTTGGAATATAAATGTTTGCTTGTATTTGTTTCCATTTTTCAAGTGAAATTTTGCACAAATGTCATTTAAAGCGTTTAACACAACGAGGCTTAACTTTATTGGAGGAACTATTCAATTACATAACTTTACAAAATAAAAGTTGTTTGTGTCGGAATTACAAATGGCTATAAAATAACCTAATGGAAGAGATTTAACTCTGCAGGAATTTCCAATATAAATTACAGAGTTACCTCTCTCCTCATTCCATATTCATATGCATATTACAACTTTATGCATATCATTAGTTATTCATGTATTTCTGTTATGCATATAGTGTTTCTATCTTCAATTTTAATGACACCAGTCAAATATTACGCTTGTTCATCGTTTGGTAATTTCATTTCATCTTTATATTAATATATTTTTTATTTTCATACAGAAAATTTCCAATAAAAACTTTAAACTTGGAACATTTTTTTAATTATATACATGTCTTATCCTTTCCCAACTTAGTAATTCCAGACAAACATTACACTTTCATATTATTTATACATGTTGATCATCACCTGTTCTATCTACATTTACAAACGAATCTCTAAAAACAAACTTCCTATCTATAAATTCATTGAAGTTTAACAACTAAATTCTCTCCGGCTTATGGCATACAGCACTTCCAGTGCTTTGATTATTAGTTTGCAGCCTAGTTCCCACGAATAAATGTGTTAACTAAACAGGATATTTACGTGTTTTTGCTTTCTCTGATTGGAGCAACGCTGATAACCTTCTAACAAAAACAACACTGTAAACAAAGTTGTTGGCAAACACTTCACCAGATTATAACAAATCCGGAAGCCGCACTTAATGTTTCTTCAAGTGCGTCAGGCGCTAACCCGCCTATAGAGCTATCATTTATAGCCACGGATATACACCAGCATGCATGTAAAAATGCCTGATGTCAGTGTTTTGGTCATATTGACCGTTGGAATATTATTTCCAGGAATTTATAGCGAAGAGACGATATATAAAGTAAGACCTTAATGTTATTTATGTATGTTATAAAATAAAATACTTTTGATTATACAGAATACCATGGTAGTGTCCGATATTACAAAATTTATCAGGCAAGGCAAAGAAAAAAAAATAGGGCGAGGCTCTACCGAGCCTTTCCTTTTTGTGTGTGTGTGGGGCCTGATAAATTTTATAATATCTGACACTTGTTTGGTATTCTATTTATCATGTTTTCAATTTTAGTATGCGTTTAGTATGCGTTAGATTTTAACTGAAACAACAAAATGTTAAGACCCTCTCGAGTACATGTCGCGCACAGTAATATACAAAGGGTTTTATCTATATGAAATAGTAACAAATGTTTTAGTCAAATATAAGAGAGAATTTAAAATTCAATAATTATATTCGTTTCAAAGTTTACCCGTTTGATATTTTCAAAATAGTAAGGGGTAAAATATATTCCATTCTCTTCATTTTATTTGAGTTGACTGATAAAGCTGAGGGTGATTGTTAGCAACAGAAATAAATGTAATGACATGATGAAATACAATATATGAACTGTATAAATTTGAATCTTTATATATCTTTGTTTATCTCTGATTAAAAAGAACTAATCGAAATTTTGAGATACTGGTAAATTTGTAATGTTTCACAGATGAAGATGCTCTTTGTATTTATATGCATTATGCGATCAAAACATAATGATTTCATAGATGTTAGATATTAAATACGGGGTGATATAATTAAGGTAGAGAAAGCACAATGGGACATGAGGAAGCCAGGCCCCCATTATATCTCTTGTTATAATATAATTTGTGTACAAAATTGGTCATAGGTCTTACACAAACAATGCATTATACACATATCTTCAATTCAGCATTAGTGAGGAAAATACCCTCTCAAGAAGACGGTGATCACGTGGGTTATATTGACGTCAAACATTACAACTTAATAATTACGTATAGAGAAACTGGCAGGACTTGAACCCACGCCCCGCTTTACTCTTCGATATGGAGGTTTTATTTTAGGCACCTTAAATATCAATGTTACAGTCAATGGAAAAATAGTCCTTTTGACTGTAAACTATTCTTATTCAACTACATTAATTAAACGAGTTAAATATCATAAAATTTTATGAAGACGCATTCAAAGCCAATCGTAACATCTCGGCTATAATCAATAATAACCTCGGACTCAAAGTAATAATAACAAAAAAGACTGGTGCATAATGGAAAAAGTAACTTTTTGGGGACACACATCGCAAATATAAAATTAAAAAAATGAATTAATGTTGTAATGGATTTGTTTACAGAACATACATGTATAATAATATAACGTTTACGTGAATTTCAGAAGCCAGAGATTCATTCGCTACACATTCATTCTGACATCAGATATCGATATGCCACGACAACGGTGACAAGTCGAATAAAAAATGTCGACTCAAAATCAAGAGAAGCTAATTTTGATGTAACGCTTCCAAATGAGGCTTTCATCACGAATATGACACTGTTAGTTTATGTTTTCCCCTCTGACATTATAATGTTATTTTATCACTTAACTATTTCCCTTTAAATTTTACATTATCACATGTACCCTCCGCTTTTACAATGGTAAAATCATTACCTACTTTATCCCCTTTCCTTTATCACCGAGGTGCAACGGTATCACTTATTTTATCCCCCTTTTCTTTATCGCCGTAGTGTAACATTATTACCTACTTAATCCCCTCTCCTCTATCACCATAGTGTAACATTATCACCAACTTTATCGCCCCTCCTCTATCACCGCAGTGTAACATTCTCAACTACTTTACCCCCCCCCCTCCTCTCATCGCACGTAGTTTGGACTTATCACATACATTTTCTCCCCTCTAACACTGTATTTTTACATTATTATGTAAACTCTCCCGTCTGACACTTTTTTACATTATCTAACATCATTCTCTCTGACATTAAATTGTCACAATCTTTCACACCCTTCTCTCCTCTGACACTGAATTGTTACATTATTTAACATCACTTTCCCGTCTGTCACTGAAATGCAACATTTTCTGACATTCCTCGCCCGTCTAACACTGAATTGTTACATTATTTAACATCCCTCTACCCTCTGACACTGAATTGTTACGTCATCTAACATCCCTCGCCCGTCTGACACTGAATTGTTACATTATTTAACATCCCTCTTTCCTCTGACTCTGAATTGTTACGTTATCTAACATCCCTCGCCCGTCTGACACTGAATTGTTACATTATTTAACATCCCCCTTCCCTCTGACACTGAATTGTTACGTCATCTAACATCCCTCGCCCGTCAGACACTGAATTGTTACATTATTTAACATCCCTCTTCCCTCTGACACTGAATTGTTACGTCATCTAACATCCCTCGCCCGTCTGACACTGAATTGTTACATTATTTAACATCCCTCTTTCCTCTGACACTGAATTGTTACGTCATCTAACATCCCTCGCCCGTCTGACACTGAATTGTTTCATTATTTAACATCCCTCTTCCCTCTGACACTGAATTGTTACGTCATCTAACATCCCTCGCCCGTCTGACACCGAATTGTTACATTATTTAACAACCCTCTTCCCTCTAACACTGAATTGTTACGTCATCTAACATCCCTCGCCCGTCAGACACTGAATTGTTACATTGTTTAACATCCCTCTGACACTCAATTGTTACGTTATCTAACATCCCTCGCCCGTCTGATACTGAATTGTTACATTATTTAACATCCCTCTGACACTGAATTGTTACGTTATCTTACATCCCTCGCCCGTCTGACACTGAATTGTTACATTATTTAACATATCTCTGACACTGAATTGTTACGTCATCTTACATCCCTCGCCCGTCTGATACTGAATTGTTACATTATTTAACATCCCTCTTACACTGAATTGTTACGTTATCTAACATCTCTCGCCCGTCTGACACTGAATTGTTACATTATTTAACATCCCTCTACCCTCTGCCACCGAATTGTTACATTATTTCATATCCACTCCCCTCTAACACTACATGTTTATTGTTACCTTATTTATAGTGTTTTTCTGGGGAACAAAACGTTTATAGTGTATACATTGTATATCATTTAGATGTATAAAATTAATTACCCTCTTTTATTAGACTGCATAAAATGCTGCGTTATTATACAAGTAGTGTCTATAAAACTTAACTTATTAATAGATTGATTCAAAGCATACTGTAAATTAAGATAGTAATACAAATATATCTCTAGGCATCGTCGGATACCCACGGGCGAACCATTAACATTGATTGCATGTTATGTAACATGTTTATCAATCGTGGGTATTCGACGATGATCTCTAGGATGGTATTTCAATTTCTACAAACGTCATAACAGCTGTTAATACCGAAAAGAGCAACTACATAATTGTAAGAAAAATGTGTTTGTGTTGCGCGTGTTTTTCCTAAACGTTTGGGAATACAATAAATTGTCTTTATATACAGAGAGATAGATGGCAAAATTATCGTCGGGGAGATCAAAGAGAAAGAAACTGCTAAGAAACAATACCAGGCGGCCCAACAACGCGGAGAAAGTGCAGGATATATTGGAACGAGGTTAGTTTATTTCTAGTTTATATAAGAAAAGAAACCCCTGATTACCTTAACGTTTTATTGTTTTTTTATTTAATTATTTATTTTTCTAGCAATATTTAGTAATATTAAAGGGATATTGGTTTTAGTTTCAATGAATGACGAAAGTATCCAAATTTTAAGTTGTAAGGAAATGTTATATTTTTTGCAGACACCGCGAGACAAACAGATTTAACTTGGCAGTAACTGTAGCTTCACAGAGTAAAGTGTCATTTAACCTCACATACCAAGAATTGTTGAAGAGAAAACATGGCTATTACGAGCAGGTAGGATTATCCTTTGTCTATATTTTGTCAATACAAACCTTCGTATATTGTCTTCAAATCATTCTGCTTCCTAAGTGAGCATAAGTGTGTATGATAAAATAAGTAGATATAACAAATTTCTTTTTGTTAGAAGCTTTCAAATTTGTGCTTCATCCATGTTTGAGCATTTATTAAATATATAAACATGATAGAAGAGTCCAAGGTACAGATATAATGCATGCACACCAGTTCTGTTCACAAACTGTATACATTTTAATATTTATACATGTATATCAGTATATGTATAGTATGCCAATGTCTAATTTCTTATTTGTTTTTGTTTGTTTTTGTTTTCCTAAGTCGTTTTATCATTGGAATACATGCAATCAAGCCAAGATTTGAACTACTGCTTTCTTTACAAAATGTAGGCCTACTCAGAAAATGAACTTTCTCACCTTTAACCACGTGCTAAGTAAATCCATTCCTGCTTCGATTAAAATCCCATTGAATAACAATATATTTTTGATCACCATCAACATCCATCGTTAATTTAATTATTATTGAACTTTCAATACTATGCAGAGCTCCAGATAGCGTGCGTATAAGCGTAAAATACGCATAGAAAATCTAAAATACGCATCACTTTCAAAATTCGTGCGTCACAGTTACGCACAACAAAATGAAAATACGCTCGTATGTCAAAATTTATGCGTAAAAGAATAGAAATGTAAACATTTGATATGTAGAAAGAAAATGTTTTGAGCATAAAATACAATATATTTCCATTTAATTGCATTGAAAACTAAAAATTCTGTTGTCAACAACGCATGTTCAAAACGAAAGTAGCAGGAAATACAGAAGGGAGGTATCTCCCGTAGATCTATCAACCTGTGAAATTATTGATGAAATTTGTGCCATATAATCATCGTAGGAGTTAACACAGTATTAAGATTGTTTAGGCATCTATTGACATACTTATGCCTAAATATAAACACAAATATATTTTAATTTCTTTAACTTTAGTTGTTGGAACAAAATAACATGTTATTCACCTGCAATTTTGTACTCAATATTTTCGTACCCAGTCTACAGTTACGGACAATTTTCTCTCAGACCAATAATTTTTTTAAGGAAAGATAAAAAATCTTGTTTATGTTTCTTTAATTCTAATGTCAACTATAATTGTTCAAACTGGAGTACATGATAAGGTACATGCCAACAAAAATAAAGAAAGAAAAATATTGACTCCTAGAAAATAAAATAACTTGAGGGCTTCCACTAGTGGAAGTTTGGGAGTCTTTTACTCCTTGAATTGGCCTGTGACTTCCAAAAATCAATACTTTCCTTCTTTACCTATATTATGTGACTTCCAATATCAGAGATTTTGAAGTCTTTGACTTCAAAATTTTGAAAATGGAAGCCCTGATAATTTTGCTGTGTATCCTAAACTTGAGTTCCAGTATACTCTGGAAGTCTGACTTTACATGGCATGTTTTGTATTGTTTCACATTAAATCAGTATTTAATTTGTAAAGGTTTTTCTAAAAAAAGAAAATAAACAAACAAACAAACACAACAATAAGTTTTATTTGTTTATAAAAAATGCAAAATGCTTTTTTGACAGATTTTACCCCTTAAGTTTTTCAGAATTTGCATTTTACCCCTCACTCTAAATTTTGAGGGGTAAAAACCCCTTGGCCAAAAAAATTATCTGGAGCTCTGACTATGTACAGTAGAATTTTAACTGTACACTATCATTCAATAATAACTTCCATCTTGTGTATTGATTGACCTAATATGTGCACAAACTTTTTTAACGGGACCTCGCAACAGTGCCCGTATTTAAACAATGACGTATTATTTACCACCTTCGCATTTCTATAGTCCGTTTCAAACTGGCATCGAGACACGAATACTTTTTTTGCGCGTGTGTATCTACCCCCCTTCAGGCGGTAGCTGTTTGTTTGTTGTTTTTCTTTTCTTTTTTCATCTCTCATTCTCCCATGATAATGATAATAATTAATTTTCCTCTTACAAATATCTTAAAATATATTTTTGAACTGTGTAGAAATTTATTGAATAAAACCATGTCATGTGTTAAATTAACTAATATTCACTACTGTTATGTATACTCATGTGTTGTATTGTATGTAACTTGAGTTAATAAAGATATGTTCTGTTCTGTTCTGTTCTGATAGACAAAGTGAGGTTATCATAAGTGTGTATGATAGACAAAGTGAGGTCATCATAAGTGTGTATGATAGACAAAGTGAGGTCATCATAAGTGTGTATGATAGACAAAGTGAGGTCATCATAAGTGTGTATGATAGACAAAGTGAGGTCACCGTAAGTGTGTATGATAGACATAGTGAGGTCACCGTAAGTGTGTATGATAGACATAGTGAGGTCACCGTAAGTGTGTATGATAGACATAGTGAGGTCACCGTAAGTGTGTATGATAGACATAGTGAGGTCACCGTAAGTGTGTATGATAGACATAGTGAGATCACCATAAGTGTGTATGATAGACATAGTGAGGTCACCGTAAGTGTGTATGATAGACATAATGAGGTTACCGTAAGTGTGTATGATAGACATACTGAGGTTACCGTATGTATGAATGATAGACATAAAGAGGTAACCATAGTTGTACGATAAACATGTTTGAATCTCTTCTTCTAGCAAATAAAAACTGGGCATCTAACCTATACATGTACGATGTCTGGATTGTGAGGCACATTCCTTAACAAATAGGCCAACTAACTTGCCACCTATCATAAATAGTCTGGCAGATTTATCATTGAGAAATAACAGCATGATGTAATCATAAATGATCCGGTAGATTGATTTATTATAATGCTTTTAAGATATAATGTAATCATTAAGAGTCATATAGAAACGACCATTCATTTGAAGATTCATGCTAATTTTTGTGAAAATTTTGAAAATGTATTTAAAAGTTAAACATTGTTAATTAACAAAGAAAATAATTAACATATTACAAACAACACTTACAATTCACGTAAATTAACAAAAATAGGTAACAAATAAGCAAAACATTCCTTATTTCGTTAGTCATGCAGTAGAAATATGGTGATAAATATTGCAAAATCAGTCACTTAATCGCACATAACATGTAAATTATAATCGTTTTAATTTTCTTAAAACCTTAGTACATTTATCTCAAGTTAATTTTCTTGAAATAATTTTGCCTATCTGGAGACATGCAACTTTAAGACTAACCGTTAGTATATGGCAGTGCGGAGATCTGACAGAATGGAGATGACAAAACAATCTGGCAGAATAAAATGGCCGTTTACGGTCTGCCGTTAGCGGTCTGTCAGAATAAAATGGTCGTTAACGGTCTGTCAAAATAAAAGGCCGTTAGCGGTCTGTCAGAATAAAATGGCCGTTAACGGTATGTCAGAATAAAATGATCGTTAACGGTCTGTCAGAATTATAAGAATCTTATCAGAATATCTAGCTCAAGGATAACTGTTTATGGTGGTAAGGAGGCTCTGCCGAGTTTCCGCGAAACAGTTACCCGAGAGCTAGATATTCAGTCTGTACCGGCAGCCAGTGTTTGATTCTTTTTCTTTCATATTACATATCAATTATTTTCAGAACAGAAATTACAAGAACTGATATTCTCATTTCGCACTTGTTTCTTATTGTAGCGTATGAACTTACAACTTCATTCCTTACGGTATAATGATGTCATCCCAAGAACGCAATTCATTCATAAAGGGCGCGCGACAATGACGTCAGTTATTTAAACATGTTGAATTCTGCTTAAGCCGGTGCTAGGGGGCGTGGACGGTAACTTGCACTTTCCAGTACCGTCCATGAACAGGCTCAATCAAACCGGGCCTGCAACATTTTCAATTTTGCTGCGTTGGGCTTTCTTTAGGGATTCTTATTTCACTCTATTTTGTCTAACATGGGGTGTAAGACAGGGTTTTCTAGCACTGGTGTTAACGGGAGATACTCCTGCCTGATATGCAAGAAAAAATGGTAGTTAACGGTCTGTCAGAATAAAAGTTAACGGTCTGTCAGAATAAAATCGCCGTTAGCTGTCGGAAAGAATGTAATTGACACTTATGGTCTGATAGAATGAATAACGAAGTCGCTGTTAACAGTTTGACAGAATGAAATTACCGTTAACAGTCTGACAATTTAATCGCCGTTAACGGTCTGACATAATGAAATCGACACTTACGGTCTGGCAGAGTGAAATCGACGTTAACGCTCTGACAATGAAATCGATATCAACGTTAACGGTATCAAAAATCAGGCAGACAGAATAAAAACACCATTAACAATCTGGCAGTATGAATTGATTTGAAGAAAATTATAGCAATTAAGGGACTGGCAAACTAAATAATTATTTTAAGGGACTAGAAAATGAAGGGCCTGCACTAAGAGTCTTGCAAAATATTGTTATCATTAATAAGGTTATGGTTACTTATTATATAGTTTTGTTATTCATCATACGCAGTTACTTATTGTCATAACTTGCTGAATTTCTTAAAACTTGTTGCCCCAATCATTTTCAAGAAAATCAATCGTGTTGTAAATTTAAAGTTTGATTGCGCCTGGTCAGACTGCATGTATGGATGTATATGCTTGCCTGGTAATGCACTTTCGGGAAAGGCTAATCATTGTCATTTCCAGCAGGTTAAAAGTTAAATAGAAAGTGCATATATGATAATAAAGATAATTTATGTGTCTTGAATTTAGCAAAGCGGGTTTCATGGATAAAGTTCTCATTATTATCTTAAAGTTGTTTAAGGGTTTCAGGAAACCAAGTTTTTACAAAGTTTCCGGAGTATATCTTTCATGTTAATATGTTCACTTATTGTATGTAAGTTATGTTATAAGGTTTATTAATATCGTGACCCATTTTTCCTGCAAGATATCGTGAAGGTCATGCATGTAGGAATTTTGAAAACAAAAATATTTATAATGTTCTTATGATGATCTATATTGATCCTCACCGCGCTTAATATCTTAAATGAACGTGCTGGACAAAATCATTCATAAATAACATCTGACTGACATTGCAGATCTTGGTCTTCACTTACCGCATGGTTAAATTCAGCAGTCGCCAAGTAGGCAGAGGTTAAGGGTGCTGCCTTTCCTATTTTTCGGAAGATACTTTTACATCAGTAAATACATACTAGTTTGATGCGAGTCTGTAATATTCAAATAATTTATTTTGTTTTACATGTTGCCTGATTTACGTAGATAAGAGCTACACTAGCTTAAATTGTTAGGGTCACACGTACATAATAAAGCCCACACGTTACTGAAATTGAAGCAAAAATGAAACTTCAAATGCAAAAGTTAAACAGCATGTATGTAGATTATTCGAGTTATTGAAAGCGGTATTAACTGGTTCAAGTAGCTCAAAATACTTGAGAAAAATATTTTCCGGCTACGTGAAAATTAACGTGTTGTTGTTGTTTTTTTTAACACACATTAGAAACTAGAAGTTGAACACTTGGATATCATATAAATTTGATAGCGGACGTATACTAAGATATTCATTTCCTTATAGCCATATAAAGGAACATTATTTTTCATGTTAGCTAGTATTGTACCGTATACATAATTATGCTAAGTTGCCAACCGACCTAATTGACTTGAATTACAGTCATGTAAACTGTTCAGATATAGCTTGGGACTACGATATACGGGAGTGGGTTGAGGCGGTGGGAGGGGGAGTGCAAGGGGTCAACAACAGTGTTTTTCTTTTTTCGTATTGCTGGTCGTTTTCCTAAATAGCGACATAACTCATAACTATGAAGAAATCTTAAATTTCTATATTCTCGTCAGTATAATGAAACATAAAGTAATCTAAATGCTGGTATAATTTTTGAGTCATTAACTAGGGGAGACCGAAGCAAAACGGAATATGGGGCGAAATGAAACACAACGTGAAGTTTCAAAATATCGTCACTTAAAAATATCGACAGCAATCGTCAGAATTAAGTAATGTTCCTGATACTGAAAGTACTCAGTGGAATTGAGTTTAAGTAAAACGTCTATTCAAGATAACTGTTTTTCGATCAGAATATTAAGTAAAGCTGATAATATTTAAAGAGTGTAAAAAGTGTAAAGACTGTTACATTTTGTCGCAAATGCCTTTCTTGTTACTTCGAGTATATATATATACACAACCCGACCGTGATAGAGCTGATTGAGATAGCCGAGTCAAATTCTTCGCACAATTGAAATAGATTTAGCCATGTTTTGTCATGGTTAGCCATGTTTCGCATACACCAGAAAAACGATCAAATGTTACAGTTTGTGTCAATTATAAATGAAAAAAATCCTAGTTATAAGATGCAACTATTTACATTTGTTAATTAATGTGAACTGTTCACAACTTCGGACAGAAGGGGTGTTAATACACGAGACATTTTGGATTGTTGATAAGATTGTCACTCGGAAAGTCAAAACATTCAGAAAAGTTGTGTAATAATCAATCCATTCATCATGGTCTTTAAGGAAATATCTATATTAATGCGCACATTCATCGCGATCGATTTATGACCACAAATTATTTTACAAGATATGTTAAACATTTTGCTGATGTAAATGTAAAGCCATGCAAAAGAAAGAAAAGTGTTTGTAATCGAATGACAACCAACCTCGGGTACAAGTTTCCAGCCGATGGCAATATTACCATATGTTTTCTTTAACATTGCCAATAAATCATGCACAGTCGTTTTCTGTAGTTCTTTGCTATATGGAACAAGTCTACAATACGTAACATTGTCTGTTATATACCAAATCATGTCTAAAAATATCATTTATAAATCTATGTAATGTCAGGTTGAAGATTATTACATTTGTAATAAGTTTTATAATAACAATATCACTTTTAATCTTCAAACCTACAATTAAAAATTGTACCTTTGATACCTGGTAGAAAGTCTTAAAGTACATGTATGCAAATATTTGCCTGCCCGGAAAGAAGGAAGTTAAATACTAATCATTGTCATTTTGATTTTTTACTTCATATTTCATATTGCTGACAGGGCAAAATGGAACAATTCATCATAGACGCTTTATTTGGTGATACATGATTCAAAACCAATTGTAGGGTATCTTTAAATAGCATATTAAGATGAAGAACTATCGTGATATTTTTTGACAGGTCACTCCTGTAAAAAATAGATACAATACACATCAAATCATTTTATATGCTTACTTAATCTTTAAGTTTCATCCATTGATTATAACTTCATATATAAAAAACATATACATTAAAAACTGTGTTTTTGTTTACATTTAGGTAATTTATATTGATCCTGGTCAACCGGTCCCAAATATGGACATAAATGTCGTCATTGAAGAATCACGGAAGATAACAGACCTTAGAGTTCCTCCCCTAAGAAATGACGTCATGGCAGATATCAACGGTAAATCTTGTTTTAAATATAGTATTGAATCCTTTTTTTTCTTTTTTTTTTCAAGTTATCTTTTAATCTGAACAATACCATTCATCATATTAGGGAAAATCAGTCGGAACAACTCGGCTATTATTCATAACCGAAGGCTGACGGAAAGGGCCGAACAGTTGCGATTCAGAGAAAATTTCTCAGATCTTTGCCTGTACTGATTCAGGCTAAGCGTTAATTAATGGAATCTGAAAATATGTATACATACATTAATAACATTTCTACAGCTAATAGGTAATTCATTCATTCATTCATTCATTCATTCATTCATTCATTCATTCATTCATTCATTCATTTAAAAAGAGTTATTTACCCTTTGTACTAAAGTGTAGACTAGAGTTGAGATGATCAACGCATTATTTATAATATACGGTTTATAAATGGACGATATCATTGCTGATAAGATAACATACATGTATTTATAATTATATTCCTTATTTCGATTTTACCCTTTGTATGTTTAGAAAAATTGTCGTCTGTCAAAAATATCGTCTGATTTTGATTTCCCCGAAATTGAAAAATTGAATAGCTGACTAGATGCTAAGCTAGCTACTCTACTTCAAGTCTGATACCGAGCTATTTTCATAGGTTAATGCTGTTCTAAGCATATATGAGTTTAAAACATAATCTTGAGGTGACATGTATATCCTTTAACAATTCAAAGTTATATTGTTTAACAGACTTGAGTACTATAACAAAAATATCTCAGCCAACTCCAACAACAGCGCACGTGAACTTTGCTCCAAGTATTGAGTTCCAAACTGCACAGTCAGTTAGTGGAATGGCCGGTCAGTTTGTTCTGCAGTATGACGTCGAGAGGGAGAAGGACGTAGGGGATTTATTGGTAATGAAAGTTTTCTGTCAAGCTTCTAAAGAGATGAACTATTGTACCGGATGAAGTACCGGATGAAGCACGGATGACTGATGTCTAATAGCCCCTCCATACCTTCTTATATCTATAATAAACATTTATTATATATATATATAGGGGTAGGGTAGGGACAGGGTGTGTTAGACGTCAGGCACCTGTGAGATGAAGTACAGAATTATTTACAAAAATGCAAGCTTAATTTCGATATCTTAAAAAACATGTAACGATACAGAAACAAGATATATTTGAATTGAGAACTTTGTCTGTGACATTACTAATTCAAATAAGAGTTTTTGATTATATACGACAAATAAAATGAAATAATATAACTATGTAAAAGATACGGTAATAGTAATATGTTATGCCGTGAAGACTGATGCAGCAGTTACCTTAATAGAATTGTGTAAGAGAACAATGCTATGATTATGTATAATACAATGTCCGTATGAGTAATGCAAGACTAATGTAATGTAACGTCATATTGTAGTCTTAACTTATGTAATGTAATAATGTATTCTTAGTAAAATGTAATAAAACAGAAATTTAACAATGAAATGATTTGGTAATAAGGTAACGTAATATTTCTGTAACATGGAAGACACATTGTTCAAAAATATAAGTAAATATGCCAGGTTTGTGGTTTTAGGTGGTCAATGGCTATTTTGTGCATTTCTTTGCACCGGAAGGGTTCAGACCAATTCCAAAAGATGTGTTATTTATCCTTGACACAAGTGGATCAATGACGGGGACAAAATTAAATCAGGTAAAATATTATTAATTTTCTGAACATTTTATGCAGGACAGTTTGGAAATCATCATTTTTTTGTATTTTGCTGTTGTGATGTTGCAATAAATTCAGTTTAGGAAACTTTTGATATATAATAAGCTTTACCTTAACGAACAGAACGTTTTTCCATGGTGTCCAGCTGCTTGCTGGAGGAGATAACTGAGTTTTACACCGGCCTAACCGTACATTATATACTTTTTTATTGGTGACCAAGTTTGTGTTTTAAAAATCCCAAACTGAACTCGTATTTACGTAAATGCTGACTGCTCCTGTTATTTCGTAACCATAAAATAAAATAGGTTTGACGGGGTTTTAATTACACATATAAATATAAAACAAATATTTTAATAATCAAGTATTTAATAATCAAGCATTTAATAATCAAGTATTTAATACATTGTAATCAAGCATTTAATAATAAAGTATTTAATAATCAAGCATTTAATAATTACAGTTGAAACAAGCGATGAAATCTATCCTGACTCAATTGAATGAAGGAGACCGGATGAACATTATGGCGTTTTCAGGTTCAACCTCGTTCTGGAAGACAAAAATGGTTGACGTTATACAAGATGACATTATGCAACAAGCGGTCACGTATATAGACTCTCTAAAGGCTGCCGGCTGTAAGTAAATAGTAATAAAGATTCTAACTTAAAGCGATATTATGCTCATTTTTTCGTTGTCAACTTTACTTTAATTGACTATATATTTCAATAAACTGGTCGTTATAATGGTGATTGACCAACACATGATATTTGAAAATGTTCAGGGTAAAAAAAATAAATCTACCTAAATATATAAAGAGACTGCCCCACTCTTTTTATAAATTGAAAGTTACAGATACATTCCGACAGATAGTTACACACATCTCACAGGGCCTAGTGAGTTAATTATCGTTCATGTGAAGTAAGGAATTATGAGAATATGTTAACTTATTTTGACTTTCACCTGTTCACTCTATATCTACCCATGGATGGGCATAATGTCACTTTAAACATCAAAGGAGCAGCATTTTTCATTATTAATTTTGTCTTACAATAAGCACACAATTAGAATTGTTGGAAGTTGAACTTGCAAGAAAATCATATCTCATTTCTTATGGACAGACTCAATAAAGCATAGTATATGGTTTTCAATTAGTTCATGTTTTCTTCATTTCTCTCAAATAATCTTTTCTTCCCAGAACTGAACATTACGCCACGATTTTTAGACATTTGATACGTCGCACCGTCTTACTAAACCTATATACGTATTTACTATTACCTTTCCTTTTTAGGGACGAATATAGAATTGGCATTGACAGCAGGTGTAGCATTTTTAAATGACCGCAGCCACGTACAGAACACTGTCAGGTCTCCGGTTATAGTATTCCTTACTGATGGGGAAGCAACAAGTGGCGTTACCAACACTGACACAATTTTAATGAATCTACGTAAAGTAAACGAGTTAGAAATTCCAGTGTTTTCATTGGCATTTGGTGAAAATGCTGACTACGATATTGTAAAGAAGATTTCTATCCAGAATAATGGCCTTGGTAGAAAGATTTACGAAGCTTCGGATGCAGCTATGCAAATTGAAGGGTTTTACAAAGAAATTTCCGTGACACTGTTAAACAATATAACATTCCAATATCTTGATGCTCCTGTTGCTAACGTAACGCAGCACGAGTTTACAAATTATTTCAATGGTACGGAAGTTGTTATCTGTGGTCAATTGAATGAAGTTGATGGTAATAATACGAACAACGCCCTTACGTTACAAGTCAGGTGCAACAGTGTTGATGGACCTGGTTTGGTCTTATCTGGTGCACTTAGTGACCTACTGATAGACATGGACAATAAAGATAAAACTGAACATACTGGCATTTTTGAAGAAATAACAGAAAAGGTATGGGCATACTTAACAATCAAACAGCTGCTGGACAAAGAACTTGCAACATCAGATACGGAGGAGAAACAGGGCTATAAAAGACAAATACTTGATTTGTCTATAAAGGTTAAGATTTCATTTATTTTTAAAAAATTCATCATTGATTAGATCCTGTGCACGAGGCTCCTGCAAAATGTTCTGCCACTTATGGGTTCCTAGCCTTTTCTATGTATTTTTAAAACGCTAGCTTGCACTTGCATGATACGTTCTTTAGCTGACAATGTCAATTTATTTCATGAGAATAACTTTTAATTGAGCAGTTTACTTGTCGTATGTAAAAAAGGAATAAAAGATCAAAATTTGTAGCTTTATATTAAGGCAAATTTTATTCTCCGAAGAAACGTTCTGGCTGATGCCATTTGCTGACCATTAAGGTAGAAAAGAAGCAATCTATAAAATATATCCATGCCTTCTATGAATGTAGTCTTAAATATAGTAACTGGTCACGAAACAATTTAAAGGCCGTGAAATTCGGGGTTTTTTTTTTTCTAACTAATTAACAACAGATGAAGAAAACCCAGGGACTCTTGGAGTGATAAAGGTTGCAAAAGTCCTATTATTTCAAATATAGTTACAGATGATGAAACCTGGGTACATACGTTTGAGTCACACATATAAAAGGTTGTCATCGGCGGGGCGGGGCGGGGCAGGGGGGGGGGGTGAACCACTTGTCCATGGACCTGACCGTACAGTCATTGTATGCAATAGAACAAGAACATTGTATTAAAATGTGAAAGTATAACACTCGGGTACACAAGCAAATGATGGTCAGGGTTCCACTTGTACATGACAATGTGTCTTGTCCTTTGTAAAATCTACTTAGGAAATAGATATCAATTCTGAGTGCATTGTTGTAGAATAATGCACGGTTTGAGTTCAAATGCGTAGTAATATAATCACGAAGGCCAATAGGCCTGAGTGATTAATTACAAAGCATTTGAACGAAAAACGTGCATTATTATACAACAATGCATGAAGAATAGATATCTATTTCCATTCTAACACGTCAAGAAAAAATATAATTACTATTATAAAGTTGGACTTTATGTTTGGTGGATCAATTTTTTTCGCCTCAGAGTTTCCAATAGAAACGTTCTTTAAAGGCCGTTCCAGTTGGTTGAAAAAAAACTGTCGTTAATTCTACCGTGTGTAGAAACATTTTGAGAATAACGAATTTTGAAAACGTTGATAAAACTTTGTTTGTTTATTTTATTTCAGTCTATAATTTTCCAAGCGAAAAACAAAGAATTAAAATTGAAATAAATGTAAAACTTAACTCGTCTGCGACGTTAAAATAGCGTACTTGATTTTGATTGTATGGCACGTGCTATTTGGCGCTACATTGTGACGTCACGTAAACAACACTTTAAACGTCTGTACAGCGTTAACGACTGCATTAAATATATTGGTGTTCGGATTCATTTTCTTAGTTAGACCATTTTCTATCATTCTAGATAGTTTTCACAACAAAATTCGACAAAAAATTGTTTTTATTTATCAGATTTTTAAACAAAATGGCGCCCACAATGTGAAAATATACAGGGAGATAATAAGAACGGCGAGTGCATTGTTGTAGAATAATGCACGCTTCCGGCCTTCTTTGTCTATATAGGAAAATTTCCGATAGTGTTAGAATTCTGAATAGATTGTATCTAGATGCCATTTTATCATTGCCTCAAATTGAGACTACTTAATTATCATTTTGAGATCGGGTAACAAAAAAGTAACAAAATTGTGTTTTGGTAAAAGGCGAATATTTTGACGGTTTGTTACAGTTTTTTTATATAAAATGCAGTGTACAAGAGATTTGAGTCCAATGACAAAACAATTTGCAGGACGCTCATGTACAACTATTCAAATTCACGCGCGGATTTTGTATTAACAGTTTTATCCAAAAAGGTGAAAAATAACTTTTCTACACGGTTCATCAAACATAATTTATGATTTTATTCATTTTGTGAATGTTGTGTAAGTTATGCGCACGTGCGTGAGTGTATGTTTTCTTTACTATTTTTTTTCCTTGTATTAGTTAAATTTTGAGACAAAGCTATTGCATAAATTCAAATTTACTACTACTGTTCTTTTAGTACGGATTTGTGACACCATTGACAGCTATGGTTGTGACATTACCAGAAACAACAAAAACAACAATTATGGATGATAATGTGAATATAATGGAACATAAAAGGAGACGCCAACCCCTACCGAGACCAGGTAATTGTAAACATTAAAGTCCGTCTGTTATCAGTTTGACTTCCTGTAAAATTAACAGGGAAGGACTGAATATAAGAAGAATTTCCATTGGTCATTTTCAAATTACAAACTGAAATCGGTGAATCTCATTGGTCATTTCAAAGTGAAATGTAAAGGACATTTCTAACAATTCTTAAATAAAATGTAAAGGATAGTTCTTACCATTTTTAAATAAAATTTTAAGGATAGCTCTATGATAAATGTAAGGGATAGCTTTCCCACTATCAAATAAAATGTAGAGGATAGTTCTAAATTAAAATGTAAAGGAATTGGGATAGTTTTAAAATTTTAGGTTAATTTGAAAATGGTTACAATATTTATAAAGTCAAACGTAAAACAAGTGAAAGGGACACCTTATATAGAAGTTGTTCTTATTTGAAAATTTCAATATAAATATGATATAATTTAATTTCAATGTTTAAAAATGGGTATTTTCTTAATAGCTACATGAAATAATTATTATGTCATTGTTATGCAAGCATTGCATAAATTTTCTTTTTGTATTGAAAACTATGAAAATAACATAATTTTCGCATGTTAAACATATTTACTTTGTCCGAGTATCGTTTTAAAAGATACTTCTTGTTTTGTTTTTTGTGTGTTTCGACATTGTTGGAATTTTAAATGCGATGGTATTTGATTATTGATGTGTTTATTTTTGATATAAACGTCAAACTTTTCTTATATTTTTTTGCATATTTATAAAGCATAGATGATTGCGTACATGAACACTTAAGTGTAAGGTACACTTAGTGAGGCACGGCAGCTTGATCTAGAAATATTCCTTGCAGTGTTATTTAGATATAAACATTAAATGCTATGTCAAAACTCCAAAAATAATGAAAGCAAAAATAGTTAGACTTCGTCCGAGTATCTTTGTTAAAAGACACTTCTTTTTATACCCCCGAAACGAAGTTTGGGAGGGGGGGGGGTATATAGGAGTCACTCGGTGGTCGGTCGGTCGGTCGGTCCAGCCGTCCGTTGCATTTTCCTTGTCTGGAGCATAACTTGAAGACTAATGGTTGGAATTCAATATAACTTCATACAATGGTCAAGCACATTGAGAGGAAGTGCAGTGCACAAGAAGCATAACTCCATCTTCACTAATTTCGGAGCATTACTTCAAAAACTTTATCTCAGTGAGTATTTGTATTAAGGTTTTACCACAGAGCAAAAACTAAGTCTTCATTGCAACATAATATGGGATATGTCATCATAGTGTTACAATAATTCATCTAACTCTGATCATTGATCAGCATTTAATTAGCATGACCATTTGTTTTGAGATAAAACCATACGGCGGCAATTTTTCTAGGAGATATATCAGTGAGACTACATTTACACTATAGTGAATAAGATCTAGCTAATAAGTGAAATTTACCTTCCAAGACCATAACCTCTCCATTCACCTTTGTGGTGAACTCCGGAAAAAAGATGTAAAAAATTTCTTAGTCACGTGGTGCACTTGCTTTAACAGTAAGAATAACTCCCAGTGGCCTATGGGAAATGAATATTACAAAAATGTGTGGGGTAAAAATTTAATTTATATCTACCAATAATTTAGCGGACATTTATTTATGCTAAAATTTTTACTGCACAAAATAAGCAAAAAAAAAACAACTCACGCAAATTACTGGTTTTATAGTAATAAAAAACATATACTGATTAAACGTATCACTAACCTTTATTTTTATGTTTCAGTTAAACGCATTTTGCATGACCCGGTTCAACCAGCTATCATGTCTAAAGGTATGTCACTAATGTCTCTATCTTAATTAATAAGAACAGGCTTTCATTAAATCTCCGTTAATTTCAATTTTATTTTATTTTATTCATATTTAAAGTTCAAGAAAAATATAGATACTGGACTAATACATTTTTTTGTTAAAACAATGTATGGATTTTTAATGAAATTGCCATTTCGCATGGCATTTATTAAAGGCCCATTATAGCTTTTTATAAAGCTTTTTATTTCTGATGTCCTGTTGTAGTTTCCAAGATATTACTCATTTGAACCATTTTTTTGCATATGCTGTTTTTTTGACAATAAGTACAGTTATAGTGATTTTGCATTTTGTATGGAAGTCAAAATACTACTTTTTTTATTGTGCTAATTAGATGTGCTAATTAGATGACAAATAGTTTCATATTCAGAATTACTTCCATCAGGTGAAAGCATCTACTTAACATGCTCTAAAGCCATATATTTGCAGGTATAATGTGCCTTCATTGCATAACCTCATTTACGAAGTTTACGTATCTTCCTCTTTTCATTTTCTGGTAACGAAAACTGTGTTATCAAAAACTGGCCGAGATAATTTTTTGTTAATATTTTAAATGAGTTTGTCAAGCTTCCATTATCCTGGGGGAAATAAAATGAAATTAATGTTTATCAACCAACATTATAGGTTCTGACCGGACTGCACAGATTCTGTTTTAGTAGGTTCAAGATTAGGGTAAAAATAATGTTGGTAATGTATTCTAGGGTTCTCAAGCGGAGAGATGGTTCCAAGCAACAGTTTTCAACATTATGACGGTATGTAAAGGAACCAGAATGTTAAGTGTAATAATTAAGGTCAGATCTGTGTTTATTATCACACTTCACACGACTTCTTTCTGCGGTAGTAGATCCCCCTCTCTCAACCTCAATGTGTTATGTTTGGAACATTACCTGGTGAATAGCAAGTAGATGATTCCTATTGAATTTGAGAACATTAGGTCAAAGGTCAAGGTCACAGTGATACTCAATGTATAAGCCTTAAATGATCGATATGTTCGGTAGATGACACCTATATTTAAGTCACAGTTACACTTAATGTGAAATATTTGTCTCATGAAATAACCTAGGTCAAAGGTTTTTAAATGTTGTATAATATTATTTTTTATATATTTTTGTATATTATTGATTTAACACTTGACCTTTATGAAATACGAAAAAGTACGTAAATAAACCACAGTTAAAGACAAATGAAACGGGGCAACGGTGTACTTTTGAACAAATGTCTAGTGGGTTGTTTTGGTTATGAATTTGAAATTAGTGTGCTTTAAATCTTTACATAGCTTTATAGAATGTAGATATAACATTTTAAATGTTTTAACAAGTATACAGTATTTTGATACCTATTTTGATTGTCACAGCGTTCAATTTGATGAACGTATTCATGAATCACCTCAATTGCCCAAATGGTGGCGGGAAAACATCACATAAGAGTATACAAAGAACTGGGCCTAAGAAATCAAAGAAAGGCAAGAAGAATAAAAGAAAAACAAGAAATAAATCAAAAGGTTAGATCATTTCTTTTGGGTTTGTATGTAACAACATGTTATTTTGTTAACTGTACAGTCAATTATAGATATGTATTTTCATTGTTATAGAAATAACAAATTTAATACCATTTTGTTTGGTTCAGTTTAAGGAACTCCACAGAGGTTCAAAAGCCTAAAATCATAACATTTGAATTGCTTTAACTGGGACAGATACCAAAGATAATAAAGAGATATACTCTGACATGAATTGAAAATCGTATTTTGTGCTTTTTATAGCGTGAAAAGCTTTTTTGTGCCATTTTTAGCTCGACTATTCGATAAGAATAAGTAGAGCTATTGTAGTCACCCGAGCGTCGGTGTCGTCGTCGGCGTCTGCGTAACCACTTATGTTAAAGTTTTTGTAATAGTTCAAATATTTTCAAAGTCCATTGACATATGGCTTTGAAACTTTGCACACTTGTTCACCATCATGACTCCAACCTGTAGACAGGAGGAGGTAACTGTATCAAGCATTTTGACAGAATTATGCCCCTTTTTCGGCTTAGAATTTACGTTAAAGTTTTTGTAATAGTTCAAATATTTTCAAAGTCCATTGACATATGGCTTTGAAACTTTGCACACTTGTTCACCATCATTACCCAAACCTGTAAACAGGAGGAGGTAACTGTATCAAGCATTTTGACAGAATTAAGCCCCTTTTTCGACTTAGAATTTACGTTAAACTTTTTGTAATAGTTCAAATATTTTCAAAGTCCATTGACATATGGCTTTGAAACTTTGCACACTTGTTCACCATCATTACCCCAACCTGTAAAGAGGAGGAGGTAATTGTATCAAGCATTTATTTTACTATCAAGCACTTAGAATAGTCGAGCGTTGCTGTCCTACCGACAGCTCTTGTTCACAATTAGCATTATTCTGGAAAAAACGGAGTGAGCAAATGATCTGACATTTTGCTCTAGACCTACATCACATGGGACATTAATCTCGAAAATTTAATTTCAGTAGAGGTTATGTTAAAAACTCTCAGTGGAGTCCCTCTTAAATCAAGAGGTACATCTTTCATTGAGTAACTCTTCTAGTTAAGAAAATACGTAAAATGTTATTCTTTCTGCTAAACAATGAAACTTCATACATACACATTATGTTTGACACATATGAATGTTTAATCTATGCTTGTTATCATAGAAAAATGAAATTATTTCATGTGATTTAATCATGGATTAATTATCATTAGGGAATTTGTCATATCTTGTTGTCACTATATGCGAAATTTTTGAAATCAATAAAAAATAATGTTCATATGCAATGATATGCTATTTGATCAACTGTTACAGATTCCTATTCGTTTTTTTTATAACAAAGAAACAAATGCATGTTAAGTAATTATCTTAAAACTATGTTATATTTTATCAGGTTTCCAGTATCCACTCCGTGTGAAATTTCTCCAACTGAAAGACCCCGTCTGCTTCAATATGTATGACCAAGCGTTGGAGAGAGCCCCGGGAATGTACTCTTTTTATAGTGATTTAGAAGAAACAGGTAATACATTTATATATCTTTTATCAATTACCTAGCAACAAGTCACTGTCTGAACCTCGTACTAGTATGCCAAAAATTCTACATGGAACCCGGGTGAAAAATATTCGGCGAAAGTATGTTGGAAAAACGTCATAATACTGATAATGAGCATAATAATATGCAAAAACTAAAGTTGTTGAATTAACATAAGGGAATGTTTCCCATATATTAGGACACAAACCACTCTTGGTGGTGAGCTAGCTTTTCACCGACAGGGTTTGTGTGCCGTGGGATGTCGAGTGTTGCCAATGATTTTCCACGAGGTTTTCGGAGGGAAAAGTAATATAACGACGTTGTTAGAACGTCATAATGAGCATAATGAGCATTACAATATGCAAAAACAATAGGTGGTTAATTAACATATAGGAAAATGTTCCATGTTAAAGGGCATAAACCACTCTCGGTGGTGAGCTATCTGTTTCGGTGGTAAACTAGCTTTTCACAAGGTTTGTGTGTCTAAATTAAAATGTTATCATATCTAGATTTATTCCCAACGAACAAATTTATCTGGGTTGCAGATGAGATATCAATTTCCAAAACATGAACTAAGATACAACGAGCCTTACCTCGGACTCCAAATTCAACACCTCTATTGCTTTAGAAAAATTGCTAAACACTAAATGACGCGATGTTAAATAGTCAATTGGTCAGCCTGCCAGATATGACAATATCATGGTCTTTTTTTTGCAACAAGTCGCACTCTAGTTAACCACATTTATAGCATTCCAGGCGTCAGTGACAACAACATAGTGGATATAAGAATAAAAAACATCCCCTAAAATTAGTTATCATCAGCCTTGAACAATTTCTCTGTAGAAAAGGGTGGACTGGGAGTTGTCAGATGTTTCCACCAAAATACCCTTCAGGAGGGCAAATACTCTTTACTCAACATAGAAAGCCTCTTGTTTAAGTTTCTCATCCAAAAAGAGATAATAAACAGATAAATTTCAATCATCAAGAATGATGTTCCCTATTTACGATCAAGCTCCTTGCTAAAAAGACTCATAAAAGACGTGTCAGGACCTTACAAACACCCCTACACATAACATCACCACCATCACTCCCCGACTACACCCCCCCCACAAAAATGTATATTTTATTACTAACTTTGTGGGGATTTAATGATTATGTACATTACATGTTTTTAATAATTACAGGGATAGTAAAAAGTGACTTAGACACCTGAATTTTGCCGAAACATGTAATATCATTGATTTATATGAAAAGTAGAAATGATAGTGGATATTTTAATTCATTGTATGAACATATACATTGTACGTTTTATTCAGGTTTGAAGGTAGACGTGAAGCTAGAAAAGGCAATGCTTGGAAAGTGGACTAAACAAGGACGAGTTAAAGAAATACATCTCACAGTTGGTGATATCCATGAAAAAATAACAAGGTTAAAAATGAGAATAATTGAATCTTTTACAATAAGTAAGAGCGTTTGGCATAGATTGCTACAAAGCGTCTGAAAAATATTTCCTATTTTACTTTTTTTTATTTACCCTTTGTACTTTTTCGGTCACAAGTCACATTCTTCTAAAGCATGTAGCCATCGTGAACCTTCATATGAGTAAATGTTAATATTGTCACAAAATCTCACTTCTGTTTACTTTTTGCTCATGTGCGCTAAAACAGTTAAGATGTTCAAATTTATATATTTCAAATATGGTCGAACTTGCCTAACTGTCCAATTTCAATTGTCTACTTTCAAATTCCAATTCTAAACAAACGTTCGTATCTGTCATATTTTATATGAACATATTTATGAACATGCATATTGCTTTCAAACTTCAAATATAAGTATAATCGAATATTCACAATTTTCAAAAACATGGTCGAATATGTATCACTTTCAAATTTCATAAATGATCGAACATGCATAAAGCTTTTAAATATCAAATATAGATATGGTCGAATATACATAACTTTAAAATTTCATTTAGTCGAATATGCATAAATGTAAGTATATTTGGATATGTGTAACTTTCAAATTTCACATATGGTCAAACATGCATATTGCTTATATATTTCAGATATCGACATTGTCGAATATGCATAAGTTTTAAATTTTACTTAGTCCGTTATGCTTTAAAAGCCGTGATAAAAATAGGTATATTCGGATAATTATATAGTAGGCTCGAATGATCACTGTCATAGTGATCATTGGTTTGATTTATTACAATTATGCTCCTAATTTGTGCATCTTTCACAGCTACAGTAAATTTAACAATGTAATTAAAGGCCCATTATGCCTCAGAAATGCTACCAATTCTATTTCTAAAAAAAAACTTTTAATTTTTAGTATCCTGTTAAAGTTTACAAAGTAATACTAATTTGCAATATTTTTCAACTATAGCTCTTATGGCAATCGGTATAATTATAGTGAAAGTCAAAATACTACTTTGTTTACTGTTTTCTACCTTTTTTGTTACATTACTTACCGGTCAGTGCTTCCATCTTCAGTTTTTAAACATTTTACATGCTTTCAAACACTTTTAAAAGCTTGAAAGCTTTTTTGACATTTCTAAAGAATTAAAAATGCATGATTGTATTGATTTCTGAGGTATAATGAGCCTTTTAAAATGATCTTACAAATACATTAACACAATCACCAGTTTAAAAATATATTTGCAATAAAAGGTCACTTTGTTTAATTGCAGCGACTCCTTAAAAAATGCGAGCCTTTCTACGGATTCCGGTGCACCTTGGAATATATCATTGATATATAGAAATAAAACACACGAGTTGAAAGTTGAACTTGAAGGGTTTACTTTGGTGATTACTAATACAGAAAAAGACTATTTAGATATTCTAGTCAAGGGGACAATGTTACCAACTGGACAATCAGGCACTGGCATAATAGGTGAGCGTTTTATAGAAAAATTGTCAGTTTTTATAATACAATTCTCAACTATTTTATTCCAAAATTTGAGTGTTAAATGTCTGACCAGGTCAATTTGTGTCTTTTTCTTTACTTAGTTTTTCTGTAAATATCGCACGGCAGCTTTTCTGTAAATATCGCACGGCAGCGTGTGACATTGTCAGTTGTTTATTTTGAACAGCTCTCGGGTGACTTTTGATTCTTTTCTGTGATGATGTGAGGAATGTGTTAGACATGATAATAATGTGTTTTGCATCAATCAAAGGTCAAGGTTATAAAAAGATTTTTTTCATTAAGGTGGTCGTGTCCTTTCAACAACTATGTCATTCCTAGATGAATTTTATAATAATTTTGCATAAATGTGTTGGACATGACGAAGCATCTCGAGCGCAATAATTAGTACTCCGGCAAAGAAATATTTGAATGTCAAAAGTCTCAATATGGTTATACTTAAATGATGATGTTTTATGCTTAATTATTGTTGTTTATGCACTGATTTTAAAGAATTATGCGTTAATGTGTTGCACAATGAAACAAAGTGCTGAATGTCAAAGGTAAAGGTCACACTTAGGCTTGAAAGCATTTTCCTTTTGAAATTGCAGTAGTGATCACATCCTGACAATAATGCTAATATTACTTTAAAAATTACCTGGCATTTATATATATGAGCCGCGTCATGACAAAACCAACATAATGCGTTTGCGACCAACATGGATCCAGACCAGCCTGCGCGTCCACGCGGTCTGATCAGGATCCATGCTGTTCGCTATCAGTTTCTCTACTTGTTATAGGGTTTGTAAGTGAACGGCATGGATCCTGATCAGACTGCCGGATGCGCAGGCTGGTCTGGATTCACGCTGGTTTCAAATGCACTATGTTGGTTTTGTCATGGCGTTGGTCAAATGTGTCGATCCTGATGGTGACATATATCGCATGAAATAATCTAGTTTCTAACTTTTATGTCAATGTCTTACTTTTCCGTCAAAAGTCATGATATGATTTTCTCACTGAAGTGCACAGATTGTCCTTACTAGTCAACAATTTTATCATACCTAGATGGGTGCAAAATTTCTTCTGATTGTCTTATACTATACTATAATGCTGGCATTTGTTGTTGTTTTTAGGCATATTTCTGTTCGCATTTACAGCTTTTGTTTTCTACAGTAACATACAAATGTAGTTTCAGTGTAGTTTTAATTTTTCATACAACTGTATTTTATATCATTTGTTGGGTAATTAGTGAAAACATGAAACACTGTATCATTACTTTTGTATACATTGTGTAATATATTTTAAAGGAGCTCAACTGAGGTCCGAAAACCTAAGAATATAACATTTAAAATTAGTATATACATGTAGATCAACAGGTGCACTTCAAGTCAAGTAAAATAATAAAATAATAATTAAAGGAACTCAGCTGTGCTACAAAAGTCTGAAACATAAACTTTTCATTTCTAACATAGATCAGTTTTTGGACTCAAATCAGGACTTAAATTATTTTAGTCCTGTCAAAATAAAAAAATAATAATAAAAAGTCAAAAATGCCTCTGGTCCCTTTAAGAAAATCAATCAGGATTCTCAGCCCGTGAAGATGCGTTGAAAAGGTTTTTATTTTTCGGTCATTTTGAACAATAAAAATGTTTATGTTTACGGTACAAAAATCCCAAAATTTTATTTCTAGTCCATTCAAATCAAAAACATTTCAGCCCTTTAAAAGATTTTATCTTAAACTTTGCTAGGTCAAGTGTTTGGGAAAAAGTTTAAAGTTGTCAGGACGATAACAAAACCAGCTAAGAAGAACAGAAAAGGAAAACAGACACCACAAAAAGAAATGGTCATCCTGAAAGTAGACAAGACAAAAATGAAAATATTGAAGAAGACCGTTCAACATTTTACTGCTGATGACACAGAGAAATGTTTCCCATTAAACAAGTATGAAGCTAAACTGGTTGACATCAAACGTGCCCAACATACCATATAATCTGGAGAAAGTTATGAAACGTATTTAGAATAGTTTTGTTTTTCAGTATGCTTTATATATATACCATAAACCATTATATCTCAGGAGAGGAAAAAATAACGATGTCATAGTTTTGCTTAACAGTAGAAGACCTTATTGACGAATAAAACTACAAAATACATAAGAATTGAAAACTTAGGTAATAACTTTTAAATATGAATATACAGCACAGCACAAAATAATCAAATGTAATTAAATTATCTACAAATAACTGGAAACAAGCTTACAAGAAAAAATTGTCACAATAACAGGTTTTTCAAGACAGTTAACATAAACATAGCCGAAACAAATGCCACATTTTATCTAAAAAAAGACATCAAAGTCGGCACATAATTTAGAGAATGTGACCATTCAATAACTGCAAACGGACAACACATTTGACAGAATAATAGAAATACCGACTCAATTCAGAGACATACTTGAAAGCAATAAAAGAGAAAAAATTATAGCAATAAGAAAAGACATACTTCATAGCAATAAAGGAGACAAACTTTATAGCAATAACAAATAAAGCAGAGACAATGTCGAAAATATAATTAAGTGCTTCATTCGTCAAAAACATTGTACAATACCAGTAATTATAGCACGGCATAAACAACTTATGCCGGGATACATTTTATGATATCAGAAAAAATATAGCACCACGCAAATAACTACTACATATAATATAGCTTGCCAGAATAAGTGTTTATATAACCAGTAAATATAGAACCACACAAACAACTACTACAATATAGCTTGTCAGAATAAATGTTTATATAACCAGTAAATATAGCACAACACAAACAACTACTGCAATATAGCTTGTCAGAATAAGTGTTTATATAACCAGTAAATATAGCACAACACAAACAACTACTACAATATAGCTCGCCAGAGAAAATGTTTATATTACCAGTAAACATAGCCCCACACAAACAACTACTACAATTTAGCTTGCCAGAATAAATGTTTATATAACCAGTAAATATAGCACCACACAGAAAAATACTGCAATATAGCTTGTCAGAGAAAATGTTTATATAACCAGTAAATATAACACCACACAAACAACAACTACAATATAGCTTGCCAGATTAAATGTTTATATAATCAGTAAATAAAGCACCGCACAAACAACTAATACAATATAGCTTGCCAGAATAAATGTTTATATAACCAGTTAATATAGCACAACACAAACAACTACTACAATATAGCTTGCCAGAATAAATGATTATATAACCAGTAAACATAGCTTCACACACACACAACTAATACAATAGCTTGCCAGAATTAATAATTTTAATACCAGTACCAAATAGCACCTCAAATACTGCAGTACCATAGTTCAGACCATTACATATAAATAAAAGCGCAATATAGCTTATCACAATAAATATTACAATACCACTGCACCAGTAAATATTTGCAGACGTTGTTTTCTTTTGAAAATATTAGAACTTCATCTTGTAGTTTCCATACTATATGATATATAAAAATAAAGCATAATAATCTGATAAGAAAATATATATGTATATATGTTGTAAAAAATAAATATTATTCTTGCATTATGTATATTGTGTTTTTAATTCAAATCAAATACAAAATTCTATATATAGAAATAAGTATGCTTTCATGGGAATTTCGTATTTAATTTACAGAATACCGGGGACCGCTCCTGGACAATGCCCGCCAATTTAATTGAAAGATTTTTCATACCCATGGCCACTCTCCTCAAATTGTTTTTCCACCGCGGAAAATCAGATTATTTTGTCGCCATAGCAATTCTGTGTTTACATTGATAAAGAAGAACGTCTTTCAAGTTTCAAATGGGCCATGGTGTCACTATATTTTCCACCTGACTATAAAGGTTCTAACTGATGAGGAACAAATGACGAATAAAATACAGATATAAGTTAAAATCAAGTCAGCTGGTACAAGTTATCAAAGTATCCTGTGTCTGAAATTATTCACAAAGTCCAAAGCTCATAATTAAAGTAGGCCATTAGGTCATAATAAATGTCATCTGTTATCAATTTCAATGATTTCATATTATCAAAAGGTTCAAATTTCAAAGTTTAGCTCCAAATAGAGATACATATTAAAAATCTCTGTCAACTGATATCGAAGTTCAATTCTACGTCTGAAACTTTGTATGTGTCATGGTTGATAACTATCCACTTTTTAGGGAAGATCATGTGTAAGCGGCCGGAAAACTCATTTGGTAGAACATTATACTGAGGATCCCAGGTTCGAGTTCCGGTCAGGCTGCACATTTTTATCACCCTGTGACATTTGGCTCAGGACTGCATTTAGCTAGGAGCTCACATTGCTCTGAACCCCTGAGAAACGCGAGGACAAATATAGCTGTAAAGTATGGCATGGTATAGAATTGTTTACTGTTTAATGGAGAAAATGTGTAAGCGGATGGATAGCCCGGATCGGTTTCCGTTGCTTAAGCCGGTGCTAGGGGGCGTGGACGGTAACATGCACTATATATTACCGTTACTAATAATACACTAAGTCCGTATATTACATGAACAGCTCAAACAAACCGAGCCTGCAACATTTTCAACTTTGTCTTTTTTGTGCGTCCTTTAGGGATTCTGTTTCTCTCTCTTAAACTAAAGTAATATTTAATTATAGAATAAAATTATGTTGCAAATAAATGCATACCCATATATGGATTTTATTGATCGACTCTGTTACGTCTAATTTCGTTATTGTGCACGATATATTTTATAATAAATGTTTGTAACTAGCAAAAACAGTGGTGACAGAGACCTCCAATTATGATCCTGCAGACATGCGTTAAGTTTCAAGTAAAGAGCCTCAAATGAATAGTAGTTCTGAAGATTTATTTTACAAGTAAATTTTACAAACACATTTCTTAGTTCATTAAGGACCTTAATTCAGCCCAAACCCATGTTTACAAAAAGTTACGTATATAGACTTCCAGTTATGATCAATATTCAGTTTAATACATTGAGTATTTATGAAAATTGATGTTGCACCAAGAAACTCTCAAAGGAACATAATTCAGTCAAATAAGTGTGAGAAATTACTATCGGTTACTTGTTTATAAGAAAGAAGCTGGATATAAAACTAAAACCGAAGTGTAACGCTGACGTTGACTGACGCCGACGCTCGGGTGTCTAGGATAGCCCAGCTGAAATCTTATTTCATTTTGGCTCGATAACAACCGCTTACGTTTATGTATCTTCTAGTACAGAAACAAAATAAAAATTAAAAAAAATATGTGTATAACGGATTCATATCAACAGAAGAGAGAAAATAAACATCGTCGTCGGGACTTAAAATTAAGTACGTCTTAAGAAAGTCGGTAGGATCTTCTCAAATTTTAATATCCAATAACAAGTAAATATAAAAGACGAACAGCATTATTTCATTGTCATCCCAAACAACACAGGTAAATCTTCGATAGAACCACATTAATCGTCTCCAAAACAGTAGTCAGGCCGTCAATCTCAAACGTAAGCGTATTCCTGGAGATATTTGGTAAAATGTCATACAGAAGCTGTATGCACATATTAATTTTTCTTACAATAAAATATTTCGATCCGTTTACTTAACCTTCGTAGATTTGCACAATTCATGTATTATTTTTACATTTCTGCGTTACTGGATTATTGTTAAAATCGCAGATTAAATTGTAGGTGAGTATATACATGACGAGTGCATAACCATGTAAAACTACACCCACAAGAACTAAATATCTAGTACAGGCTAGAGAAAACGGACAGTACATGCCGATGGACTATAACATGCACATTTTGTGTTCCCAGGGCAAAAAAAATATCGAAAAGATTGCTCTTCGGATATGACAATGAAACAGTTATATCATAGGCCATGAATGTGGAAATCCGGGTACGCAATTCCATCTGTAACAAACCAATTCATTATTATCCTGACAAGACCAAGGCTAATCGTTTCTTGATATAATTCTGGTGCCAGAAATTTATAGCGACAACTCATTGATGCTTTACAAAATACTTTCAAACATTACTGAAGATAAAAATGTAAAAATGACACATATCCCCCCTTACCTTTTAGGGGCAGTCAGGATAAGTAACTGTAACTTTAGTAGTCACAGGAAACCTGCTTATGTAATGGTATGTGTTTATGAATAGAATACAAGAACAATACAATAACGCAGAGGGAAATTGTAAAATGGTGAATAAAGGGTTTTTCTTTGGGAGCCGTTTTGACATTCAATGTCTTCCATACCCAAAATAAAATAGAGTCATCTACTGCACAGGACAAATGCTTCTATGAATTTTGAAAGTAAAGGATTCATGCCTTGTCAAGTCAATAGTCTGAAACCGTTTTGAAATAAAAGGTCAATTAGACCTTGAACTTTGACCCCGTGACCCAAAAAGTCAATAGGAGTCATCTAATGGCCAATACAAATGCATCTGTGAAGGTGGGATGTTGGGTTATTTGTCATAAGCCATTTCGACATACAAGGTCAATGTGACCTTGAAATTTAAAACCTTGACCCTTAAAATCAACACGAGTCATATACCCAGAAAAACTCAACTCAACTTTATTTAAGTAAATATAGGCCTCCTGCCAAAAATGCACATCAGTATAAATATAATATTATATACATGTATTGAATGTAGTTGCATAACATGCACATGAGATTAGAATAAAATAAGTCAAGAGTTCGTTCTTTTCGACAAGTGAAATACAAACACAGATAATTTAATAATTGTTTCTTCATTTTGTGAGTTCATCTGTCGATAAAAATCATTAATTGTTCTTCCATTTGAATACCAATTATAGAGATGACTACTTCAAATGTCATTATACCTAGAGCATTGAAAAAAGGCATGACATTCACAATTAATTACAGATACATTATTTTAGTTAAAACAAACTATTTCATGAAGTGTTATATTTTGTCTTTCCATTTCAATAGTTAATTTATGATAGGAACATCGAAACCTTGCAAGAGCAACCATATATTTTCTTGGAATATCACAGTAAAGATAACGTTCAGGGTTTAATTGACTCTTTAAAAATATAATGGTATCAACGGGACGCATTATTTATATCATTATGCCATTTTGTTCAAAACAATCTTTCAGTCATTGGCGAAAAGCTAAAATAAATATGTTTATATTTTCAATATCTTGTGCAATCCAAACATATCCAAAATCATAAGTATATGGTAGTGATTTTACTTTAGATGCCCATCAATTTCGACCGATCTCATCTAGGGACTTTAACTTTTTGTCACATTGTCTCGTATGGAACGCCATAGCTGCCTCATGTTGTTACATTTTGTTTTTTCCCTAAAAGCGTCTTATTATGTATAATAGAAGTGTTGGCTTGCCAACGTTTTATGAGAACCTGTCTTAACGAAGTCTTATTTAGTCAAATGTTCATTTTATCTTTTCAAAACGTAGTGCTGACTTGTCTAAACACTGTCTTATTATTTCAAAACGTCATGTTATCATGTGCAAATCCAGTGTTAACATGCCAAATTGAAGTTTTAATATGTCTAACATGCACGCCATCTTTTCGTATAAAGATTTCAATATGTCTGAACAAAGACTTGTTTAAATGTGGTGTTGAATTGTCTTGAAATTGTCTTATCATGTGAAACAGTAGTTTTATCTTGTCGGAAGTTGGTGTCATCTTTCCCAAATGTGATCGTGGTATGTTATGACACTGTTGTATTATGTTATACTGTCGTTTTGTCTTGTCCAAATGTGGTATTGACTTGTCTAAACACCGTCACATTTTGTCAGACTGCCATGTCATTGTGATCAAATTCGGTGGTATTTTGCTAACAGAATGTCTTTTATGTCATAATAGCATGCTGTCTTGTCCAACTGTGGTGGTAATTTGTCTAGAAATTGTCTTATTATGTGAAACAGTAGTGTTCTCTGGTCGGAACTTGGTGTTAACTTGTCAAACTTATGTCTTATGTGGTGTTATTCTGTCTTATTGTGCCTAAACATCATGCTTTCTTGTCTAAAACTGTTGTTGTCCTGTCTAAAAATATACTTATTATGTGAAATACTAATGTTGACTTGCCAATATATTTTGTTTGTTTGTGTAAACGTTATCACTGCCTTATTTTCTCAGATCGCCATGCTATTTTATCCAAACCTTATGTTAACAGGCCTAAACATCATCTTATTATGTCAAATAATGGTGGTATCTTTACAAATTATGGCTATGAACTGTAAAAACGCTATTTTAATTTGTCAAACTGCCATGCTATTATGTCCAACTGCAGATTCAACTTGTCTATATTCATCTTATTATGTCAAATAGTCTTATCATCTTGTCAAAACGTGGTGATGACTTGTCTAAAATTACTATATTTTTGTCAAAGAGTCATTTTTTTCCTTTTCAAATGTGGTGTTTACTTGTTGAAACACAGTATCATTATGTAATACAGTGGCGTTGACTTGCCAGTTATGACGTTAACATGTTTAAATACCGTCTCATTATATCAGATAATCGTGTTATCCTGTCCAGATTTGACGTTGTCAAAATTTAGTATCACGTAATCAAAGCCCGCGCGGAGTGTGAAATTATAGTGCAAATAAAAATAACTGAACAGTTTAGCAAAATCAGACAGGGCTTTCACAAGACAGAACTAAATTTGAACAAATTTACACAATTATTAGACATAATAAGACTGTTTCTGTGTTTTACAAGAAAACATCAAATTTCAACAATATAATACTTCTATTTTACATTAAAAGAACGAGTTTGGACAAGTCATTACCACATTTCGAGAAGATACCGCGATTTTTTGACTTTATAAGACTGAGTTTTAACCAGTCAAAACCGCTTTTTGACAAAATAGCATACACTTTATCATAATAAGGCATGATTAATCCCAGTCAACACCCCATTTAGGCAAGATAATTCGAGTATGTGATATAAAAAGACAATTCAGTAGTGTATGTGGCAAATTTATACAGTTGTTTGACACAAGAAGACACTGTTAAGGCATTTAAACACCGTATTTTGACAAATAACATGACAGTTTGATAAAATAAAGCTTTGCTTTTACAATTCAACACCAAATTTTGACAGAGAACACTACTGTTTCAAATGATCAGACAGTCTTTTGACAAAACAGCTCCACAATTTGACCAAATAGCGCGACTAGTTGACATAATATAACATATTTCAGACAAGCCAAAACGACATGTTTGACATTATAACACTACTGGTTGAAATAATTAAACAATGTTAAGACAAGTCAACATCACATTTTGAAGAGATAAGTCTACTGTTACGCATAATAAGGCAATGTTTAGACAAGTCGACAAATTACAATGGCATTACAACGCTTATATTTTACATAATAAGACGCTCTTTGGGCAAGATAAAAAGAAAAGTAATAACATGAGGCAGCTATGGCGTTCCATACATATGAATCACTAATGCTTGTTTAAGTTGTTTCGACATAATACATGGATCGTTTCTATTATTAATGAGCTTTTGTCGATTTTGAGACTGGTAGAGGTCTACTGATAAAGCTTATTCTTACAATAATGTTTAAATTTTTCCTTTAAGTTTTTATAAATTTTTAAATCAGATGCAAGGTCTGATGTTCGAAACAGTCTTAAGAATGAGTATTTCTGTCATAAAAGCATTTAACAACGTCCATCCCCATGATCCCACCATGGCGGTTACGATGTGCCTGATGAAATAGAAGTCAACATAATTATAACGTCCAGCATTATAATATAATGACTGAATAGTTTCAATAGCTCGGTAAATAACAACTTTTACAAGACTTGTAAGGGATCATTTCGAGGGATCACTTTGTTTCCAGTTTTTTATACTTCACAACAGCAGGTGTCAAGACATAGTGCCGTGTGGCAGCTGTACTTAACTTCAGTGTTGTTATATTTTTCTGGTACTTCGGGATCATTGATGCCAGCACTATTAAGTGTTGAGAATTGAGTACCGCTCAAGCCAGTGGTAGGGGGCGTGAGGGATGTTGCACTTATTCATTATCTCTCATGTACAGACTCAAACAAATCGAGTCTGCAAATTTCATGTAATTTTGTTGTGATTAATGCTTTCGAAGATCACTTTGTGTCCAGATTTTTTGTAATAAGTTGGTCATTCTCTAAAAGTAGAACTTTTATTTGCTCACGGAAATGGTCACCATGGTGGCCCCGCCATTTTTACATTTTTAGTTCCGATAATGTATTATTTACAACATTTGTATTACGATTATTATCAATAAAACCATAAAATTTTAAATAACAATGCAATGGAAAATATACTGATTCAGTTCGATCAAGTACTAGTACACTGAAGTTAGATATATTTTCAAACAACTCTGATGAGGCTATCATATAGTCGACAACAGAAGCTCTGTTCTTAGAAACGCACGTAAAATTTCCCTCTTAATCCCCATTAATTCTTCCATTTCTAAAACGTACACAGCACATTTGAACTAGTGACTTCCCAAAATTATTGCCCGTAGAACGTCTTTATTATTTCAAAACAGTTCAAAATATCTGCTTTCATACTAAAATTCCACAAAAACAAAATCTGCGTTAACATGTGGAATAAATCTAAATAATCTTTAGTTCTAGAATTTAGATCATTAGGAAATTCTAAATTTATTTACCCTGAATTTGATTGTAAATAAGAAATACCATTTCTTTCCTCTCTATAATCGTAAATAGGCGACCCACCTAATGAAACATAAACAAAGTACATGTACCAATGCACATATGAAGTTTGAGAGCCAAGGCCCGGTTAAATGCGGAGTTACTGGCCGAAAACAAGGTTAATGTGACCTTGACCTTTGAGCCCTTGACTCCAAAATCAATAGGATTATCTTCTTCCAAAGACCAATTCACTTAGTAGTTTTATGGTAATGAGCCATTGTATTTTCAAGTTACTGATGGGAAACAATGTGGGACAGACGGTTTAACATCATGCTGAAAAAAATCCCCCTCTTTTTTCAAAAGGGGGGGGGGGGGGATAAAAAAGGAAAAAAAAATTTAAAGATAAAAATTTTAAATTAAAAAAACATTTTTTTTAATATTTTAAATAAAAATATTAAGTTTAAAAAATAAAAGCGTTTTTCTTTTTATGGGGTTTTTTCCTGAAAAAATTTTTTACAGTAAACTTTTTCCAACATTTTCTTCCGGCTTTTTTTTTAAAACCCGCCCCAAATTTAAGGGGGGGAAAAGATTTCATTCATACACTCTTGTAAACCCGCTGTAAAATTTTGAAATGTTTTTTTCAGAAGCTTTTCAGGTTCCATATCTTGAAAAAATTGTACCTAAAAAATACATTTTTTTTCGTCCGTCACTCAATATGAAATATAAAAGCAAGTGCTAGATGTCATAGATGGTAGGCTATTCAATATTGCTAGATATTTATAGTAATACATAAAAACTTTTACCAACTGATGCTATCTTTGCAACAAAATAATGTTTTAAAGGCACATTTTGCATCAGAAATGATACATTTTCCCCATTTTAAAGGGAAATTGTGAGGTTTGTCACAATATAATTATAGTTTTGGGGCATAGTAGTATTTTGACTTCCATATAAATTACTAAATTACTATAACCTTACTTCTGCCAAATGGCAACAGATGTAACAATAGGACTTCCGTTATTGTCCAATGAGTATTTTTTGGTAAACTGTAACACACCAAGAATAATGAGCTTTTGAGAAATAAAAATAAAATAATATCTGGTGAATAATGGGCCTTTCAGTTTTAATGTGTTAAAATCATTAGTGATCAGCCTTAACCACAAGTCGAGACACAGGCTGGCCTGAACATCTGTCTCAATATTGATTGTTGCTACCTCAAATTCCTCAATATAAATGTATTATGATACTGACATCACTTTAACATTGAACGAAATGTCCAAAATTAAAAGCAGGGCATTAGCAACTACATGTATAAATGTCTTCATAGGACACAGGTGACCCAACATGCCATCGTTTCATCAGTGTACATGTGTAACAGACAGGACAGCAGTACAAATGGACAAAGCTCAAATCTATATCCCCCTCTTAAGTAGTGGAGGCATAAAAATTCTGCAAATTAAGGGTTAAAACTTCCTCATTTACTTAAATAAAAGATAAATACAGCAACTGGAGCAGATATTTTGTCTAATAATGTTGAGTAATGCAGTTTACTTACTGCATCTTCTTTCCAAATGTTCGCCATCAACATCCCGGTGTTATCTGAGAGGATAATCCTCATCATGTATATATACTGTAGATGTGGCTGTGAATCTAGACCTAAAATAATAAATATAATATGTACACTTCATAGCATAATTCCACCATTGTCTACAAATTTTGAAAAAAAAAAACAAGAGGTTCATAACAGCACTAGATTGTTCACCTGAGATCTATTGCAAGAGAAATATACATGATTAGTTACTGCAAAAATTATTTGGTCACTGTGTTAGGCCATTTTTGACCCTAACATCATGACTCGTGTAGCTTTTAAGTAGGTCCACTAGGCATGGTTAGCTATGAAAAAAACTTACACTCTAGGTCATGGGGTTTCACACAAGGAGCTTTGAATGTGTTTTCATAAAATTTTGATAAATGTGAAATAAATTATAAGGGACTCTATGACTTGGCTTTTTTTTTACCCTTGGCATGATTTACATTACTATTATTGACGACCACAAGAGGGTTGCTACAAACCAATTATCTCCCCTCTGGGCATAGTTATGTCTGAGGAACTCGTCTTCCTTATTCCCCCAAGGTAGTGGGTAAACACTGTTTAAAGCTACATTTTATAAATATGTAGAAATATTTTGCCATTTGCCTAATAACCAAGCATTTTACAGTTTCATTTACCTTTTTTAATGGTATTGTTGAAAATCTAATATGATATTGTTTAGAAATTAAGATTAAAACCCAATGGTAACACTTAAGTTCGTATACGAATTTTAACATGCAAATGAAGACAATAATTAGCTTGTGTGTACACTATGTCACAGTGTTGAATGGTACAGAAGTTGTAAAAGACAAATATGTAGATCTAATCTGGGTGTGAAAACAAACCTTTACTGTTTCGGCTTTGTGGTACATTAGGTCTGTCTTTTACACAAGGGTTATCAACTTATACAATTATGAAAACATTCAATATATTATGCAGAAATATACTGTTCAATTCAGACTGCTAAATACAGTCTTGCTTGATAATTTTCTGTTGATGTTCAGATGACCCAAAAACAGAGTTTTAACATGTAAATGGGAAATACATGTATACTTTCCATATACATGTACACACAATGAAGTTGCAGATTTTATGCTTATAAAGCTCACTATGGTCATCTGGACACCAAAACAAGATTCAATATCAAACTATTTTATTAACAAAATGTAGCTATTTCGGTTTTTATAGAATTTATAAAATGCAGCTTTAAGGCTCATTGTTATACAATGTTCTTTTCAGATAATTAAAGTATGAAGAAAGAAAATTCGTTTGTAACTAAGTAACTATGTGAGCAGATGTTGTATTTTACACACTGAATACATGTATTGAAGATTTAAATGGGACCAATTACCTTGAAGAACTTTATTCTGACAACATTGTGGGCAATTATAGTGTGCTACACCTTTAAATGAGCTGCCTATCTGTAGTTGAGAAAATGACCTACAACAAAAACAGTCTTTTAGTTGAAACAGCCCTATCAATATAAGTGATAAAAGTTTCACAGCTTAAACATTTAAAATGTAAAGCCTACCAAAATACCTCTTTACACTTAATTTAGAAATTTGGTTTAATGCAAGGCTAAGTCTGTAGCATATTTATTTATGTTAACCTTGAACATAATGAATTTGTGTAAAAGATTTCCTCTGCTTTGAATCTGTAAATGTACATTTAAATTTTAAGGGATTCCAATATCAAAATTGAACTACCAGCAATACCAAGCATAGAAGTCAAGGCTGGACTTGCTGTATACAAGTGGCAAAGGCTAACCACTTCCAGTTCCAGCAGGTTAAGTGCTTACATATACAGGTCTCCGACCATAAACCACTCTACATAGCAGGCAGCTTGTTTGTTTTGGTTTTTTTTTTTGGTTACATTTCTCTAATAACAAAAAAATTAGCATTTACTAAAAATGAGTGTGTAAATAGCATATGATGGCCCATGACAGTCAGACAGCTTATTTGCAATGGGGTCCTTGGTTAAATTATACACAGTTAATACTGATACTACTACAAATAACTGATAACTTAAAAAAAAGTTACAAATTACATTTAAAAGTTAGCTAAAACTAAAGGCAAAAAGACAGCAGACATTTTCACAAAAATATATTAAGACAAAATTTTATACTAAGAGAAACCTTACAATAAATCTTCTTTTAGCAGGCAGTTCTACTAGTTTATTCAAAATAACATTCATTTAATGATCTATGGGCTGTTCAGCAGAAAATGTCTTCTAGTTTTAACATTTGAAACAATTGACCCCAAGGGCAGGATATTTTTCACAAAGTCTCATACACAGCTTCAGCCTTCAATATAACACCCTTTCATGAAGGAGTAACCATAAGATAAGGTTAATTATGTCTAGCTCCACTTACATGCTTTCATCTTTGTCTTCATTACCAGGGCATGAACATCTGAAACAAAGATTACAAAAGAAACTGTTATACAAGGTTTTTTAAATATCTAATTTCATTTTTTTTAAAGAACACTCTTTAGATTAAATGTAATATTTACATGTATTTCAATATAGATATTTAACAAGAGTTGTTTAGAAGGACAGTGATCTCAAAGCCTGGATAATGTAGGAATCACATTGAGGAAGTTATCATTCAAAATACATGAAATAGTGACTCTCAAGTTGTGATCTTCAATTATTATCGCAAAGACATGTGCGAAGTTACAAGTACTGTTTGTATATACCTTCAGAAGAATTTTTTCTAAGTTCACAAATGGCCAAACTTCAGTCAAATTCTAGAATTCAAGGTTACTAAAATAAGAACAACAAGTGGGCCATGATGACCCTTATATCCCTTACTTGATTATTAAGGCTCTTAATTAATACATTGTTCTGTTAACTTTGAATGAAAACAGATGGTCCAAATGTAAACAAGGATTTTCCATATTTGAGTTCTGTGACCTAGTTTTTGGCCCCATATGACCCATATTTAAACTTGAGCTAGAAATCATCAAAACAACCTCTTTGATAAATTTCCAAGACATTTGGACTGAAAATATTACATTTAGAGTGTTAATAAGGTCTATATAGGCTACATGACCTAGTTTTTGACCCCAGAAGACCTTTAAAAAGCCATAAAGCAGTCAGATCCATATAAAAAAAAGAGCCTTTGAAAGAGACCCCAAATATGATTTTTTGGTTGGGGACCAACAAAACCAGACAACCACCAAACCTGGACGGCCCCGAAAATGCTTAATTTAGTATTTTCTTTGTTAAGTGGTTGTCAGTTACTTTTTTATCAACAGTAAATGCATGTTTCTTCTAAATTAAGTAAATAAATTTATTTCAACCTTAAGAATGTTGATGTTGAGATTTGGGGGTCAAGAAAGGAATGCCTGGCCTCATATACCAGCTATAATCATTTGCAGAGTAACAATAGAATATCCAAAACTTGAGCATTTGTTGCTGAAATATTGTTTATCATGTTAAAAATCAAAAATCAAAACACCCATGTACATATCTGTACGGACACATGGTACTGTAGTGTAGACAATTTAGGTAATTTTGATAACCTTTTGAAATAAGTGTCTATACAATCAGAAATAAACAAAATAGTTTGTTAGTTAGGAGAAGAACCTAGCTGAACTGTGTTAAATTTTTGGTCTCTAGGTTAAAATTATGAAATCTGTACGGAAAAATGTTCAAAAAAGTGTCCAGTTGATGGTCCCCAACCAGTAATCTAGAATTACATATTTACATGCACTCAAAAACTTTTTGCTAGTAAGAAAGCTTGAATTTTCATTAAATTACTGGATAGGTGAAAAGCTTGACTATTCTTTGAATCACATGTATATTGTAAATTATTAAGCAATCACTTTGTTAATTGAAAATACTCACAGGTAATGGCAATCAGAACAGTAGAGTTTGAGGAAAGTTTTCACAGAATCGGCTTTAGGATGATAATCCAGAACTTTAACTCTCACTTTAAACCTGAATGGTATACTGTGCTCCAACACCTCTTTTATCATGCTTCTTTTTATTTGTGGATGACTCAATACAACTGCAAATTTAAATGCAACATAAGAAATTATTTAAATTAAAATTAAAGAATATCATTCAAAATGTTAAAAAAAAGTTCACAGCAAAACAATAAGGTTCTGTAATTTTAGCTTTTAGTACCTTGCTGAAACAGGAAGTGATAAGCATACTGGTTTCCTAGCAGTTTCCGTCCCCAAGCAGTTTTCCGAGGTTTATCATCTTCGCCCAGTACAGTCTATTTTTACCAGTAAGGTATCCACATTACTTCGTCAATCAGAGAGACTTTTGTTTTCAATGCTAAAGAGCATCAATTTATATGTTTTGAAGTTTTGTCTGTTATTTAAAGTTACATAGAGAACTTGTGACTTTCAAAAATAAGTAACACCTGGGGAATTCTGGTTTGAGTATCCATGCACAATTTAGGTAAATCAATACTTTGGAAAATATTGTTGCAGACGACACGGACAAGGTTGGGAAGTTCTGTTTGTCTTGTAAAACCATCTTTACATTGCTTTATGGTACTGAATTATATTCAAAATAAAAAAGGTCCGAAAAACTGCTATGAATTTTTGAATAAAGGTGATAAAAGGTGTTACGTTTCAGGCCAATATTCAAATTAAAAAGTAAAATGAAAGTGCAACATTAAGCACATGGCAATGTTGGACAGGTACCTAACTTTGTCCTGTCAAAGTTTTGTACCCCTCCGTAGACTGTTTTTTATTTTATTTGTTAAAAAGTGCGATTTGTGGCCGGAAACTGCTAGGAAACCAGTAGACTAGCAGACAAGCTCACGCCTCTGTGATCACTACCCAGGCTGTCTCACTTTAAATTTTCATCTTGATATCCAAAGGAAAGTTAAAATTGAACAATTGAAAAGTGGAAACTTGACAACTTCATTTATGAAATTTGGCAGTTGCAAGTCTTTCACAAGGGATTTTTTTTCCATTTTGGAAAAGATAAGTTTCCTATGGTAATTTTTTTAATTTATTAATTGGTTGGGTTTTATGTTTGCACCAACACTGATATGACTAAATACTAAATCCTGCTTTACAGAGCATTATTTCTGGCACCTGAGAATAACCATCGACATTCTGTAAGCAAGCTAGATACCTTTCTCACATGATAGACTCATAAGTCCCTTATAGGATTCAAACCTACAGCAGACAATGACCTTAACCACTCAGCCATGGACACCCATACACATAATTTATAACTAATAGTACTGAATATTGTATTATTTATCCAGGTATTTGAAAGAAGTATTTTGGTGTAACGTGTTCAATGTTAAATAATAAATATATTCTCAAATACCCCATAGGTAGCTTCTTGAATGATTTTTGAACAACTTTTATTGAAAAACTTTGATGCAAGGAATATTAATGGCAAGTTATTCTTACTTGACATAGTAGTTTAGAAAAGGCATTGTTTATAGCATAATGACACATGACTGACACAGGGCAATCATATAAGCTCACCTTGAGCTCTAGTACTGTATAAGTGGTTAATTTTGTGACATGGAAATATTTGTGATTTTTGCAAATCAAAATTATCCTTAAATATTTAATCACACAAAAGTTATTTCTTTAATGGCAAACTTTCTTCTATCATTTGAAAACAGGTTTTCATACAGCATCTTAAATGAATAAGTTTACTGTTCAGGAACTGAGATTAATTTTTCTCATTGCTCGATTGTGTCAGTTTGATCTTAACAAATCACAAATGACTTAATGAAACAATATATATGAGTTAATAACACAATAGGTGATTCATATAAAAAAAGAATGTTTCAAAATATGACAAAGAATTGTGTGATCAGGTTCAAACTTACAATGTAATTTCAAACAGTTATATAAATAATATAGGTATTAAGCAACTGAATAGAACGATTACAATAATGGCATATTCTTAACATGTACCTGCTTAATTAACGATATCACAAAAACATTATGAAATTCAAGAAATCATAATTTCGCAAATATTTCCGCACGCAAAAAGTCCATTTTTTGACATTCACAAAATTTTTGTGACGAATAAATATCCACTTACACATTAAGCTAAATAAATTGTTACCTGTACTACTCTTTGCCATACATCTCGGTTCACTTGAACTGACATGAAATTCAGTGGTTTTACCACACACATTATTTCCACATGTCTTCTTTGCATGTTTCACAGAGGTATCTTCAGTATGTTCAATAATCGGTCTTTTAGAGGTACTTGGGAAATCATTGGGGATATATTCTTTTTTATGGCTAACATTTTCTGATACTTCATTCTCCTCACTTGACACAGCAATATGTTTTGTGTTACTGTTCTCTACTGGTTCACATGAGGAAGGCTGATTAATATCTTGTAAATTTGTAATGTCTGTCAGTGATTCTGAATTAAGGAAGTTTTTTTCCATAACAATAATTTCTTGTCTTTGTTTAAGTTCTTTAAGATCACTGTTGTCTGGTTGTAAAATTTGAACACATCTGTTGAATGAGTCCCCTCTATGAAGAATAAACTCTACAACACCAGTTTTACTGCTACTGCCAGACTTGTGTTCTGCAGCATGCACATTTGTAAACTTGATATAATCTCCTGGCTGGAAATATAACAAAATGCCCATGACAGAAAGCAAAAATGTCAGATACATGATAGAGAACAAATTTACAGAGAAATGATAGACAGCAAAATGGCAGTGACATAACTGATAGCAAAAATGATTTGCATAATGACACTAAAATAATGCTGATTCAGATGAACAACAAATGCATGTACTTTTTTTTCAATTCGCCCATTTAAAGCACTTGTACAGGTAAACTTTGATAAGTTGAGAAAAGGGCCACCATATCATTGAAGACAATAACTTCATTGAAACTACAAAGCAAACTTCATCAGTAGTTCACAGATGCTCTTTCGAGAAAAAGTGTATGACTTAGGCACATACTACCAGACATTGTTACTAGGCAGACATATGTAACTATTCTTTTTATTCAATTTTGTTTACTTATAAATAAGATTTTTTAACCTATACTGTTCTCATGTACTTTCTTCTTTCATGCAAACTTAACCCTTTGAGTGTCCTCTTCTAAGTATGTTTGTTTGGGTTTTATGTCACACCAACAAAGTATAGGTTATAAGGCGACCTTCCAGCTCTATTGGTGGAGGAAGTCATCAGGTGCCCTTTTGTGAACACAAACAACCGGACACTTTGTACGTAACCATAGAGCTATCTCCTTAGCGACATGACTACCTCCTTGACGACAGAGCTATCTCGCAGAACAAATATTCTATATTTTCTTTATGATCTGATTTCAACCTTATTTCATTTCTTGACCTTATATCTACTTGAAACGTATTTGTTTTTAATCTGAATCGCTGTTTAGATGAAAATTCGAGGAAAAATAATCTGTTTCATGATGAAACGATCCATTTTAATGCTGAATTCGCTAACTGGGAAACTCCACCACAACTACATTTCAAACAAAATTATAACAACTTTACGTTTTTTGGAAAATTTAATAAAATCTACATGACAAAGCATTCTCTGAATTTCGATATTTGATGTAGGGTTTACAAAATATATAAAATATGAAAACACTTGACACTTGATTTTAGCCACATGCACTAGCTCGGAAGTAGCGATAGAGCGATTTACCATATACCTCAGAAAGAGGTAGCTCTATCATTTACCAGGCATGTCAGGTGCTATAAATGCTTCTTCTTTTTTTTTTAAGATTAAAGCCGGCACTGCATAGAATCACCAACTTTCAGTAAGCCTACTAGATTATGCAGAAATTTGTAAGTTTGCAAGTTCTAAACAGTTTTTTTGTTGATGAATCATATGGGATGTTGGGACACATTTTGTGTCTCAGTGAGCTACAGATATTATATCCAATTATTACCTTTATATCACTAGAAGACATAAAATGGTTGTCAAACAAACTGACATCATAGATAAAACCATCAGCATCTTGGAGTAATTTGTCATCTTTAGATTGCTGCATGCCATCTTCAACACTCACCTCTCGCACATCACTAGAAATCATACAAGTACATCATAACATGTTACAAATTTCTCAAAATAATGCATTTAACAACTGTGCTAGCAGTAGATAACAACTTCAGGAAACTGTTTGTTTACAGTCACTTAACATTTTTTGGTGTTGGATTTTATGCCACACAACACTGTATATGTCATATGGCAACTATCTAGCTTTGACTGATCAATAGCTTATTCAATTTTTTCTTGAAGGACTTCAATGATGTTGCTTCTATGACCTCAGGATTTAATGTGTTCCATAAATCCACAACTCTATGACTGAATGTGTTTTTTCTTGTTATTTCTTGCCCTTTGCTTGAATATTTTATACTTGTGACTTCATTTGTTAAGTTATTATCTGTTAACAGTAAATTTAATAAACAACAAAACTATGTCAAAGATTACAACTTACATCGAGTACCATCCCAGACTTTTAACACACAACTTACTTTATACACCGAGTACAATCCCAGACTTTTAACATACAACTTACTATATACACCGGGTACCATCCCAGACTTTTAACATACAACTTACTATATACACCGAGTACCATCCCAGTCTTTTAACATACAACTTACTATATACACTGAGTACCATCCCAGACTTTTAACATACAACTTACTAAATACACCGAGTACCATCCCAGACTTTTAACAATCTTCCAACATCTTTCTCTATGACACATGTCTGTATAACCTGAATAGAAAATAATAACCATAAAACAATGTAAGGCAGTAAAGTAAACTTTAAGGTTGACATTAAAATTTTTAAATAAGCTTTGCTATAGATATGTTTCAGGAAGAAATATGAAGAAATTTATGAGCTTTGGGAGACATTGTTACTTTCTTGTAAGACAAGTGATGACTTAAATTCACAATGAGATTGTAAATTATGTAATTAAGAAACATACAAAACTAGAAATGTGTCCATAGGACACGGATGCCCCACACGCCACTGTTCTGTCAATCTTATGACTCTAGGTCAAATATTTTTGGACTACATGTGCCACAAGTTGAAAACTAACTAGAAATGTGTCCATAGGACACGGATGCCCCCACCACCACTGTTCTGTCAATCTTATGACTCTAGGTCAAATATTTTTTGGACTACATGTGCCACAAGTTGAAAACTAAAAATCAACAAAGGGCCATAATTCTGTTAAATTTGGTCGCAGCAAAAATTCCTTCCTTTACTACCATCTACACATTAAGGTTGTAAATCCCTGGAAGTTTAAGCAAAATCTGCCATCCGATTTAAGAGGAGTTACGTTCACAAAATTTCTACAAAGTATATAATGAAAAAAATCAACAAAGGGCCATAATTCTGTTAAATTTGGTTGCAGCAAAAATTCCTTCCTTTACTGCCATCTACACATTAAGGTTGTTCATCCCTGGAAGTTTAAGCAAATCTGCCATCCGGTTTAAGAAGAGTTGCATTCACAAAATTTCTACATAGTATATAGTGAAAAAATCATCAAAGGGCCATAATTCTGTAAAATTTGGTCGCAGCAAAAATTCCTTCCTTTACTACCATCTACACCTTAAGGTTGTTCATCCCTGTAAGTTTAAGCAAAATCTGCCATCCGGTTTAAGAGGAGTTGCGTTCACAAAATTTCTACATAGTATATAATGAAAAAATCAACAAAGGGCCATAATTCTGTTAAATTTGGTCGCAACAAAAATTCCTTCCTTTACTACCATCCACACATTAAGGTTGTTCATCCCTGTAAGTTTAAGCAAAATCTGCCAACAGGTTTAAGAGGAGTTGCGTTCACAAAATTTCTACATAGTATCTAGTGAAAAAATCAACAAAGGGCCATAATTCTGTTAAATTTGGTCACAGCGAAAATTCCTTCCTTTACTACCATCTACACATTAAGGTTGTTCATCCCTGTAAGTTTAAGCAAAATCTGCCATCCGGTTTAAGAGGAGTTGCGTTCACAAGATTTCGGGACGTACGGACGGACGGACGGACTGACTGACGGATTGACGGACGGACGGACAAGTGCAACGCTATATGCTCCCACATTGTGGGGGCATAAAAATCAACAAAGGGCCATAATTCTGTTAAATTTGGTCGCAGCAAAAATTCCTTCCTTTACTACTATCTACACATTAAGGTTGTAAATCCCTGGAAGTTTAAGCAAAATCTGCCATCCGGTTTAAGAGGAGTTGCGTTCACAAAATTTCTACATAGTATATAGTGAAAAAAATCAACAAAGGGCCATAATTCTGTTAAATTTGGTCGCAGCAAAAATTCCTTCCTTTACTTCCATTTACACATTAAGGTTGTTCACCCCTGTAAGATTAAACAAAATCTGCCATCCGGTTTAAGAGGAGTTGCGTTCACAAAATTTCTACATAGTATATAGTGAAAAAAATCAACAAAGGGCCGTAATTCTGTTAAATTTGGTCACAGCAAAAATTCCTTCCTTTACTACCATCTACTCATTAAGGTTGTTCATCCCTGGAAGTTTAAGCAAAATCTGCCATCCAGTTTAAGAGGAGTTGCGTTCACAAGATTTTGGGACGTACGGACAGACGGACGGACGGCCGTACAGACGAGCAAACATTTGATATTTATGAGCTTCATTCCGTAGTTAAATAAAGAACAAAAGCTCATAAAATTCAAATTAAGAGCTATTTTTTATGAGCTGATTTTGCTTACGGACTTTGGTCCAGGTGTAGTTTATGAGCTGATTTACCTCTTAAATATCAAAAGTTGGTATGGACACTCGGACGGACAAGTGCAACGCTATATGCTCCCACTCTGTGAGGCCATAAAAATGATGTAATTAAGCAACATATAAAAATAAAGTTACAACTATGATAATTGTTTGTTTATTATTTGGGTTTTACGTCACACTGACACATTATAGGTCATATGGCGACGTTCCAGCTTTACTGGTGGAGGAAGAACCACCAACGTTCCATAAGCTAGCTGGATAGCTTCCTCACATGAAAGAATCCAAAGTACCTGTTGGGATTCGAACCACAGCAGTGAGACAACTATGATAAGAAAATTTAAATGCAGACCATGATCTGAAATTAAGACATACTTTAATAACTACATCACATTAAAGGGCTTTTTCGTGATTAGAAAGCCATTTTCTTACAGAATATGACAATTTGCCTAAAATAGTGCAGAATTAAAGAAATTTACCTGACAAACAATGTCAAAGAAACCACCCATAGCAATTTCATTAAAAGTGCACAATTTTTCATGTAGGTCATCTTTGTTGTTTGCCCAGAGACGAAGTTCTTTAACCTTCAAATACAAAAACATTGTAATTTACTTCTACAGAATTATTTCTTACACTGACACATCCACATGATGGCCAATTCTTTAAATCTACTACCTTTTTGTAAGAAAGACATCTTGTTCTACAGACCAAAAAAGATTTTATTTCTTCAACTGTAACAACCAAATCAATAAAAGGGTTTTGGAAGCCATAATGGATAGGAACAATTTTAGTTTTGTAAAGGATTACTTAGGGATAATTCATACAGTGTTTTATTATGAACCAATTTTTTTTTTAGACTTTAAATTGGTTCTGATTTCTGTTTTTTTTTCACTGAAAGAGTTGAGAATCAAGCATCAATCCTTTCAAATTTAATCAAATTCAGTTCAGTGTAGAATTATGTACTTATAATTCATTTATGTCATCATGATAGCAAGTCTATACTTCCCATGATTCTCTGCAACATGTGCTCCCGCCTTAATATATGCAGCAGACAAGCTCTAGTACCGTTGGGATTAGTGAATTAAACAGACAAGACACACTTTGTTTTAGTTGTTTTTATCATGACTTAGATGTCATTGGACTATAGTCCATACAAAGTACTAATCATTACATTCAGTTAATACAAAATGTGTGCCAATGGTTTTTTAGTCTTTTAAATTCTAACAGCCTTCTTGTTCAGCAGATCTATTTTGCATAGTACCACCTTAGGATTATTCATACAATTTTGCAAAATGGTTCAATATTACAGAAGAGGTGGTCTTCTATTTATATCTCTGGTGGCAATCTTCTTCTGCAGACCAATACAATACAAAGATCAGTCCCATATAATTTACTGTTTTATAACAATTTTAGTTATCAGTGACTTTTCACCTTCCATAACAGAGGCATCTTCCCAATCAAATTTTCTTTAAAATCATGCAGTTTTCCCAAAATAGCTGAACTTACATCAGTTTTTTTTACTTCCCAAAATAGCAGTTCAGCCTAACTCTCCCGAAATCAATCCCAGTTAAGTGAAAAAAACCCACTGGTTATACAGCACAGGTTGTTAAATGCAAAATTTCATAACAAGACAGACAAAGCTCTTGTCTATGGTTGTAAAACATAATCCAGGACATAACATACTACACAATATCATGAATACTATATTATCACTTCATTAAGAAGTGTTATTTTAAGCAATATGCAATACAAGTTCTTTATTATCAAAACAGCTCTCTTTATAAAAAAAAGATTTTTTTTCCTCATAAAATCATACAGAAATATGTCCGTCTGCTGTCTATGTGCTTTGGCAACATACAACAGAATCAAATGCAAATCTTTTGCATTTTTTTAAAATGAAATATGACCTAAATATAGCTGCAATCTCATTGATTCAAACAGTAGTCAACAGAACAAATAATTATAAAATCATATTCACTGGGTGCAGTATCATATTTACTGGCTGAAATGGATTTTCCCAATCTAAAAATGGAATCAGGCTTATATTCATTGACCAAACAGCAAAGACAATTAACTGCACATGCGTAAATCATATTCACTTGGTGCATTGGGTGAATATGATTTACGCATGCGCAGTTTTGACTAGGAGTAGAATCATATTTACTGGCTGAATTTTCCCCCATGTAAAATAGAATCAGAATCAGATTCATATTCAATGACAATACAGCATAGACTATTTAAAATTGTTGCATTTTGTTCTTTATGGCATATATCTCGATTCAAATCTATTTACTCCACAATAACGGTAATAGTTTCACCCTAATGATAAGTACACTGATAACTTGTTTTTAATACTAAGCTTTACTTTTTGTATGTGTTTTAAATCTTAGGCTGATCATATAACAAAACAGTTATTGACTAATGATCCATTGAATATGATATGATATTCACCGGCAAAATGTCATACTGACCTCAGCTATCGCCTCCGTCAATATGACATTTACCAGTGAATATCACATCATATCCAATGGCTCATTAGTCAATAATTGTATAATAATATCACATGTCACTAAGATTAGTTTCTTGCACAAACCTTATTCCTATCTGTATCATTTATTGTGAATGATGGTGATGAAGATTTTACAGGTTCTAGTGGACTATCAACATCCCCTGTAAACACTAACCATGAAGAGCCAGGGCCACTCTGACCCTGCAACGACCCAGCAAATTCTGTTACCTAAAATAGAAACATGTTATAATGAAATGATCTTTAAATTGTTGTTTTTGCCTGTTGTTTTTCTCTTAATAAAATGTCTAAAGGTTGTAAAAGTCCATGAGGCATCAAATATTTTGATACTATGATTTTCAGAAAGTAGTATTTCACCACTATATAATGAAATGTTGCAGGTTTACCTGAATGTATAATCTGTACTGTACTAAAACTCAAATGTGAGCGTACAAATAGAATTATACGAGCAGTACATTATTAAGATTTTTTTATACTATGACCTCTTTTTTTAAAATTTTAAAATTTCATCAGAAAGTTAAATTTTCCAATGCCTCACTAAACGCAAATCTTTTATTTTTTCCCAAAAACAATTTTTCTTTTTTTTGGGGAAATCTTGCCCACATTTCCAAAAAATTACTTATATGCCATACACTTTAAAAATTATCATTTGTCTGTTGACAATTAGTTTTAATTAAACAATGTATTGGGATTTTTGTATGAAAGAAAGATAAAATTTTTGTTTTAAACATTTTTTTTCCCTTTAGGTTTCACTTTAACCTTTACTTTCTTTCAATTATTTAACATCTGACATGCTCTTAAGCCATTATTAGAACATTATTAAACACATGATTGACATTTCTAAAGAATTAAGAATAATTGGATTTCTGAAGCCTAATGTGCCTTCAAATCAATTTTTTTTTGGTGTAATTCTTTCAGAAGTTGAAACAATATGCCATAAGCAAGATATTGGCATTTCAAAATTTTTTTCCCCATCTTGTTTTGATTTAATAGCTTGGGCAGACAGACATTTGCTGTTCAGGGTAGGCAATTGTCCAAAGAATCAAATGTCTGTTTTCTATAAATAATACGTGCCAACAAATCTTACCGATAATCTGTGAAACCTTATTATGTTTCCAAGCTTCACAAGGGGTAGTTTATCAAGTTCTTTGGCAAACAACAAACATTTTAGTTTATCCATAGGATCTGTGTAGGATTGATCAACTATACTTATCATTGTGCAGTAATCTGAAATATATAACACTTCAAAAATTATTTCTCTAATCTTGTTTAACCCTAAACTTGCTGGAAACAGAAATGATTAGCTTGCCACTTGCCAATAGTATAGTCAATACAGGCCAATAATATAGTCAATACAGGCCACTAGTATAGTCAATACAGGCCACTAGTGTAGTCAATACAGGCCACTGGTATAGTCAATACAGGCCACTTGTATAGTCAATACAGGCCACTGGTACAGTCAATACAGGCCACTAGTATAGCCAATACAGGCCACTGGTACAGTCAATACAGGCCACTGGTATAGTCAATACAGGCCACTGGTATAGTCAATACAGGCCACTGGTATAGTCAATACAGGCCACTAGTATAGTCAATACAGGCCACTGGTACAGTCAATACAGGCCACTAGTATAGTCAATACAGGGCACTAGTACAGTCAATACAGGCCACTGGTATAGTCAATACAGGCCACTGGTATAGTCAATACAGGCCACTGGTACAGTCAATACAGGCCACTGGTATAGCCAATACAGGCCACTGGTACAGTCAATACAGGCCACTAGTATAGTCAATACAGGCCACTGGTACAGTCAATACAGGCCACTTGTATAGTCAATACAGGCCACTGGTACAGTCAATACAGGCCACTAGTATAGCCAATACAGGCCACTGGTACAGTCAATACAGGCCACTGGTATAGCCAATACAGGCCACTGGTATAGTCAATACAGGCCACTGGTATAGTCAATACAGGCCACTGGTATAGTCAATACAGGCCACTGGTACAGTCAATACAGGCCACTAGTATAGTCAATACAGGCCACTGGTACAGTCAATACAGGCCACTGGTATAGTCAATACAGGCCACTGGTATAGTCAATACAGGCCACTGGTACAGTCAATACAGGCCACTGGTATAGTCAATACAGGCCACTGGTACAGTCAATACAGGCCACTGTATAGTCAATACAGGCCACTGGTACAGTCAATACAGGCCACTGGTATAGTCAATACAGGCCACTGGTATAGTCAATACAGGCCACTGGTACAGTCAATACAGGCCACTGGTATAGTCAAATACAGGCCACTGGTACAGTCAATACAGGCCACTAGTATAGTCAATACAGGCCACTGGTACAGTCAATACAGGCCACTGGTACAGTCAATACAGGCCACTAGTATAGTCAATACAGGCCACTAGTACAGTCAATACAGGCCACTAGTATAGTCAATACAGGCCACTAGTATAGTCAATACAGGCCACTAGTATAGTCAATACAGGCCACTAGTATAGTCAATACAGGCCACTAGTATAGTCAATACAGGCCACTTGTATAGCCAATACAGGCCACATAGTATAGTCAATACAGGTCACTTGTATAGCCAATACAGGCCACTAGTATAGTCAATACAGGCCACTAGTATAGTCAAATACAGGCCACTAGTATAGTCAATACAGGTCACTAGTATAGTCAATACAGGCCACTAGTATAGTCAATACAGGCCACTAGTATAGTCAATACAGGACACTAGTATAGTCAATACAGGCCACTAGTATAGCCAATACAGGCCACTAGTATTAGCCCAATACAGGCCACTAGTATAGTCAATACAGGCCACTAGTATAGCCAATACAGGTCACTAGTATAGTCAATACAGGGCCACTAGTATAGTCAATACAGGCCACTAGTATAGCCAATACAGGCCACTAGTATAGCCAATACAGGCCACTAGTATAGCCAATACAGGCCACTAGTATAGCCAATACAGGCCACTAGTATAGTCAATACAGGCCACTAGTATAGTCAATACAGGCCACTAGTATAGTCCAATACAGGCCACTAGTATAGCCAATACAGGCCACTAGTATAGCCATACAGGCCACTAGTATAGCCAATACAGGCCACTAGTATAGTCAATACAGGCCACTAGTATAGTCAATACAGGCCACTAGTATAGTCAATACAGGCCACTAGTATAGCCAATACAGGCACTAGTATAGTCAATACAGGCCACTAGTATAGTCAATACAGGCCACTAGTATAGCAAATACAGGCCACTAGTATAGCCAATACAGGTCACTAGTATAGTCAATACAGTCTAACCAGGCTCTAAACTGCTATTATAAAAAGACGGGCTGCCAGAATAGAGAGCACATTTTATAAAGTTAATAAATTTAATAATGGTTGCAGGAAAGAAAGACACAACTACCAAACAAAAATAAAATAATACACTGTCACCTTAGTGCAGTAACAGGTTAACTCCTATTAAATTATATTGGAATGTTAATTCCTTAATGCACTAAGGTGACAATATACATTTCTTTATCAATATCATGAAAAAAAAACTCCAATTTCCAACCTTTTCAAAAATATTGTTGTATTTGCCATATTTTAAGTGTATTTGTTGCCATAATAACCAATTTTTTCAACAAAGGAAGAAAATTGAAAAAAAAATGTGCATATTCTCCAGACTGCCAGCTACCCATATATCAAGTTTCATAAAAATATTTTCAGTACTTTTTGCATCATCATGGGATTCAGTGTTTGTGTTATATTTACCATATTTTAAGTCTATTTGTTGCCATAGCAACCAGTTTTTCAACATGGGATGTAACTGGAAAACAAGAGGGCCATGATGGCCCTGAAGTCGCTCACCTGTATATAGGCCCACAGAGCGAGGCCAGTTTAAACCCCAGGGCTTTTATTTGAACAAAGTTGGTAGACACCCATTAGAAGATGTTTCATGCTAAACATCTAAGGTCTAGCTCGTTGAGTTTAAAAAAAAGATTTTTAAGATTTTTATTATACACATAGTTAAAAAGCAATGACATCCCTAGGGCGGGGCCAGTTTTGACCCCAGGGCTTTTATTTGAACAAACTTTGAAGACACTCACTAGAAGGTGTTTCATGCTTAAATATCTAAAACTCTAGCTATTTGTTTTTATTCATTCAAAGAAGATTTTTAAGTTTTTTTGCTATACACATATAAGGAAAATTAATGTCTCCCCGGGGCAGGGCCAATTTTGACCCTAGGGCTTTTATTTGAACAAACTTTGAAGACATTAACTGGAAGATGTTTCATGCTTAATAATATCTAAACTCTAGCTATTTGGGTTTTTTCAAAGAAGATTTTTTTAAAAAGCTTTTGCAATACACATATAAGGAAAATCAATGACCCCCGGGACAGGGCCAATTTTAACCCCAGGGCTCTTATTTGAACAAATTTGGTAGACACCCATTAGAACATCTTCATGATAAGTATCTTAGCTCTAGCTCTTTGGGTTCTCTAAAAGAAGTTTTTTTTAAGTTTTTAACTATATGCATATAGGGAAAATCAATGACCCCCTGGGGCGGGGCCAATTTTGACCCCAGGGCTTTTATTTGAACAAACTTGATAGACACTCATTAGAACATCTTTCATGCTAAGTATCTTAGCTCTAGCTTCTTTGGGTTCTTTAAAAAGAAGATTTTATAAGTTTTTTACTATATGCATATAGGGAAAATCAATGACCCCCTGGGGCGGGGCCAATTTTGACCCCAGGGCTTTTATTTGAACAAACTTGGTAGACACCCATTAGAAGATGTTTCATGCTTAATATCTTAGCTCTAGCTCTTTGGGTTCTTTAAAAGAAGATTTTATAAGTTTTTACTATATGCATATAGGGAAAATCAATGACCCCCTGGGGCGGGGCCAATTTTGACCCCAGGGCTTTTATTTGAACAAACTTGGTAGACACCCATTAGAAGATGTTTCATGCTTAATATCTTAGCTCTAGCTCTTTGGGTTCTTTAAAAGAAGATTTTTTAAGTTTTTACTATATGCATATAGGGAAAATCAATGACTGAAGATAAAAATGGTATTGAAATTTTGAATACAAGTATTAGTCAGATTAAATGTAAATATCCCGATGCAGAATTATTTTTTGTGGGAGATTTAAATTCACGTATAAAAAACTTCAATGACTTTGTGTTAGATGATAATCTATTGTTTATATTTGGTGATGATGTACCATACCCAGAAGATGATTTTAATATGCCTAGATCATCTAAAGATACAGAGTTTAATCGTTTTGGATTATCACTTATTGAATTATGTTGTACTTATAGTATACATGTTTTTAATGGAAGATTTTTTGATGATATTCCTGATAACTATACTTGTTTAGCAAATAATGGAGCCAGTGTTGTAGATTATATGGCAGCTACTACTAGTTTGTTTAAATATGTAACATATTTTAAAGTTGATAATAATGACGAGTCTGTACATTTTCCTATTATATGCCATTTCACATTCCCTTCTATAGGTAGTCAAAATCAGTATAATTTTGAAAATGGTGAGAATATGTCACCATGGCTGAAGTATAAGTGGAAACCAGAATTCAAAGAAAATTTTATAAATAAACTTACGCCCAAGTTTCAACAATTTGATGAAATACGTATTAATTCACAGAATAGAACTTTATCCTCGTTTCTTCCAGACTTTTTAGATATCTTAAAAGTTTCTGCAGATGATATGAAATGTAAACACCACAAAAACGTATCATCTCAATCATTATGGTGGGATAACCAATGTCAAATTCTAACAAGAGCCACCGCCGGGCGGGGGCAACGCTCGACTTTTTACTTTTTCTAAACGCAAACATAGAAAGGTTTGAACATATATTAACGTTTCCTTTTTATAAATTAAGTTGGTCTGTCTTCTTGTCACATTAGTTTTCTTTATGTATTTTGTATATATATGAATAGAAACATTAAGCATATTTCTAAAAAAAGCAACAGTACGCAATTTCTTAAAATAGCAACATGACGCAATTTCTAAAAATAGAAAAAAATGACGCAATTTCTAAAAATACAAAATAATGACATAATTTCTAAAAATAAAAAAGTGACGCAATTTCTAAAAATAGCAACAATGATGCAATTTCTAAAAATACAAAAATTGACGCAATTTCTAAAAATAGAAAAAATGACGCAATTTCTAAAAATAGCAACAATGATGCAATTTCTAAAAATAGAAAAAATGACGCAATTTCTAAAAAAATCAACAATTTCTAAAAATAGCAACAATGATGCAATTTCTAAAAATAGAAAAAATGATGCAATTTCTAAAAAATAGAAAAAAATGACGCAATTTCTAACTAGAAATGTGTCCATAGGACACGAGTGCCCCCACCGCGCCACTGTTCAGTCAATCTTTTTACTATGTCAAGGGAAATAACTCTACAAATACTGGATAAATCCACAAGCGAAACCCCAGGTGCAAATCTAAATATGCTGAGCAACCTGCCCATTAGGTTTAATGACTATGTCAAATCCTTTTTGAGTAGCATGCGACACAAGTTGAAAATTGCAAAAAATTTCTAAGTGAAGGGCAAATAACTCTAAAAATACTAAATAAATCCAGACAAAAATACCTGGTGCACAACTGCACATGCTGATCAATATTCCTGTAAAGTTACATGACTCTAGGTCAAATACTTTTTGAGTTACATGCGACACAATTTGAAAATTGCAAAATTTTACTAAGTCAAGGGCAATAACTCTGAAAATACTAAAAATATCCAGACGAAAATACCCAGGTGCACAACTACACATGCTGATCAACATTCCTGTAAAGTTTCATGACTCTAGGTCAAATACTTTTTGAGTTACGTGCGACACAAGTTGAAAATTGCAAAATTTTACTAAGTCAAGGGCAATAACTCTGAAAATACTAAAAATATCCAGACGAAAATACCCAGGTGCACAACTACACATGCTGATCAACATTCCTGTAAAGTTTCATGACTCTAGGTCAAATACTTTTTGAGTTACATGCGACACAAGTTGAAAATTGCAAAATTTACTAAGTCAAGGGCAATAACTCTTAAAATACTAAAAATATCCAGACGAAAATACCCAGGTGCACAACTACACATGCTGATCAACATTCCTGTAAAGTTTCATGACTCTAGGTCAAATACTTTTTGAGTTACGTGCGACACAAAAGTGAACGGACGGAAGGACGGACGGACGGACGGACAAGGGTAAATCTAAATGCCCGCCACTATCGTGGGGGCACAAAAATAGAAAAAATGACGCAATTTCTAAAAATAGAAAAAAATGACCCAATTTCTAAAAATAGAATCTAAAAATGAAAAAAAATGACGCAATTTCTAAAAATAGAAAAAATGATGCAATTTCTAAAAATAGCAACAATGATGCAATTTCTAAAAATAGAAAAAATGACGCAATTTCTGAAAATAGAAAAAATGATGCAATTTCTAAAAATAGAGATTTAAGATATTGCTTTCATTGCCTAAAGACAAACATTTATGTTATTGAGGATGAATATCATTTTTTCTTTGAATGTTCACTATATAACAATATCAGAGCTGTCTATTTTAAAGATACATGGTTACAGTTTATGAGGAGATGTTATTTAAAGTAAAAGTTTACGGACGATGGATGGACGGACGGACGCTGGACGAAAAGCGATCACAAAAGCTCACCCTGTCACTTTGTGACAGGTGAGCTAAAAATACAGAGATGTGCATAATCTCGTTCCATCAACCAACACTTCAAGTTTCATAAAAATATTTTCAGTACTTTTTGTATAATCAAGGGATTCTGTTTTTGTGGATGGACTGACAGACACACGGACAGACAGACTGAGGGTAAACTAAAGTTCCCTCCAGTTAAACCAGTAGAGGACTAATAAGATAAATGCCATACCACTGCCCCTTGATTTATACGGCTGTTTAAAGAATTTCACAACTCCATACACATCAACTTTGGTATTTTTCTTGATGTTGTTTAATGTAACATATCTCTCTGGCGGCTGATCCTGAAAATATTGAATAAAGTTACAAAATAAAACAGATGTATATGGTAAAGAAAGCAGAAAAATTTGATGCCGTTTTATCACATTGTAAGTTGCAATTTAATATAGTAAAAACCATCAGAGGCATTTGACACATCAAAAATCAAAAATTAAAACACCCAAGCTTTAATCTGAATTAAATCACGTCATGTACATATCTGTCCGGACACATGGTACTGTAGTGTAGACAATATAGGTAATTTTAATACCCTCCTTGATGAGCCTTAGATATAAGTGTCAATACAATCAGAAATTAACAAACTAGTTTGTTAGTTAGTAAGGCCCGTCGTCACGATTTTGTTATTGGTGCGGCCAATTTTGTTGGTTTTAGCCAGAATCTAGGGTGTACGGGGCATGCTCCCCCGGAAATTTTTTTTTATTCTAGGATGCTCTCAGGCGCGTTTTCCCGTATATTTGGCACAGTTTACAGCCTGCTGCTAGTACTTCCTATAGTAATATGTCAACTAATTTTTTACAGATTTAAGTGCGTCGTAAGTTTTAAGGGTGAAATTTAACTTAATATGGTTCGCATAACGGACGGACAGGTGTACATAAAAGATGAATACTTGTTATTGATATTTGGCAAAGGAAAAATAAACAATAACTGATGTTGTTATAATATAATTATAAATAAACAAATACAAGAAATATTACAGTAGGCCTACATAGATTATTGTATAACATAAATCACGCAATGGAACAATCGATGACATGATGGAAGAATAGTACATTATGAGTCAACAATAACCACTTTTTGTTTAGCAGTAACTTGTATTTTGTTCACAATAATCTTACACAACACATAGTCTTATTTTATGTAAAATTTCCAAAAATACATCGCCGTCGTTCTCTGGTGGTAATAAACTCATCGACAATAGCACGGAAGTTGAGTGAATCTGTCCTGTACCTATAAATAATATGTAACACCCAGGGGCGTAACTAGGCGTACTCCTGTACGCCCGTGCGTACAAATCAATTCTGTATTCTGAAAAATCACATGCACTAAAAGTTCTGAAAAAGTAATAAAAACAGAGGGGTGGTAGTGTGGTCAGGGTAACAAATATTACTATAGGCCTACTATATTTTTTATAATATCATTATATAAAAATTCAAAATATATACAGTACACATGTATTAGATCTAATTAATATCTTTTAAAATGATCTATATTGCGATATCATGTACATATTCAGCGGCCGAAAGTTACAAAAAGCCCAGGCGCATGTCTGGTTCAGCACCGATTCTTGGCCAAGATATTTCTCGAGCATTGGCGGCACATGTTATTCGCACCGTGTCACCAGCAGTAATTTATTTCCAAAATCTTTTGCCCTTTATTTCCCATATTGGCCCTTTTGTGTCCTCTTGGTTTTGGTTGGGTGCCTTCTGGGTACCCTGCTGGTGTGGCTGGATTGTGTGGGGGGCTACGTTCTGTTCAACGTCGCCTGTTTGATTTTTGTCCTCATCTTTTAATCAGAAAAGAAGTTACAAATTGGTTAAATTTCTTAAAGATCATTGAAATACATGCAAAGTTTTCATTAATCAATTGATTGCTGCAGAGAAGTACTTGAACGTGCCGAAAAGGCAGTAAAAGACAGAGTGTACAATTCCATCTCAATTGTATGCATTTATTTAAAAGAATCGCCAGAATCTTGTATAAGTTGTTGAGATAAGTATTCCTTGCATGCGATGTATATATAAACATTGCGATGAGTCATCAAACACACTCCATATGTAATTATTTTAGTCGTATATCTGTTAATTAATTTTTTTTTCTCACAAAATATCTTAAACGAATCCTTTAAAGTATTCGCGTGAGTTCTAAATGTAACTCCACATAATCTATGATACATGCAAAGATTTTTAATTAATTTACTAATGTTTCTGAAAGGAGATTTTAAAATATCTTTGCATGTAATTTAAGGCGGTATTTTTTTATATATATATATTATAATGTAATGAAATATTTAACAGGCCAAAACATTCACTGAACTTAGTCACAATTCTCGCACTATTATCAGTCGTAATTAATATATTGTTTCAACAGTTGCTATTTATGAAGGTGCAAAATGGCGGTCTTTCCTGAGAGAGCATTAGGGCATTGTATCTCACATTATAAACGCAAGCTTAAATGTGAATAAACCCATCTGAAGTTGTCCGAGAATATCAGTGTTAGCTGTGGTGTATGTGGTGGACTAACGTAAACTTGACAAATGCCGTCCAACGGCCCCGGCTTTTCTAAAGGATACAAGGCTCTGTACCCAAACGTGAAGCACTATTTGACCCTTTTAGTGGTCATGCCAGTTCTTGGCAACAACTGAACCATATCTATAAAGTACTTGTTCATTTTACATATTTTAAAATTAATAAAAAGAGCTTGAAATCATCACCAATATGTTGTCAATATAGCCTCTAGATAGTCACGAAATGCCAAGATATCGCTTCCTTTTTAAAAATTTTCTCGGGGGTGCATGCCCCGAAACCGCCCTAGTTAAGAAGTACATGTCAAAATAGCTCAGTAACGTCCCTGACACCATTAGATTGTTCAAACATACTTGAGACAAATTGTCGATCTCAGGTATGTTTTTATTCTTCTGAGCGTCGAGAATGTCCTTTCACTGGTAGCATTAGTAGCAGGCATTACTAACAAAATCTTTAACAACACAACGACCTCAGAGAACAGTGCTTGTTCTAGCACTGACTGTTCTGGCGGCTTAAATTTCAAAATGTCAGGTAGAGTAACAGATTTGTCAAAATGTGAACGTAGCAGCTGAAGCTGCACCTCTAAGATGTCTCGGTTAATATCGTTACCATAGAAATCACAAACAAAACCAAGTTCTCTAGTGTACTCGGTCTTCAAAGGTTGTGCGGCCTTAATAAGTAAATCCTCTACGTTCTGAAGTACGCGATATCCCGGTTGGTCAAATCTCTCTTTAACACTGGCAAGATCGATTGCTTCAAAGTACTTAGGCCGGAACACGTTTGCCGTATACAATCAATAAAATGTCATCAAGTTCTAGGAGAATTCAGGCATGCTAGTTTAAGATATTCATAATGCATATTGCAAATCTCATGCACCGTTTTTTCTTCTTCTTTTTTTTCATTTTTTTTTTTGCTATATCATAACATTGATGAAAAAATGTGCTCACCAAATGTTCGTTTTTGAAACGAATATGATTTTGGTTGATTTGGTCCAGATGGAATTGTGTGTGAATAAATATTACCGCTAAAGGGACTGGTCAAATTCAAATTGCTAATCAGCAATGCGTGTTGTTTTTTTTTTACTCATTTTTTTTACCAAAATATAGGTCCGGGCAAGGCCGGACCGGCCAGACAATCGACGACGGCCTTGTAGTTAGGAGAAGAACCTAGCTGATATTGTGTCAAATTTCTTGTTCCCTGTTTTTGAAATTATGAAATCTGTATAGAAAAATGTTCAAAAAGTGTTGGTTTTATGGTCCCCGACGAATGACAGACTATTCCCTCCCTTACCAGTTCCTCCCCCTGACGGTTCTCTCCCTAACCATTTCCTCCCCTGACGGTTCTCTCCCAAATTTGAAATATGCAGACAGTTCTCCCCCAATTTTATCTTTTATAAAATATCATTTTAGTTTTGACTTAAACTAATAATATTTCTTAATGAAGATTATTAAAAGAATGTGTTTGATATTAACTGCATTTTATGTTTTATGTTTATCAGCTGAAAAGTGTTTGTAAATTTAACACCTTTTTCCAGTATTTTAATCCTATCAACACCTTTATTGTGAGAGATATAGATAATTGGACAGTGATTGATGTACACCTGTAATTATGTTAAGGTCTAGCTAATGTGATGTTCATTCATTTGTTAAATAGTGAATAAGGTGGAAACAAGTATGTTCTAGAAAATAAATTAACAACAACTGGTATGCAAACACATTCCACATATACTTTTTAACGAAATCGATTTAAAAACATGTAGTCATTAACTTGAAACAATATATAATACCAAATAACTAATATAATACTTATTCATCAACACCTTTTCACAGCTATTTTAATCTAATCAACACCTTGATTCTTGAGTAATGAATTAATAAACACCTCAATTATCACTGACAGCAAACTTAACGCATACATGTGTGTATTGAACTCCTTTTTTCTTCATTATACAAAAGTTTAGCAATTAAAATTTATTAATCATTTTTTGCCTATAAATTTCATTTTTATTTATTAAAAAAAAATAATAAAAAAATAATATCTTATGATTATCCTTATCAAGTAAATTATTCATTAATTATTTTCAATGACTAAACACATTAAAAAGTATACATTACATCTAATTAAAAAATCAGAATAATTAACTAATATCATCATTGATCAATTATTATTATATGTTAAAAAAAAAAGTTTTTCTAATTCAATTTATATCAATTGATAATAAAGTTACAAAATTATTAAACATCTAAATACTTCAATAAAATATGTTTTTCTCTAATTTATATTAATTTTTGATAATAAACTTACCAATTTATTGTTGCTGATGATGCTAATAAAATTGAAACTTGAATTAAACATCTGAATGCTTCATAAAAGTATTTTTCTCTCTAGTTTATATCAATTTATAATAAACCTACCCATTTATTTAACATCTAAACACTTCAATAAAATCTATTTTTTTCTAATTTATATCAATTGATAATTAACTTACCCATTTATTTATCATCTAAATACTGATAATGATAATGTAATTATAAAAATAAAAATGGGGAGGACCTGTCTTCTTATTTGCAAATATGCAGACAGTTCTCCCGAGAACCGTCAGGGAGGAAACATCAGGGAAGGAACTGGTAAGGGAGAGAATAGTCTGCCAGTACTTTTTACGAACTGGCGCAAATTTAACTAAATGACAAACTGTCTTACCGCCTTTGCTTTCCTCATTATTTAGCAGATTTTGAATGGCACGAATAATTTCTAACACGTACAAATGGCACAGAAACAACCTGACACGTACAAATGGCGCGGATTAAACAAAGGGGAACAACCGAAAAAAAGGTGGGGAAAATCCCGGGATCCGGAGGCGCGTTCAACAACGTGAGTGCTCGATTAAGGGAAAACTAATCGAAATATACACTATATTTGTTGTTGATTATTGACGTAATGAAAGGCGATTAACGTTAAGTTTTTTTATTTTTTATTGTATGTAATGAACAGTAAAATAATTTGGA